GCTCACATCTCTATCATACTTATCCATACAGCTCGAGGGTGACGATAACAACAAGATTATGATCCTGTTTGGCAGGACTTGGGCAGAAATCTTCAGATCAATCATGAAACATGCTTTGAAAATGGCTGAAACTTTAACCAACATACAACCACCACTGTGGTAAAGACGAAGCAGCAGCTGATATGTCGGGTGTGTCCAGAGCGGCAAGAAGTTCCCCAGACTCTCCAAATGTGTCAAACAAATGTTCAGCTGAGCGTTTCAAGCTGCAAATATTCCCCAAAGTAGACTCGCTCTCAGAAGTATCTCAATATTAATAGTCAAACAGTGTCTCTAACAGAATAATTGCCATGTTGATTCTCGGTGGTAATGAAGCTGCAGGATTTGAGGTGTTTCCAGGACCTGATTTAGTCACTTTCATTTAATTATGAACTAATCACTTGGAGAACAGTGAGTTTGGATAAGATAAAACAAAAAAAGTTACAAAAAGGTCTCACAGAAATTATTAGATCTAGATACAGATTGGTCTGATAAATGGTATTTTGAAATCAGTGGTCGATATCTGGTTTAGAACCTCATATAGCTGCTGTCAAGCAACGCCAACATCCCCTAAAAAGATAACAAATTAAATGACAGCAAATCAAATCCAACAGTTATCAACAAGGTTTAACAAGTTAACAGTTAAAGTTTATGGAATAATGAAGCTCAATATTGCTTCTGGCATAAATATGGCTAAGATAATTATGCATGTTGGATTGTAATACACATGAAATAATGGGTGTGTTGATATTTTAAAACTGTTATATTTCTTAAAATGCAAAAAAAAACCAGGTAATATCTGCATTAGTACTAGCATCAACCATTAAAAAATCAATATAGATCAAACTTGTATAAGACCTGCTACTCTATGCTGCCCTGTTATATGTTTTTAATCAAGTTTTGAATCATGTTTTGTGACTTTGTGATGTTCAAACTGTGATCTGCCAAAGGACGAGTAATGTAGCCTAAATTAGCTTTAAGCTAGCTCTATTACAACACGTCACTTAGTAACAATAGTCCTCTTTACCAAGAAATTAATTCAAGGTTCAGCAACATCACTACTTATATTGACTCTGCATTTTACTTTGTACTGTTGTTTTTGGGTAATCCTATCTCATTTTTGCGTGACGTGTTTCCATCCACCGTGCGACCTTCCCTCTAACAGTGTGCGAATAAACAAAAAACAAAAGTAAACAAACTCATCAGTCTCATCAGTCCATCCCTGTCAACTCAACATGGACATTGACTGGGGACAAAACGTTGTCCAAATGCAAATACTCACAGGGAGGTGACCAGATTATCAAAAAACAACAGGGGTGAAGCTTCTAGAAAGAAAAGGTGTACTTAATTTTGGGAATTTGTAACTTTTTTTTTTTACCATTTCAACAACAAATAATTTTAGACATCGTTTTTTTTGTGTGGATGCAAAAATATGAAAGAGGATAGATTTTTTTTTTAATTAGCTAATAAAATCCATTATAAAAATGAGGTAGGGTGGGAACATGTGTACATATGTTTTTCATTTTTTAATTTGAATTTATTTAAGGATAGCCCCTTGAGATGTAGCATCTCATTTTCATGGGGGGTCCCTAAACAAACATACATAGAACTCAGGACACATTACATAACATATAACAAATACAGACATCTTGCTCACCCTACTCTCACTCACAACCCCAACCAACATACGCCAAACATACAAAGTAGACAAAGCTTATTAACAAGGAAAAATAAAAATAAGTAATAGAACGCAAAGAAAGAGGTAGGTTATTCCAATCAGATGGGGCTTTATATTGAAACGATCTTTTACCAACTTCTTTAAAGATTCTAGGAACAAAGAAAAATTGATAGTTCATATGTCTAAGAGAGTATGGGGAGTTGTATGGGATCGTTCTTTTGAATATGAAGGGTGAACTAAGCCTTCACAGATAACACCAAAACAAGTGACAGCTACAAAAGTCATATCAAAAGTTTGGTTTTGTAAATCAGAAGAATCTGCTGTAGTGAATCTTAAACCTACAGGAGCCTCTAAATTTTAACATTAAGGCCCACATTTCAAATATAATCACACATTTAAGGGGGGAAATCAGCTCCTTGAGGGTGTAACGTGCTTCTGTTTAGTGTATCTGAAGGCTACACACCAACAAGTGTCAGTTGCATCCACAACTAAAACCCTGACAGGGCATCCTGTAGTGGAGTGGAGTGGAGTGGAGTGTATCTTCCCAGTATAAGGGTGTCTGTTACTCTAAAGTGGAATTAACGCAGGAGTTCATTATCATTCCCTGAGCTCTCTGCGGACACAGATTTCATTAGGAGGTTGTTTCATAAATCAAACTGGACACAGTGAAGTCAGGCGCTCTGCTGTTACACTAAACCCCACTGATAAATAAGTCATCCTCTGAGGTGTGGTTGCTTGACTCGCTTCGTGAAATGACGGGACGTACCTTCTTCTTGGCGTTACAGTGGCAGCACACGGTCCACAGGTATTTGAGAGTTCTCCACAGCAGGATGATGAAGAGCCCACCGAAGAAAGTGACCATGGAAGAGGCGAGGAAAGCCCACCACATCCGCTGCCCATTACTGTCACAGGGCACATCTGGCGAGAACGGGATGATCACGTTCATCTTGGAGATGTGGATGGACGGATCCGGGTTGAATTTCTCCCTGTTTTTCGGCATTCTGCTCACCTGTTTGCCTCCCTCCCCTCCCTCCTCTTTCTCCCCTCAAACACAAACAACTCAGCCGGGATTCAGGCGCTTTGGGGACCTCCAGCCAGCGCCCCCTGATGCCCCCGCGGCTCGGCCATGTTTGTGTCAACCACCACCTGCTCCTCTGGCTGCACAAGCCGAGCAGGATGTCAAAAAGTTACAGAAGACACTTGCGCAATTAAGAGAGAAAGAAAAAAAAAACTTCCACAGAAATCGAGATATCAGCTGTGCGCGTCACGATGCGCGTTCGTGGAAGGAATGGCGCGCCATCCTATGATCCGTGCGCGGAAAAAAAAATCACATTATCTGGGAAACTAGTTAAAAACTTTCTATTTCAAGAAAAATCCAGAAAGATGAGACGAAATAAGTGATATAGCGATGATAGAGAGACGTTTGGGTTCACCGCTCGATGTGCTTGACGCGCTGCTCCACCTTGTTGAACGGCGCAGTTTCAGCAGCAGCTCCGCACTGTTGAATGTCCTCCCCGCGTCAAACCTCGTACTTTACCGACATCCTCTGAGAAGAAATAATAATTTAAAAAAAGACAGCTCTGGAGGTCAATAAAGAGAGGATTTAGATATCGTGTCTCTCCGCCGGGCGCCTGTCGCATCCACTTGTAGGGAGATGGCATCGCAGATTTACAGGTAGCGGGGGAGGAGCCATCGATGGCAGACGTCGATGCTTATCTGGATGTCTGGTTATTTATAGTGACCGCTTCATCTATTTTTCATGGTTGTAACTTGTGGTTACAGCCATCTTACTCTGAAAGTGTCAGTTATGTGGGAACACTTTCAGTTTTATGAAGACTGGTATTAAAGTTTGGAAATTAAATCTTTCTTTAACGCCATAAAGTGAGCTCTTTAAACTGACATTTCTCTCGTTTAATATAAAAGTTTGGTTCAGTCTGTTGAAGACAAAGCTAGATAACAGCAAGTTTTCAAAAATGGGTGTTAAATTAATGTCAGTGGTCATTATAAATATTTATTTTTTTTAAGATTTTCTTGCAAAAGATTGTGTAAAAGTTTCTGTTAAAAATAATTCAACACCATAAAATAAACATATCTTTTAAGCAATAAACAAGCAAAGCTAAAATACATGCAAAGCTGTCAAATCGGAATATTTTCCCATGATATGCTGCTAATACTGAAGGTACTGTTGTGTCGTTCGCAAACGATTCATACAAAAAAAAACCGAATCACTTCTTCAGGTGATTCGTTTGTTTCTCCCTTCAGTTGAGCTACAGTAATAAAAAACATTACCAGGCCAGCAGCCGGCGAAATGGGTGTTAAATTAATGTCAGTGGTCGACATATATATTTGTTTTTTTAAGATTGTGTAAAAGTTTCTGTTAAAAATGCTTCAACAGCATAAAATAAACTCATATCTTTTCAGCAATAAACAAGCAAAGCTAAAATGCACACAAAGCTGTCAAATCGGAACATTTTCCCATGATATGCTGCTAATACTGAAGGTACTGTTTTGTTGTTCACGAACGATGCATACAAAAGAACCGAATCTTTGAAGTGAACATACTGAACCGAATCACTTCCTCGAGTGATTCGTTTGTTTCTCACTTCAGTTGAGCCAAAGTGAGAAACAGCATAGCCAGGACAGCAGCCAGCCACCTGAATCACTTGGTGAACAAATCACGCATTAAGCTACCCTCTCTGGAATCATTTTTGTTGGACAAAACTACCTTTTTTTACTGCTAAACTGCCACCACAACAGCTTGTACACAATAGGACACAGCATGTAGCAAGTAGTGCATTAAACCCAAAGCATCCTACCATTGCAGCGGTTTGCGAGGGAATGATGCATGTTCAGTTTGAATTCTTCTAAACATTCATTGAGCGGATCACTCACTGAGCCCAATTTACTGAGCAGACCTGGTAAATAGCATATCATACAACAGTACACTTAAAACATCATCACTTATAAACAAGTTCATTTTTAAAAACCTGTTTGCCAAAGTAACACAGTCAAACACTAAATGATTTGGTGAACGAAGCTTTTGAACGAATCTTTTTAGTGAACTGATTCTCGTGATTCAGTACATCTAAAAGAACTGCTGTGCCCATCACTAACTGAAGGCAGACAAGTGAGAAAAGGACTCCTTACCATTTCATTTAACCCAGTGGTTTACTCCCCCTAGTGGATAAAAAGTGCACTAGTAGTTGGTGACCACTCAGTTCCAACTTTCAGCAAGAATCAAAAGTTGTCAGATGGTTTTAGAAAATAACTGCACAGACAAAGTGGAATCAATTGACGGCTCTGTTTTTAATATTTTATAGAAATATTAACCTTCATTAGGAGAAAACCTGCCCTTAAGTGTTTCATCCAGCATAAACATGAAGTGTTGATGATGTGATCCATCCAAGAGGTGTTTGTGTGAATGTGTTAAGGTGAACCATGAAGCAAAAAAAAAAAAAAAAAAAAAAACATCCCTTCTTGAAAATCCACAGAGGATGAGTTTTGGCAAAACCAGTAGAACACACAAACTTGGACAAACCGGTGAACCTAACATCCCTATTATTTGAGTTATAACGAAAGTTTCGGAGTTAAAGCGACCAAGAATGGAGAAAATATTTGTAGCTTGGCACAATATTATTCGGAAGTGTGAAACGCCAACATGATGTGAAGGTAAGACGCAAATTTGCCCGATTTCTCCTCTATAAATAAGACCATTAATTTCAAAACATCATCCAACCTAATAACTAGAGCGCTACATTTGTATGTCAAGGCTTGATAAGCTACTTCTTCCGCTGATTAGATAAATTAAATGGCAGGAAAATGTGTATAAATATATAAAGAAAGGAACATGTTGGTCCACTTCATTTCTTCACTTCAGAAGTAAAGTCTTCATATTGCATTGACATGGTGTCAGGACAGAGCAGGATTAAAGGAGTGCCACTACATACTGTATGAGGGAAACCTTCAAGTATTAGATACTAGTGTAAACAAGTCTATCTGTACAGAGCATCACTATCGCAGTGGGGAGATTATGTTCCTCTTCATCAGTGCTGAAATAGCTAAATGTGAGAAAGCACTGGAGTTGCACGTGATGTCTGTTGGATGTACCGATTCTGTGTGTGTGTTTCCCGAAATAAATCTTTCAGAGTGAGGTGCGATGAGATGTGAGAGGTGAGGTGATGAGTTTCTACGGTGCTCCGTCTGGGATCCAGAGAACTTTGCTCTGCTCCTGCTCCACGATGGTCATGATCTGAGTGCAAATGTAGGAAACGCTGCCGCCTTGGACAACGCCTGCAACACAGAGGAGGAGGAAGGGAGGATGTACATTACATTTAATGAGCATCATGTAGCATCAAGGTCATCTTAACTGAGACAAAGAGCAGGTTTATTAGTAAATAATTAACTAAATGTCCACACATTAATTTTTAATCAGACCCTATATACATCATTAAAGGTTTATCTGAGACTAAGGTACTTCTGGGGTTTGATCAGCTCTACTTCTTACAGTCAAACACCACACACTCCGACTGATACGGGTTTATAACGGCAGCTCTCATCGTCCTGGCTTGTGTGGTCAGAAGTTGGCAATCCCTGTGAGGAGGGATCAGACGGGTTATGTGTTCATTTTCAGAGCCCTTCCTCATAAATCGTCTCCTTTTATAGACTCATTTATCAGCCGGACAGTCGGCTTGTCTCAGACTGGCTGCTGCTCCAGATACAGAACTTTCACTCTGATCTGTGGTGTGCTCCAGAAACCTCAGACAACCTCAGAAACTGTTTTTAAAACTGTGAAAGAGACTGCTGTTTGACAATGTGTCATTTATTTTGAAGGAGACCAGAGTCAATTAAATAGAGCAAAAATCGTATTTAAGACCTTTTATGATATTCAAAAGCAATCAAGGCCGCAGCATGACTGAAGGTTTTTATATTGTAGATTTTAATGCCTGAAACGAAAAGTCAAAAGTCAGAAGGATGAGACTTTTGTATGAAGACATAGCTTTAAAGATGCAGATAACAAGATAAGCAAAGACTGCTTTGTCCACAGGGGGGCGCCAAAATTGACACAAACCAAAAGTTCCTCACAGGAGCTTTAACTGAGAATTTTCTTCTTTTTTGATTTGGGGTTTTTTGGCTCGTGGAGGGTCCTCCATGACTCAGATTAATCATCACTTGTAAGCCTCAAACATTGTTATGGGAACCACAGACATAGGGGTTAAACAAGAGACGTAATGTAGGTCTGTATTTGTGGGGAGTAGGTATAGATGAGCTGAACCTTTAAATGGTCTGATTTAAAGGTTGACTAAACATCACACTTACATTCAGTAAATTCATGAAGTTCTGTAGTTCCTCAGCTACTTGTTTTGACTGGATTTTCTATATCACTGCTATCTATAGTCCATCAAAGTCCCACCCACCTGTGAAGAAGCGGCTGTAGTCCTGGTCTACCTTCTGAGCCGCCTCGTACTGCTCCTTGGAATGTTTCTGTGAGAGTTTATCCCGCAGGTACAGAGGGTCCTTCTGCTCCCTGGGGAGACAAAGTCTGCACTTTTAGGCAGCCTCCACTCGTACAAGGTCATCACATCACAAAACAAGGTATGGAAGAAGGAGTCAGTATTTCATTTCATCATTTTAAGGATGTGCTTCAGAGTGGATTACACCAATAAACACCAGTAGCTAAAATCACTTCCGAGTTGTTGTACTGCTTTAAAAGATTAAAAGTGTTTGCTCATAATTCAATCCAACAACAAGTGGTCCAAGTACAACTCAAGTTTGTGAATTATTCTTTGGACATGAGCTCTGATTTGCTCGCTGGACTGGACGATACACTGAGCAGCTGCTGGAGAGCTAATGTTGGACATGACTGCAGAGACAGGAGCGGGTCATACAGACAAAATCTATCAGCATTATCAACATTTTCTGCAGAATACTGCCTGAGCCTTAAGAAAAAAGCCATGTGACCTCTAAATCTCCGGTCTTCATCCACTAGGAGCCTCCTGACCTCACCCAGAATCACACTCCCACCTCTCCCTGGTACACAGTGTGCAGTCCACATGTTGCTCTGCAGATAAAAAGCCACGAAAAAGCCTGAGCCACAGCAGGCAGGCAGCGGGAGGTACGTTCGTGTATGTGTTCCTGTGTGTGTGTGCGGCGGCGGTGGCGGGTGGGGTCAGCGAGTGTTTTAGCCGCCCACGCCACAAAGCGGAGCCACAGCTCTCCCTCTCTCTCTCTCTCTCTGGACAGCTGGCACTCAGCTGATGACAGCCGAGGCTTAGCCGGATTCAATCTCCGCCATGTTTGCCTGCTGCACCACTTCATAGATTTATGGGCATGGGTGTTTGTGTGTGTTTGTGTGTGTGTGTGTGTGTGTGTGTGTGTGTACGGCTGAGAAAGCCCGTTCCTGCCAGACCTGAGTGTGTCTTTATTTGTGTGCAAAGTACCACACTAGGGGGTTGAGCTCATTTAATCTTGCTGTGGGATTGAAATGGAAAAGCAGAGGGACCTCTGAAATATGACATCATCCCGTCACGGACCCCGGCAGGTGGTGGAAGAGAGCGGGCTGCTGTTAGCGAACTAATGACGCCGTGATCTAATCAGGCTGATCAATTAGTTTGTTTGTGTGCGGGGGATTAATATGATTATGAAAGCAGCAAGACTTCTGCACTTCTCAATTTCCTGAGTGTCTCTATGGGAAGGAAATTTAATGAGAGTAAACAAAATGATTTCTAATGGAAGGAGGATTAGCATCAACTAAGATCATGTGAAAAATGACTTTAAGAATTAATATGACCCTTTGGAGTCCCTCAGGGTGAATCTAGTATGTGTGCGACTTCTTTCAGGTAGATCAGTGGATCAGCTGTTGAAGATATGCGACGCCGGCCAAAAGCAAATCTTCAAACTCCATGTTGATACTAAATTCAGCCGCCCCTCTTGAAGTAATCATGGAGGTAATATTGTGTTTCTTGGGTTATGACTAGCGTGCATTAAAATTTCATATTCAAAAATAACATTCGGCCCCAACTTTTTGTGCTATTGTATTTTTTAACATTAAATTTTAACAATACTCCACAGAAGCAAAACCCTTGGGTGACTGATGTCCTCAATGAGCTGCCGAAGTGAAGTTTAGTAAACAGAAGTTGCAGCACAACACGAAGCAGAGGCAGAGTTTTCAGTCGACAAATAGCACCAGAAACAAATATGTTTTTTTAAAAAAGGCAGGGGGGATACTCACTTTATCTGTTTGGCGTTTTTGTAGCGAATAAATATGACGATCGGGTAGATGTGAACGCTGTGGAGGCGTTCGATGGCGTGAGGGGCGATGTCAAGTAAACAGTGACTGTCCTAGGAGAGAAGAGGAGGGATGGAGGATGGTTCAAGCAAGATATTGGAAAATAAACAGTAAGTTTATATGCGCAGTTAAATCAAGCTATTGTTAAAGCTTGATTAGGTGATTTTTCTGACTACTGGTCACAGTATACAAGCCTTGAGCAATTGTTGATTTATTGACCAAATAAAGTGGCAGTGGCAGCTGAAGTTTACAATATGGTGGGAAAGTTTTTCTTTGTCGATGGCCTAGCAGTCTAATGCTGCATTCCAGTTACCTCGGAAGTCGGATGTGGAAGCTGGGAAAGACGCGACACTCGAACTGATGGCATTCCAGTAAACAAGTCGGAAAACCAAGATGGACGCCTACTGTTTGCCGTTGTTAGCTGTTGTTTACAACGGTCAGCCATTATTAGCTGTTGTTAGTTGTTGTTAACTATACCAGTTGGAAACAACGCTTAACACAGTATTTTACTCTTACAAACACCATAGCAACGCGTTCACAGTTAGACGTTGGGCAGTACAACATATACCACTTAATTAATTTCAAAAAAACAAAACAGAAGTGCTAATGTATAATACATTATAAGAGCTTTCACTGTAACTCTTTACTGTAGATGCACAGCACTTGGATTATGACATTGCCATCAAGTCGGGGTTGGTGAGGATCGTCTGACTATCCGAGTCGGAAATCTGACTTCAGGGGGGCGTTCCAGTTGAATTTCCGACTCGGAGCTTGGAAATCATGACTTCTGAGTACAACTGGAACGCACTCTCCGAGTCCCATCTATAGAGGCTATAGTCCCATCTGTTAACATGGAGAAGGCGGACTTTATGGCCTTTACCACAGCCAGCCAGTAGAGGGAGCCCTTAAAGTTTGGGGTTTACTTTTGGGAAGTTGTCATGTTGTGGATCTTTTCATCCAGTTGATTCGAAAAGACAAGCACGATTACTTCCGGAGCAAATAATAGTAATTACATACTGTAAGTTTTTCAAGCAGATCACGCAACATGGAATTAAAGCCACACAGATAGTTGTTGCAAAGATGGATTAACACCTAAATTTGCAATCACGTATATTAACATAACATGCAAAATTCATTTGTAATATTACTTCAGCCCTTAAAACCATGATCAGACAGGGCTTATTTCTTTTTTCCACTTCAAGATATGAAAAGCCTCCTCCGGTAAAAACGACAGAGTTGGAGCTGATTAGGTAAAAAGATAAGTGGTGGTTATTGCGAAAAAGAAAAACTCGTTTAGTTCTGCCAACCATAATGACCATGACTTGAAAAATGAACCACAGGCCTGGGGGGAGATTATTGAGGAATTCTTTGTTTTGTAAATTAAAGTGAGCCTCCATCATTTTAGGCTTTTATTCTAATTGGATTTCTTTTCTCATTCAAAGTCAGAGCAGAAATGTCAAAGTTACGAAGCTGATGAGGAGGCGGTTTTTACCCTCTCTGTGATCTCTTTGATTGATGCAACAGTCGTCACGTCAAAATGGCCGCTTCTCCGCTTGTAGTCGATGAAGACGCAGTCCTTCACTCCGCGCTCTATCGCCTGCTGAGATGCCTTCATGATCTCTGAAAGTACATGAATAATCATTTTTGAAAACTCTCTCGACAGCCCGACGTCAATAAACGTACTTAAACCTGATTTACGGACATAAAGTCCTCCATAAATCCAAACATGAGCCCACCTGGCAGACAGCGGCAGAACTTGGCAGGACCCTCCTTCACCAACATGTCCTTAATGGCCTCCACTAACGGACCCAGGACCAGCACAGGTCTTGGGGACGCGCCCTCCACCCTCTGGACCCGCTGGTACATGAGACTCACTCCATCTGAGCAGAAATATGGAAACACAGATTTATTCAAAAATATTCAAGGCAGCGCAGAGAAACAGGTGCACTTTAATAACCACAGTTATGAGTTTATGTGTCCTGGGAAAACTTCTGAGGAGCCAGCAGGCTTTTAATAGCACCTCCTTGATTTATTACAGCACTTTCATACCTCGGAGCTTCCAGACTACCAATAACTTCAACTTAAACCAATATGGAGTCCATTTAAATTCACAAGCCTGATCCTGAAGTTGGCTTTGATGAGCTTACGCTTACTCCAACAGAAAGGGAAGAGTAACTTTAATCACTGAAACGATCTGAAAAAGATTTACACAATGTCCTTGGTACTTCTGATTGACAAAAACGTACAATTTTCACTAATAAAGATAATAAAAATGTAAACTTGTGTGTAAATCAATGAAGCAGCAATGTTACAGATCAATATCACAACAAAGTTCAGACACTTAAGAATTCAAAAACATGATCCTGACAGAATTTTTATCCAAAATTAAACTTCTATTAAACTGCTTTTGTTTTTATTTCTACAGTGAAGTGCTTAATGTAGAAACTTCTGTAAATACTCCTTCATGTGTTTCATTATAACTACCACTGGATGATTATAAAGAATAGAAATGAGCCCTAAACTTAAAAAGATGACTATACCGTGATTACCATGAAACACCGACACGCAAATGACAATTTTTTCTTATCCAAAATTCCTGAATTGATTAATTAACACATTATTTAGTCTACAAAGTTGTAAAAATGCTCACTACATGTTCTACATTGGGACATCTTCAACTTCCTCTTTAATCACACTAACTATTCAAAACCTCAGACCCACAAAAACACATTTAACACGCTGGAATTAGAAAATGGTTAAACTGTGTTGTAAATTCACTCAAACAATTGATCTTAAACCAAAAAATGATGATTTAATTTTTCCCTGACCTGATCTGAAGGATTATTGCAGCTCTTAATAAAACATCACCGGGCTGAAGTTAATATGGAAATTTAAAAAATCTCTGCAGCAAAGAGCCAAACATCACAAACCATGTTTGTAACCACCCCTGACCCAGAGTCTGCTGGTCCAGAGTTTTCATAGATGATTTCTCACCCTCTGTGATGGGTAAAGAATCTGTGCTGACAGCATCCAGAGCCAACAGATCTTTCCCGTCTTTGGACCCGCTGCGTTTGTGCTTCAACCGCCGGCGGAAGAAAGATCTGCGTGCTGCGGCAGATAGAGTCTTACTGGTGCCGTTATCATCTTTTATATCGGCAGAGCTGTGTCTCCTGTAGAACTCCTGGTCCATCCTAATGGAGATATATCAGCACACAACAGCCCTTTACTTTCACAAAAGGATGCATACAATAAAATCTATAAAGGACCAGACCGTTCAAGAATACAAACTTGAATTTAAAGGCTGAACTCACATGTATTTACTCGGAATCTGCCCTTTTCCTAGCTTCTGTGCGTTCTCGTCTAGCTGCCAGGCCATCCAGAAGCCAAAGTTGCCGTTTGGTAGCGTATCTTCAACATACAGGATGTCGTCTTTGTTAAAGCTCAGCTCCTGCTCTACCTCCGCCACACGCTCATAAAGCGCTCTGATGAGGAAGAGATGAACAAAAACTTTAATGAACGACCTTTAGACCTCTGAACAAGGACAGACCAGATGTAGTGATGACTTCACAGAAGATTTACATCCAAAAATAGATGTGAGCTTATTCGCCCTCAGTTTGATATTTGGTGTACCTTATGTAAAACCCATCTCCATGAGACTCTCTCATGGCGGGGAGGCTGTCGACGCAGTTCTGGACCTTGAAGGTGATTGTTTCTGCTGGTTTCAACATTTCCAGGTATGCCTCCTCTTTAGTTCGGCTCTTCATGCTGACGCCATTGTACTGTTTGAAAAAAACATAAATTGCACAGCTGACAAAAGAAAACGGAGCTTGGCTGCCAACAAAGAATGACTCATCGTTTTCAGTAAAAGCAAGCTGAATGAGGTAGAGACAAAAATGTCAGTTATATACACATGAAGAGCCTTGGACTTGGATGAACTTGAAAGCGACAACAGCTGCTGCTGTAATCCAGCAACATTACACAGTTCATTTCCTGATTCTGATCATGTATTTGCACCAAAAGAAGGTTCAAGTGGCACTAAGACATCACATGTACCTCCAGAATCATGTCTCCAGGTAGAAGGCCGTCAGGACACTTTGCAGGACTGTCATCGTCTAGACTCTCCACCAGGATGCCGTGAAGGTTTCCCCCACAGATTTGAACCCCTAGCTCTGTTTGGATCCTTTTCAGCCTCACTAGGCGAGGTTCTGCAGCTCCACGCAAACTTGACCCAGGAACCCTGGAGAATAAAAACTCAATGTGAAGTAGGGCTGGGAAAAAAACTGAAAATTTACCGATACCGAACTTTACATCAATAACTAATTTTGCCCATGTCAGTATATTCTGTGTCAAAAAAATAAATTACAGTTGGTTTTGGATGTGTATAGGTAGGCTATGGTCTCATGTCCCTTTAAGACGCTGTCCTACATCAGAGACGTGACTCCACCCCATCCAGTCCATAACAAAGAGGGAAAGACAGGTGAGGAGATGGAGGACGGCTCAAAAGTTGTAGTGACTGAAGTAGACAAAGTTAATGTGGGAGGAGTGAGCAGCTTGAGGAGTAGTTATCGTCCATTTATCGTTATCGAGGTGAACTGCTCAATGTATCGTGATACTGATTTGAGGACACTGTTTCTACACAACAACTGGGGTAATTTGGGGTAAAAGTGTCTTGCTCAAGGGCACTTTGGCTCAGTGTTTGAGAGAGTTTTCTCTCACTCTGAAGGTAACCATGTGCCAAAGCCACCCCCGTATCAAAACTAAAATACCTTTCATGTGATCTGAAGTGCAACGAGAAAAACTGCACTTTATAGACATGATCAATAATATATGAAGAAGTTTTAGGGCCACATTAAGGACAAAAAAATGTAAGACTTAATAAAGTTATAACTTACGAAAATAAAGTCGTAATTCAACCACTTTAATCTCGGAGTCTTAATTGTACCTGAAGGAGTTGTTCGGGCTGGTTGCAGGAGTCGTCTGTTTAGATGGCGGAGTCATGGTGCCCTCTTCCTGCTCGCTCAGAGTGTCGCCGTGGTTGTCCGGGGTGGTGGCCCCGCTGTCGTGAGGAGTCAGCTGGCTGCTGATCGACTCCATACGCGACCTAATGTCAACAAAAAAATAGTCAATCTTGTGTTAAAACCAGAAAAATCTAAGTTATAGAAAGAGAGATATTTCGCTTTGTGAAGAATAACTACTTCAGAAACATTGTTAAAGTCTAACCATGTTACTCTTCACTCTTCAAATACAGCGTGAATATTTCTGCTTGGGTTTGATCAACTTTCACTGGCTCTGTACTGGTACGTTTTTGATCCCAGATTGGCTCATTCGACAACACAAAATCTGTGTGACTGATCATAACTCTGTCATCTCCTTACCCTGATCGTGAGTGGTTTCCCAGCTGGAACATGTGAGGATTGTACTGAGCCAGGATGGTGACTGTATCACACTGCTGCCCAATCACCAGCCTGGCCTGTTGCTCGTTGGCATTGCGGAGGTTGATGCCGTTAAACTGGAAAGACCACTGACTCATTAGACACAGAGCAACAAGAAAAGATAGTCGTGTAGTTGGGAGTTTGCGCTCGCTTGCTGACGTACCTCCAGGAGCTGGTCCCCGTACTCTAACCGAGCTTGGTGTGCGATGCTTCCTGCTGTCACTTTGGACACAAACACTCCCCCGTTTTCTCCGCTCACAATGGAGATCCCCAGAGGTTCTGCTCCTTTCTGGACTGTCACGTTGCGTGGCTCCTCTAAGTACGGCCTTCAGGGGGGGGAAAATAAAGACGAACATTTGTGCAACTGTAGAAAGTTACGAGGCTTTAAGCAAGTTTGAAAATGCAACTCTGAATGACACAAACTTAGCATAACTCCAAATCCGATTTAAAGAAGCTTCTGGTTGCACTGGGATGGTTTCGTAAAGTGTATCTCTCTGTACTGTGATTTTCCTTAAAATAAAGATGCGTGGCAAGTCTCTATTATAAAATAAAAGCCTGTGGGACGCTGTCTTCAATGTGCAAAGTGCATTTTCCATTTAAAAGTCATGCAATCATCAAAAATTAAACATCATTCTGAATAAATAATAGAAAGGAAAGGATGACTCTAGGGGACACAGGGCTGCTATTTAATGTGAAAACTAATACTTGGGTTGTTTTGGAAGTTTTATAACTTCCTGTTTGTCATTCGGGTGTAGTTTTCACCACACCTACATGTATGATTTTGTATTTTCTTCATCTGCTTTGTGTTTTTGTGCTCTTGTTTAAAAAAAAAGAGGAAACACTCTAAACTGAGACAAATTTAGTGTCACAGGGCTAAAACATATTATTTCCATGTGCAGCGTGGAAACATTAGATCTTTAGACACATGCCTTTAACAGTCCTGCAGATAGTGATCATACTACACATGCAGAGAGCAGCACAGGACAAACCTCAAGCATCTTAAAGAGAGGAATTGTGGCTTTACTGCCAGTGGGAGTCTGACTGAAGTAGAGTTATAAGTAACACATCTGAGAAGAAGAATTAGAGAGGAGAAAAGAGAGACTGATCACCCACAGCACGACAAAAAGAGTCAGGTCAAAGAGAACAGCGGCAGACAGGAGGAGGATGAGTACAACATGATAGATGAAAACTGTGTTCTAACAATATGAGATGGAGCCTCGCAGCTTTGTTTACTGCTTTACAGACACTCAATCACAATGAAGCAGACAGAAGTACAGACAAATGGTAGAAAACATGTCATGTTCTGCTGAATGATGGCAGTGTAATGACCCGGATGCGTGGGCAAGCCTACCCATCCTTCCGCCTGTCACCAACTGGAGCGGGGCTGACTGATATCCTGGGCTGGGGGGAGATGGAGCTCTGCGATTGGCTGCTGGTGAAAGACGATGTTTCCAGGTTGATGGGAGACATGGGAGGTGTGGGGCTGCTGCACTCCGAATGGGAGAGGGAGCCTGGAGAGTCAGAGGGGGGGAGAGAGAGCTTTGAATTCAGACTCCGTGTTTGCTGCTGAAGCACCTGTTAAAGGAGGCAGTGGAGCTGCCAAAGTCAAGTGTACCTCTGTCAGAGCCTGTGGAGCGGGGATAACGAGCGGGGGGGATCTTTATCCGCTCTGCCCGAAACTGTAAAGCACTGGAGGAGCCTAAGAAGACGAAGAGAAGAAAGTCTGTTATTATCCAAACTAGAAGTCAACAGGGAGAGTACTTTTTAATGACTTTTAATGAATTTAATTTAAAGGGATATTCCAACGTAAAATTAATTTAGGGTCAAACACACTGTGACACCAAGTTAGACACCCCATCAAGAGATGAATGTTGCCAACCGCTTGCTTTTCTAGTTATACCAACTTTAGTAACAGCCGCACGATAGCAATACACAGCAGTCTGAGGAGCCACACACAAACATCAACCGAAACGCCACTCTATAGCCTCAAATAATGCTCAGAACAGCACCTAACTTCATCAACAGTACATATAGGGTCCCAGCCATAGTACTAACCACCAAACAGCTTTATAACTTTGCCTAATTTCTTTAGCAAAGAGACTAAACACAACTCACCTACTCTCTTCCAGCAGCCACTTGTTTCTAGCGAGGCCCGGGCCAGTTCATTACGGACTTCAGTGGGGGACGCAGCTCAAGGAAGAACATTTATGATCATTTCTTTACAATTTCCTTAAAGTCATTATCACCAAATTAAACATTTTGCATTGCAGACGTGGTAGTTCTTCTGCCTTGTTATCTCGGTCTGATTGCATTTCCATGGAAAAATGATCATAAATGTTCTTCCTTGAGCTGTGTCACCCCGCTGCACTCCGTAATGGACTCGCTCAGAGGTCTCCGTACAAACAAACGGCTGCTGGAAGAGAGTAGGTGAGTTGTGTTTAGTCTCTTTGCTAAAGAAATCAGGCAAAGCTAAAAAGATGTTTGGTGCCTAGTACTATGGCTGGGACCCTATATGTACTGTTGATGAAGTTAGGTGCTGTTCTGAGCATTACTTGTGGCTATAGAGTGGCGTTTTGGTTGAGGTTTGCTCCTGAAACCGCTGTGTATTGCTATTGTGTGGTCGTTACTAAAGTTGGTATAACTAGAAAGGCAAGCGGTCGGCAACATTCATCTCTCGAGGGGGAGTCTAACTCAATGTTGCGGTGTGTTTGACCCTAAATTAATTTTACCCTCTAATATCCCTTTTATATCTAAAATGAAGTTCGCTTAACTAAACAAGAACTAAAGTTACGAGTCAGGGATGAATGATTTTCTTTTTTCTGTGACTGACTCTGTGACACACACTCAGATCTAGGAGTCCATATGTACCCAGTCTGGCACTGGATGGCAGGGAGTTGGTACTGTGTGGCGGTTGGCTGCAGCTCGTCTCCGTCGAGTCTCCGGCCCGCTTGTGGCTGAGGTCCAGACTGTGGCGACCTTGATGCTGGGGGCTAAAAGAGGAGAAAAAAAAGGCCCCGGTGAGTCCCCGGGCGGTCAATTATTCAACCCAGAGCAAGATATCATTTGCTGCACACCATCTGTTCGTGAGATCTGGGGCGGCATAAATATTACTTTGAACGTTTAATACTCCATCACAGGGTTCATTAAATTGATGTCAGACAGATAAAAGCAGCAGCAGCGGTGCAAATGGGACAACTTAAGGGTATTTTTAACCGATAATCCAAAAGAGAGACAGACTCAAACTTGAAAAAGACTCAAGTTTGTTGAGCTGAATGTAAAAATTTTCAGTGTAATTGTTTTCACAGGGTTCAATTTCAGCTCACAGAGCCTTTCAATGTGAGCAAATGATCCTGGGAAACAATAAAACCACCGGCAGATGGGAGCACCTTGAGTGTGATTGTGGATGGACCCCTGAGCCGGGAGCTGGAGGACAGTTGTTGTTCTGGATCTCGTGGCTCCAGGCGGTGTAGACCGGGTTCCTCATCACAGCTGTGACAGCAGGACACGGGGCCAGACCTCGCTGTGCCGGGTCTGGATGGGGAACCAATGGAAGGATTGTACGAAAACAGACAGGGTGACAAAAGATAAAGGACATCATTTTTTTTTGTTTGTTTTGATCTCCAGGTGGATTTTGAGGGTTAACCTTTATCAAACTTTGACTAAAAAGTTTTAGACTAGCTGTTAAAAAACTCCCAATGTACTGTGTTTTGTAAAAGTTGTATAAAGAGCTGCTTTTCTATGCTGTCAAACTATTATTATCAAACTATTATAGTGTCAGCAGCATCAAACTCTTTCTATCAAAATAACTCTGACATGAAAAACCGTGTTCTTCCGTGAGACCAAGTGCAGAGAAATTTCTTTAAAAAGGTGGATGATGAGAGTGAAACTTTAGAACCAACAACTCGAATCACATATTTTGAAGTAAGTTTCAAATACAGACTTTTGTCATCATTTACCTCATAGATTTGAGGCATAACTGTCTGATGACTTACGGCCTGTGATGCTGTTGTAGCTCGGAGGTGCAAAGTTCATGCTGTACCGATTAGTTCGTAAAGGGGAGAAGCGTAACAAGTCCATCGGCTCGGGGGAGTGCTCGTCATTTGAGAAACTCTGAACCTGCGGGGAGCAATTAAACGGTCAAAACACTGGCATGAAACATCTGCAGCAGAGCCAGATCTGATAAAGACCGGATCTCATTTACCTGCATTGGGACGGGGATGTGTAGGGGAGTCACGTTTCGCCGCAGTGCCGGTGCTGATTTTGGCCGGTACCTTCTCTTCGCTGGCTCCCCGGCCCTGTGTCGACCCCCCTCATCCTCTGAGGGCGTCTTGGCGCCGCTCTTGTTCTCGCCTGGAGGAGTGTGAGTGTAGTAAAACTGGTTCCCGGCCTCTCCCTCCACTTGTGAGCTCTTAGCTTGAGCTGGTGAGGCGGGGGGAGTGCTGGTGGTGATGGTGGAGTCGGATGCGGAGCTGTTCTGTTGGCGGTGTTTGAACCTGAACGAGTCGCTCCTGGCTGGTGGGGTAGGTGGCGCCTGAGCGGATTCAGATACTGAACTCTGAGGGGAGTGTTTTGGCATCTGAGACAGGGACATGTAGTCCAGTTTTGGGGGAACATCAGGCCTCCTAAAGGCCGCCACATCAAAGATGGACTTCCTCTGTTTGACTTTTTTGTAGATGGAGAGTTGGGCGCACTCTGGGATTGACCCTCCTGCTATGACTTTTGGCCAAGTGCCTCCGCTAGGCTTTGCTGGTGGGCTCTGCACTCGTTCCACGGCGGTCTGAGGTGAGCCACAGTCGGAGAGCACCGGGGTGAAGGTGAAAGGGCGGTGGTGGAGCTCCTGCCGCCTGTAGCAGAAGTCTGGGTGGGGCTCAGAGGGGCTGTGGGAGGAGGAGAGGGAGCGGGAGTGAAGGGAGCTGTTGGAGAAAGGTTTGTGGTGGCAGTAGGAGCTGCTGCTGCTGCTGTTTTCCAAAGAGTCGTCCATTTCCTTGCACGCTTCTTCCCCTCTGCCACCTGACTCGCAGCTGCAGATCTCCGTTTGCGTCGAGCAGTTGTGCTTGGAGCAGCCGTGCTTCGAGTTTCTGCAGTTCCGGGACTGAATCTCACAAGACTGGAGGCGCGAGATCTTTTCAGAGTCCCTCAAACTTTCCACCAGACTCTGACCGGAGCAGCTTTGCGGGAGGAACTGTTCAGGAATAAAAGAAAAGAAACGCTTATTCGCTACAGAAATTATAACCACAATGGATTTTCTTTGCAGACAAGCTCTCAAAGGGTTTGGCTGATCCCTTATAACTGACCCTGGATCTGGGTTTAGGAGTGTTTTTGAGGGACTTCACCTTTATGAGGGAGACGCTGAGAGAGTCACGGCAGTTCCTCAACAGAGACTCACATTCAGAGAGCGACTTGTTATCGAGGGCGATCCCGTTGATCTGTTTTAAATAATAAAAACATGCCCAAATAAATTACGGTCCACATTGTGTCCTTGTCTTTGAAGAAACTCTGGTGTGTTTATTGATTGAAAGCTAGATGTGTGTGGTCAGCAGGGGGCAGTAGAGGGCATCATCTCTGCTCAGTTTTTGTTTGGTGTACTCACAGCTAACAGTCTGTCCCCCACAGTAAGAGCACAGTCTCTGGCAGCTGGACTACCTGGAGCCAAAGAGGCGACATACACTCCACTTTCCAGGCCGATGCCGCTGTCTGAGAAAAGAAGAGTATACTTTTATTTTAAGATAATATCAACACAGAGTTTCAAGAACTTCAATTACAGTTGTTTAAATAGAAAATACGAAGTCAAAGAATCAGTTTGTTTCTCGGTTAAAGCCTGAAGCTGACCTTTCTGTCCAGCTAGGTTGATCTGGACCGGCGTGATGACTCGTCCTCCCAGCGACTTCCTCCTGCGGACCACCATATTGATCACTCCCTCTCCGCTCAGCACCGCTTTGATCACCTGCTTCCTGTCCTTATTGGTCAGGTCCACATCATTTATTTTCAACAACCAGTCGTTCACCCTGCACAGAGAGAAGAGACGCAGGTTGAGATGATTCCCGAGTAAAAACTGAAAGACTCTTGAGTATCAAGCAAAAATGTCTGGAGGACTGAGTTATTTTTATTAAAAATTGAACACTTTTCTAACTGTAGACAATGATTTTTTCTTTCCCTGCAGAGAAAATCTTCTCCTCTTTGCAAGTATTCTTCAAACAAAGCATTTTAAACTCAGCTCAGTGGTTATCAAACTTTTTCTGCCATGGCCTTTCTCAGAGAATAAAAAACTTCAGAGCCCCGAAACTGAGCAAAAAGAGTCAAGTGAAGCTTATTAACATACCAACATTTATTTCCCCCTCTTTGTTTTGCAAATACAAAAGCTCTTCTCAGCTCATCTCCAACTATCAAACCGTTTCTAGTGACATTTAGCACTGGGTTACTTCCAAACATAACAGCGTGTGCTTTTTCAAAAGCAGAGAAAATTGGCAACACTTTGCTGCTAAAACAACTTTAGAGTTTAAACCCAACAAAACTTCTTTTGCAGCATTTGTCTCTTGATTTCTACCATTTTTTTAAACAAATTAACAACTTTAGATGAGCAGCTTCAAAGTCATAGAGAACTTTTGCAAAAACAAGAAACTTTTTCAGCCACTTTGTCAGATTGCGACATCAGTCTCTGTGTTTCTTTCCCAAAAGTAAACAGAAACTAAATGTAATCTGAAATCACTTCACTAGAAGGATTGTGTGGTTTCTTTCTTGCACACTGATGTAGTTTTAACAAAACGTTATGTCAGCTGGTGGTATTCACCAACTTTTCTGTGACATAACTCGAGTGGTTTGAACATAAAACTGGAGTGTATTGTTTGTAAAATCAACATTTTCAGACGCAGACACAACACTCTCTCTCCTCATGTCCCCGTTGCATTCAAGGTAAATCAGAGCAAGAAAAGAAAAGTGTGATTTTTCCTTGACCTGGTTTTAGTCTGTATTGTTTGCCTCTGCGATTTAACTGTTTGTCTTTTCATGATATCTCTGTTCTGCTGGTTCTGCGTTTTATTAAACTCTACTGCTTGTGTATATCCCTGGTTTGTTTAACGCTCTGCATTGGAGAAGATTCTGACCTACACAGACGGCCTTTATTGCGTCACTGTCTGTGTCTTGATGTCTTTCCTCAAAATTTGCCAAATTATGAGAGTTACACAGAAATGAAATGCTTACCTTAATCTCCCTTCAGCAATACTTCCTTTATCCACCTTACTGACAAATATGCCGCAATCTCCCGGTAAATATGGATCATTTACCCCTTCAGCAATATCAAACCCAAGCGCCTTCAAATCCATGTCCTGAAACAGACAAAATTATTTGTTTAGTAACCACACATTTAAAGTTTGAGTTCATTCACTGACACTTAAGTTTTTAGATTTGCTGAGGTTCTCACTCTGTGCTTTTCAAATTCAACAACTTCCGTCTCCCACTCCATTGAGTCCGTGTCGATGGCTGAATCGTGCGAACTGTGAGCCATCAGGTGTCGAAACCTCGCCTCCTTCTCTAACTGGTCCTCCATCTTTTCCCTGTAGGGAACATAAAACAGCATGGCTCTTTGAATTAAAGACGAGGAAGTCGTCTGAATCTTTGCTCTGTCAGTGACATAAACCTTCCACTGGGTGGCACCAAAGACCTGACATGAGATCTGCGGCCTGAGTTTGAAAAACTGAAAAAGCTGGGACCCCGACAGAGAGAGAAGGAACTCTTTGAATACAAATTGAGTTTGAGATCTAAAAATAATGCAGGAGCTGGCACATGCCTAACAAGGAAAAAAAAAGAGTTAAGGGGAATGACTCACTTCAGCTCTTTGAGCTCCCGTGCAGCGTCGTTCTTCTGCTTCCTCATATCATCCAGATTCCTCAGAGCGTCTGCCAGATCGCTCACAGCTCTGTCCCTCTCCCGCCTCAGGTTGTCACACAGCGTGCTGATGGAGACATTTTCATCAAGAGTCACACAACACTTGGTCCGTTTTCACTGGAGTATTTCAAACACATTCATGCCTTTGTATGCAAATGTAAAAGATTTTTTCATAGTCGCTCCTCACCGTATGCTCTCCCGCTCGGCCACTATCTTGTCTCGCTCCTGGAAGGCCCAGTCCCGCCGACACTTGGCCACCTCTGCCTCCTGCAGGGCCTCCTTCAGCTCCTGAGAGATGGCCTCGTACTGCTTCCTCAGTATGTCGATCTCTTTGTTTGCTCGCTCCATGTCCAGAGTGGCAGAGTCTTGTTTCTGAGGGAGGGGATAGAAAGTAAAAGAAGTGATTAGAAATTCATAATTTGAAGATTTAAACTGCACACCCTGATAGTGCAGAAAAAGTCACGGAACTCAGACCAACATTTGACGTCATGTTAACAATCAAAACAGACAAAAACTTTGATTTATCTTTAGAATAAAATACCTCCTCTTAGTTGTCGTTTAAATCACAATCTAAAAAGTTTCTGTCTTATTCGGTCATTTTATGGGACTCAGACATTGTGTCTGTCAACTGTCAAATGTCCTTAAAATGTGACAAACAGAAAACATACAGAGACCAGATGACTGAGTTTAATGGCTCCTCTGCTCTTAGATTGTCTGTAATAAAAGTAAACGTGATTTAAACATCTATATGGGACCCCAAAGGGCTTTTACAGAGTGCTGGTATTTGCCAAACTGCGAATGAGAACAATTAGAGGTGAAGAGGCTGTAAAACGGTGGAAAAGGCATGAAAAACAAAATCCAGCTCTTTCCAACAAAGCCGTGAATGTGTTTATAAGTTCTTTAGAGAGTAACAGAGGGAACATTGGAGGGAACATTAGGGTTGATTCTTAGGGACAGTGGCAGACAGACGACCTGGGAAATGTCAGAATATTGAGGGTAGTGAAGACTTTGGTTGCGATGCAATATTTATCTCTGATGTGTCCCTTTAGTGTTTTAACCGCTGTAAAACACTCAGAAAATAAAATCCATATATTGCTTTGTCAGTCATCAGTACCCGCAGATCACTGTCTAACATGAGTCTGGTTCTGTTCAAGGTTTCTGCCTGTTCAAGTCCCACTTGGATCAAATTTTTTTTCCTACTTAAATTGTTCTCAGTGGTCTTTAAATTGTGACTATGAAGTTTTTAGCCAAAGTCCCATTACCTGTGTCACTTTCAGCGGTTTTTTTTCGGCAGAGCTCCAGTAGATCATTAACAATTCGTCCTGAGTCGTGGGCGGAGACAGCCCTGCTCTGCAACCTCTACTTCGTGCGAGCTTGTAGCCTAAAATTGCCGGTGCAGCAGAAGTAGCAGGTAACATAGGAGATATTCAGCTCTCGGACACTAATGTCTTTGGGGACACGATGAAAGCTAATATCATAATTAGCTTCCTCATGAGCATTGCAATCCGCTAAAGCACACGCTTGTTCTGCGATCATCCTCTCTACTTCTCGGAGTCTGGCCTGCAGAGAGAGGCACAGGAGGCGGAGCTTGAAATTGTGATGTAAGAAATCTCACTGTCTGAACCCGCCATTTGGGTCTGCCAGATTTGAACGCGGAAATACTCCGCAACACAATTTTGCTCTTAAGGTCCTTACACATGGGGCCGACGCGAATATAGAACGCGAAATTACGAAATATTCGGAGGCGAATTTTACCCGGGTAAGACTTTTTCTGGGGAAAGTCCTGCCTCCTTTGCTGGAAGGAGGCAGGACGCAGGAAGCGTCATCACACGTTCAAGCCAAACGGTCAGCACTTATGGCCAATCAGAGGCGATAAGATAAGCACATGAAACTGTTGTAATAACCATTAGCATACGTTAGCACAGATGAAAGTTAAAACAAAGACGTTTAGCAAACTGTTAAAGCACACAAACCATTATCATATGCGAGATCAGATGCTATGACTCTCCACAAACTATCCTTCAGGTCATTATCTTTGTAATGTTTGTGTCTTTTATCAAAAAGCACTTTGTTCTCCGACACATAAACAATCAGCTGGTCGGCCATGTTGGATATACCGGTGAATCTGACGTCTCAACAACACGCAATCCGATTGGTCAGAAGTGGACACACAGTATGTGAAACAGTCCTGGTGTGATAGGACCTTTAGTTTTCTCATGATATGTCCTCTAGCATCAGAAAAATGCAATATGGACATGTAAACAACAAGAAAAACAGGATTTTCATCAGTTTGGGTCTTTAAAGGAAGTTTTTCCTCTCCACTATAATTTGCTTAATGCAACAAAGTGCATGACTGCGAGCAGGACTGATCCTATGAGATTGGGTTCAATCTTGTCTCGTCTTAACTTTTAATGCAACACACTGCAAGAGTCAAGTCCACGCAGACACATTCATCCTGCATGAAGATGAAGGTCATAGTTCACAGAAACTTTCCAGAGTTAGAGCTTGTTTTGTGGCTTTAACAGTCATCATGTGGTGCTGCAGCGTGTTAGGCTCTTCTGCATGGAAATTTCGAGGTAACTCTGCCGTTAAAAAAGGAAAAAAAAAAAACTCAAACTAAGTCAACTCGAGGGGTAATTTCCCATCATGCTTAACCACAAACATCAAAAATAAAACTGCTGCAAACCAAAATAGCAACTTCTGCCCATCATGTTTTATAGAGGTGGCTTTAGGCAGAACAGTCATAAGGTTGTGTGTTTTGAAGTGGGTCAGATATAGAATAATGAGAGTTTGTCTCAGTCTGCAAGTGAATCTGTAGCACATGTTCTCTGTCTCTAAGTCTCAAAATAACTGCACAACAGGGAGACGTCTCAGTGTGTAGTAAGAGCATTAATTAAACCCACGGCTAAATTAATTCCATTAGACTCTACTACGCTCCTGTTTGGCTTAATTATTCTTCCTGCTGCAGCTTTTATGGGGAATTTGAAGTCAGAGAGCTTTTTTCGCTGTAAGAGCTGGTAATTTGCTAATGCAGGAATCTCAGCACTTTCATTGTAATTAATCTGACAATCATGATTGTGTGATGGATGATACACACATTCAGGTCGAAATCAATGTGTAGTAACCCCCCAGCTGCTGGAAGAGAAAAACATTAACTATAACTATATAAGAGGGGATGAAGGGATTATTGTCAGAGGAATAAATCAATCCCTGTACTTGTAGTGATAAATCTCCAGTCTGTCTCGGTACCTGTCTAGCCTGGTAATACTCTCGTAGCAGCTGGTCCCTCTGGATGATGGCTTCCGTCCTCTCCTTGCGGGCCACGTCCCTCTCCTCACGCACTGTCTCGATGTCCTTGCAGGCCTGGCTCAGCTCCTTCTGGGCCTCGGCCTTGTCCTTCACCTCGTGGCAGTATTTCTCAAGCAGCTCGTTCTTCTCACAGATGGCCCGGTCCCTGTCCACCAGAGCTGAGGCCAGCTCCTTCAAAACACAGAAATAGGTTGCAAGTGGGTTATGAAGTCCAAAGTTCACTTCTGTGACTCAAAGATGTATTATTGAAATGTTTATCCTGTGTTGGTTTATTGACACGACAAAGATCTGGTTGTGTTTGATACTTGACAAAAAGAGGAAAGGGATGTCAAAAATGCAAGAGCTGAGTTAAAGAGACATCAGCCAAATTGAAGAAAACACACTTTGCAACTGATAGTTTGGCTTTAGCATGATTACAAGACAAGCTGAGTGGGCAGAAAATGTTAAATTCAAAGTAATTTGGACCCACAGGTAATAAAAATACTAAATAACTAAATAAAAATAAAGTATCGCGATTTTTTGTTTTACAATTTTTTTATAGATTTTTATGTTCAAAAATCTTTTTACAATTTATAATTTTACACACACAGCAGCAAATTAGCCAAATGTAACTGCCACTCCTTGGGATCAAACTGGTACCTCTAATCTCTTTTCTTGTTTCATTTACTTAGTAAATATGGTATGAAAGAGTAAAACTGATTTTTTCAGCCTGCTGTCAATCATCTGGTTTGACATCAACCCCCCCTCACAGTGTTTTCAGTCATTTAATATAACAACAAAGAAATCCTCTGTGGTTTCATTTGCTTTAGGAGGTGATAAAGAGAAACTAGAATCAGCTTCAGCTTGTTCCTCAGCTTATTAAAAACTCCTTATAGTGCCTTTAACTGTGGAGTCAATCAGTGGTTGAGAATTGTTGACACAGCAAAAACTAAAAAAGGCTTTTTCATATGTTGCTAAAAACTTCTATTAACATATATATTAATATGATGCAGAAATTAATGTGTTCATCCCTTCTTACATCTTCAATATCTTCCTTTTCCTTTTGTTTTAATTAATGTGCAATTTCAAACAACAGCTAAACAATTTTTAGTGCATTCGTTGTTGGTTGCATTGAAAATCTCTATAAAATATAAAAAAGTTCCCCAATTCACTACAAGCAGAGCTGTCACCTGTCTGAGAGCCTCCAGCTCCTCATTGGCCACCCGCCTCTCTGAAGAGGTATTCTTCAGCTTGGCCTCTGCCACCTCCAGCCCGGTCTGCAGCCGGTCCACCTCTTTAATCACTTGATCCCGCTCACTCATGATCAGCCGGTACTCGTTGATCACAGAGTCCCGCTCCTCCTTGTATTTCTCAGAGTCTTTGGCCGCCTTGAGCTGCTGCGTCTTCAGCCGCGTAGCCTCCGACTGCAGCCGCTCCATCTCTCGCAGCAGCTCCTTGTTCTGCGCTGCCGCCTTGGACAGCTCCTGTTGCGTGTTGTCAAACCTGTGCAGCATGGAGAAAGTGTTGCTTTTACTCTGTCTGAGAAACTGTTCCACTTTCTATATGAACGTCTATATGAATGTCTTTTTAATAAATATAAATAAAACCAATACATAGACAGTCAAAAACAGCAAGTGACCTAAGATTGAAATCTCAGCATTATAAAAGAAAAAGTTAAATTTAGAAAGCATCTGCCCGTCTGCAAAGCTTAGTCTGCTTTGGATTAAGAATGATTTAAGCACTGTGCAGATCTGACCTTGGCATTAAAATCAACTGAGTTTGTATGACTTTTGACAGCTGCTACGCCTGTCTGTGCAGCTGATTTTTGGTCTCTGCGATATGTCCAGCTTTACCTTCTTATAGAAGAGGAGTACTGCTGCTGGTAGTGGATGGCGGCATCTCTCTGTTTCAGCAGCATGTCCAGTTGTTTCTGCAGCTGGTGGTTCTCCTCCTCGGCCTGGTCTAGACGGCTCAGGTCTGCGTTGTGACCGGCCGTCTTCTCGTTGTAGCGCTTCCTCAGGAGCTCGTAGTCGCTTTTCATGGCCTCCAGCTTGTCCACGGCGGAGTCGTAGAGCTTATTGAGGACATCAGATGAGCCCTCTCTCATCACCTGGAGATGACAGCGATCAGAGGCTTTAGTGAGTCAGGGGAGGACAATGGGGGCTGTTCCTTTCATCTATTTGTGGCGTGTCCAAATGAGAACAATAAAGGTGCTGATAAACAATGAAACAGAGTGTCCCTGCATCATTCGATTAGTAGAAGGTCCCATTAGTTCCCACTGTTTTCTATAAGTTAACTGAGCAGAGATATTATTAATGCTGTCTAGTGTTGGGCGGTATGACGGTATATACCATGTGACAGTATAAACGTGTCTATCGGTAGAAATTTTGCTATACCGGAGAGAGAGAGCAGATGTCTGCTGCATCTCTCTGAGTCACTGTGTAGTTGTCTGCGCTCGCTAACAGGAAAGCCGGAGCAAGTCCGTTTGGGTGCGTTCCCTTATATTTACCAGCATGTTGTGTGAAGTTTGTTCGCTCTGCTTGATTGGTCAGGTTTGGGTGTGCTCCCTATAATCACCAGCGTGTTCAGCAGACTGCTTGGCATAGTTTTGACGAAGAAGAAACAGCTTCACTGGTGGTGGTCATGGCAAACACGGAGATTAGTGGCAGTACCGAGAAAACAGAGGCAGCCCGACCCACCCAATATAAGGAAGAGGAGGAGGAACTTGTGCCGAAAAAGGGCGTGAGTCACAATATCGTTTTTTGATCATTGTCGGATCTAGAAAATCCGACAATGATCAAAAAACGATACTACGCAAAGAGTGCCGTGTGGGCTGTCATTGCTGGAGGTGGAAACACCAGTGACCTCTTCCACCACCTAAAGATGAAACACGCCAAGTTCGACTATGAGAGCCAAAAGATGTGTAGCGCACCGGCTGCTCCGAAAACTAAAGCAGCAGCAGCTCCTCTCATACAAAAGAGCTTGATAGAGTCTTTCGCCAAAGGTACGCCATGTGATAAAATATCGCCAGACTGGTCTGCTGTAAATCGTGACCAAGATATGAAATTACTCATACCGTGATATAAGATTTTGTTCATACCGCCCAACACTAACGCTGTTAGTGACTAACTTAACTGGTCATATTTTTCTAGAGAGTTTGAAGGCAGTCAGTACTAACTATGACTGCAGAGCTCGAACCCTCCTTAAAGAGGAACCAGGATGGGTCTCAAGCTGCACAAAGTTCAGTTTGTACTTAACCGTGTACCATATGTCGCTGTTGTGTAACAACCACACAATAAATGTTGACTCTGGACTGACATCGCTCAGCTAATTTGTTTTCTAATTTGACTGATGCTGAACACAAGTTTGCCTCAGGATGACATGAGCTCCTAAAACAAGAGGGCTTTTATTTTGTAAGGCACGCCCCGTGGCTATAAAATCATTTCATAATCCCACGCTCTGACTGAAACAGGTTCGGTCGTTTGTTTAATTTGAAGGAGTCCTTTGATCGGTGAAGACTCTGAAGGACAAGCTTATCTGACCCTGTTTCTCTGAGCCATGTCCTTATCTTGGAAATAATGGTCGGAGAGAGGAAGCAATTGATTCGGTCTTTGATGTGAAGATCCTGATGATTTGATGTCAAGGACAGATGGAGATATGAATGAGTGTGTGTAGGAGCAGGCAGACAGTGAGCATCAGTCAACGCGTCTATCTGTGTTTTAATTCAAAGCTGTTTAAGCATTAATGTTAAGGAGATTTTCAGCTCCACAGGTACCTGTTGGTGCAGCATCCTCATGTCAGCTACCTCCCTCTGGTCCTCCTCGTGCAGCCTCCTCAGCTCCTCGCAGGCCTGCTTCACGTGGTTGTGCTCCCTGACCAGCTGGATGTTGTCCTGTCGCACCGCCTCCAGCTCCTCTTTTAGCTGGGCCTGCTCACTCACCAGACGGCTGTGCAGCGTACTATGGACACAGTATAGACTGTAGCATCAGACTGTGGACTCTGACAGCTACGCTTTGAATCAGTATGGAGGCAAAAGTGTTACTGATGACTCATTAAAGAAATACTCTGAGCTCTTGTGAGACAGGTGAAAACTGATATAGATGCCTCCAGACCATCAGAGATAAGACTGATTTTTTTTTGTGTGAGCACTTTTCATACAAAACAATGTAGCAGAAAGTTCTTTACACAGAAGAATAAAAGAAACAAAGAATATCTGACTCTACAGCATCCCTGTCTCCAATCCAATCCAAGCACAACACAAACGAGTATTAAAACACATTGACTTGAAAAGAGCTCGATTTAGTACAAACAGGAATGTGCACACTGAGGAAATGCTAGGGCTGGGCGATATGGCCTCGAATCAATATCACCATATATTGAGCAGTTCATCTCGATAACGATAAATGGACGATAACTACTCCACAAGCTGCTCACCCCTTTCCACATTAACTTCATCTACTTCAGCCGCTACAACTTTTGAACCGTCCTCCATTTTCTCACCTGTCTTTCTCTCTTTGTTACGGACTGGATGGGGTGGACTCACATTTCCAACATAGGACAGCGTCTTTTATTTTTGTATTGTTTCAACACCAAATATACTGACATGGGCAAAATGACGTTGGTTATTGGCGTGGATTTCAGTATCAGTAAATGTTTGCTTTATCGCCCAGCCCTAGAAAACCCCATCTTAAAATTCAAGATGAGGACACACTGGAGGTAAGGTTAAAATTCAAAGACAAAGTAACATAAAATCAAATGTAAGCAACAATAAATACAATGAAATAAAAACAAAAGTAGGAGTTACTAAAATAAGAGCACCAAAATAGCTCAATAAAAGACGATCCTGATATTAAATCTAGGCAGAGATAAATGTTTAAACACTCAAACAAAATTAAGTTAATGATATAAAATTTAGTTGAAACCAAGACTAAAAGGGTACGTGTTGAGTTTGCTTTTAAAATCATTCACTGGGAGGATGTGTGTGTGTCAGAGAAGACACTTGAATGCTAAAGAAAGTCTTTTTAACATTCACCACAGCTGAACGTTCTTGTTAGTGATGCATCTAAAAGGTAACAAGACCTAATGAGTAGGAGGACACTCTGCAGTAAAGACACAGTCTATTATGTATCTGGATATGCAGATAAGTAAGTAATCTCCTTTAAAGTAAAATCTTGTTTCAATGCTTCTCTCAAAGGCTCTTTCTTTTAATTCCATTTTGCTGATTAGCTTTATGCCAACACTAACAATGAAACAGCCAGTTATGTAACACTGTCTGACTTTTAGCAGAGCAAACATTAACGACCAATAAAATCATCCATGATCACCGAGCGCTAATGTTAGCTTTCGTGTTAAGTGACTTATTGATCGGAGCGCAGTGTGACGCCTCATTCACAGAGCATGCTGTTTAGTGTGAATGACTAAGTGCAGAGGCAGACGGAGGCCGTAATAAACTAAAGACTTTCTCTGTGGTGCAAACAGGGGGCAGAAGGAGAGGCTTAAACATGGCAATAATCCGTCCTCCGTCTGTTTGCATTGGGGCCAGATGTCGGTCCCCTACACTTGGAGACAGTATGGCATCACTAAATCACACAAATGGACCGGCCGTGGGACAACAAATGCTCTGTCCGCGGCTTGATCCTCATGGCACAGATGCCGTGCCATGCACACAGGGTTTACATGATGATGATGATGATGACGATGATGATTACAGAGCGTACTTTGGCATGAACTCCTCAAGGGCGTGACTTATAGAGAAGTAAATCAGTCCCTGCTCTCGAGCGTGGTGTGAAGAGATGACTCGGGATTTGTGCTGCTGCTGCTGCAGGAGGAGGCTATGAAAAACTTTGTGAAGGGATCAAATTAAACTGATGAAGGATTTTTTTTTTTTTCAAGGCTTAACTCCTCACTTCTGGTACCATTATAAAGACTTCATCCCTTCAACTCTCTCAAAAATGAAATCTGTTCAATGCAATCTGCCGTGAATATGTCAGAGGAGGAACTGAAAAGCAGATCTAGCCCTGCAGGCTGAGTGTGAACACATGCAGCACAATTGCAGCACAACTGTTAAAAAATTCACTCAAATAAAAAAATAAAAAAAGCCTTAAAGTGGGCTTTTCACTCACTGGTAGAAGTCAGCTTTCTTCACAGCCTCCTCGCACCTCTTCAGGGTGGTGCTGTGCTGGTTCTGCAGGGACTGCAGGTCCGCCATCGCCTTCATGCACTGCAGCTTCAGTCGCTCGTAGTCATGACCTGCTTTTGAGTTTGGTCTGTTCAGCAGAGGAGAGAAGGGGAATCAACTGGGGATGCTTAAAAGATCTAGTTTTAAAAACACCACATGGGAGGACGAGAGAGAAAAAAAAACACAATGAACATCAGACAAACTTTGTGCATTTGGGAACACAAGAGGAAGAGCGGATTCATTAAATTTGCATGCTTACCCGTTGTTTTACAGAGTTGAGCATTTTCTAAGGCTATTTCATGTCACGAAGACCTCTGCTCACTTGTTTTTTTGTTGCATTTGGTGGCCAAACATGGCAAAATGAGTGTATTCACAGGGAGCAGCTGTTCACCGGATCACCTCTGCCTTTATGTAAATGTTTGATTTGGGAAAACAGGCAGTCAGGAACGTGAGATCAGAGCGGTACCTGCAGTCATCGAAGGTGCTTCCAGGAGAGGAGAGAGCGAGGCGCTTGCGTAGCTCGTCTCTCTCGCGGGTCACGTGCCGCAGCTGGAACAGGACCGTCTCCAGCTTCTCGCTCACCTGGTGGCCGTCCATGTGGGCGGGCGGAGGGGAGGAGGCTTGACCGGACGTACCTGTGAGAGTCAGCATGTCACTGGTGGAAAATACTGTGCTACAGCTCAAAGAGTGTGGAGGACCACGATGCAGCACCACTGATACCTTTAAAACACTCTTTAGGTGGATGTCGAACTCCACACTCTTTAATTTTCACACTTTTTTACTTTAATTTCAAACTCCTCTGCACCTCTGATATTTCTACGCCTCATCTGCAATGTGTAACAAACAGAGGTGTAACGGCGGGGAAAAAAGGTGTTCCTCCTTAGAGGTGGTGACGTGCGTCAGAGAGAGCAGGGCGGAGCAGTCTTGTGTGTACGTGCATGTGCACATGTGGCTTCCCTGTTGTGTGTTGATAACCTGTGCCTCTCGTGCTTCTGCGGTGCCTTGACATGTGTGATCACACACTGTATCACACTTTATGGGGGAGCAGTGTGTCAGCCCACACGGCTAAATTGAACTTAGGTGCTGTTGTGAAGTCGCAGCTACACATTTAATATTTAAGTTTCAGTTTTAAGGACATTAACCCTTTAAATTACGAGGTGTGAAATAATGATCTCTGTTTGGTCAATATGCGTGCATGAATAACATGGGTGGAATTATTAGTTTTGTTATGTGCATTCATTCGCAGTTTGCCATGAATCGCCTCGACTATTTAACAACCAACATTTGTTTAATCATTCACCTTAATAACTCTGTATCTTGTGCCTTTGAATGCATTATAAAAAATATCCCAAGAAACTGAAGTGAAACAATATAATGTCCTGTTTACCTTTCTGTGGCATGACCCAAATCCTCCCTCCCTCCCTCCTTTAGAGAATGGCTACATAAGTCAGGTCTTTGTATGTGTATTTCTGTGTGCGAGTGTGTGTGTGTGTGTGTGTGAGTGTGTGTCTGGGGTAGCGGGTTTCTAAATCCTTCTCACATCTGTGTAATCACTTGCATGTGCTCAGAGTCTAAACAGGCAGCCACCAATGACCGCCTGTTATTGGGTTGAAATTATCTGCAGACTGCGCTCTGAACTCGATTCTTTTGAACATTTTTTTTTTTGGTTTGTATTTCTTGTTGACATTTTTACACCGGACACCTGAGCACCACCACAAGCGCCACACTCACCTAAGCTGCTGAGGGAGCTGCTGCTCTCCGAGTCAGATGGCATAGTGGACAAGATGCTGTAAGTGGAGCCTGTGAGAGGGAGGGGGGGGGACAAAAACAGTAAAGTCAGCTGAGAGTGTACTCGACCATGTCTGCATAATAGTAAGATGATTATCTCCAGCATTGTGTGCAACATCAAGGCTCTCTGGCTCAGGTTACAAGCAGGGGGCCTTTCCAGCTGGAGGAAGAATAAGGTGGGACTTTCCCCGACTCTGGCTGCTGGGCCTGTGGGCTGACAGCACAGTGTGGCTAATTATCAGTTGGACAAGGAGCTTGAATACTGACCAGCCAGGGCCCCAAAGAGGCTGCAGCCTCAGAACTCCTCCTTTCATCTCCTCTGACAACATCACACAGCTCCCCCCGTGAAAGCCCCTTCTTTTAGAGCCTACAGTGATTCATAATTAACTGTACAGAGAGGACGACTCAATGCGCCATTAAAGAGGAGGCTGTGCTGCAAAAACCGTCATTCTCAAGAGAAAGTGAAAATCTAAAATTAGCTTCTTTTCTTTTGTTTGTATGCCATGAATTTTTGAGGAAGTCATTTGGTAATCAAATGCTGCATAAACTAGAGCAGTCCGCAGTTAGTTAGCCGTTTACAAGACTGTCGGCATCACAGTTAGTGTGCGTAGAGATGCTGCTGTTTAATTTACAGTGTATTTGACATTGCAAATGTTTAAATTTAGGACTGAAAGAGGCTTTATTTTCACTCCAGGGCATGTTGATACAAGAGAGAGAACTAACTCAGGTTCAGACAGCAGATATAAAGAAGATAAAAACACTTAATTAAACTAAGGAGAACTTCAAAATCAGTATTCACTAAAGCCAAAACTGGTTGTATCATATTAACTGTTAAGTAGAGTGAACATTCGTGTGCTAGTTTTATATCACACAACACAACAAGGTGTCAACGTGCAAAAATATGTGTTCGTATTTCCCATGATATGTTACGTCTAACACTGTTTAGTTTATTAAGATACTAGTAGTTGCACTTGATGCGGTGAAGAACTTGAGAATTTATTTTTAAGTGCCCAAAAACCCAAGACACAAAACGAGCAGAATTCAAAGACCTATTTAAAAGTTAACTGGTCTCGTACAGACGAAGGTAATTGACCAATAAATGATTTGTGGGTTCATTTAAGTGTCAAATATTGTTTTTTACTTTAAATAACTCACATGAATTTTCTCTGTCCTTTTATGTCTTTTTATGGTCCTTTTATCTTTTTTATTTCTTTATTTCTCCACTAAAAAAGTGGAACCTCACAGTTCCTTCAAGTGTGTAAGAAAACAGGGATTTAAATGATGCTCAAAATGTTGACCAGACAGCGATATGGAAGTAAATCTGTGCCATCTGATATTGAATTTGAATTTCTAAAGCTGAATTATTTTTTTATTTTTGCATCAAAATCAGAATTTGAATTTCAAAACAACATCAGTAAAAATTTGACTTTAAAAAACTGTGTAAAAATAATTAAGCATAAAAAACAAAATTAATTGTCAAATAATCCAGTGGAAAAAAATTCAGTGTAAAAGAGACAGACTCAACATCCAGGTAACCAGGTAGAAGCAATCGATTCCTGGCTCAATCATCCATCGTCCAGCCAATCAATTAATTCTAGATTGGTCATATGGAACCGACCCCAGTGGAAGATGAAATCCATCCATTGCTTCTCCCTGGTTTCCTGGATCTTGAGTCGGTCTCTTCTACACTGAGTTTTTTTACACTGAATATTTTTACTCTTCATTTTTTTTTTTTATGTTAAATTTTTTTTTTAATTTTTCTTTAAGTCAAATTTTCACTAAACAAATATTTTAAGAGACCGTTTTTTTTTACACCAAATTTATTCCATCATTGTGAAAAAAAAGTTAGTGTCAGAGATAAAAATGCGTGCTTAAAAATTCAATGGTTTTGAAATTCAAAGTCTGATTTTGATGCAAAAACATTTCAGCTTTAGAAATTCAAATTCAGATGGCACAGATTTACTTCCATACAGCTAGCACTGTACACTCGCTCAGGTCTATCCTGTTCTGGGATGAGCAAGTCCAGTAAAGTTCAGTAAAATCAGCAGCTTCCAGTCCTGATGTAGAGTCTGACGCTCTCCTCAGAGCAGGAGCATGACAAACGATTCTATTTACCCACGTCTCGGTCCTCCGCATCAATCCCTGCCTGGCTGAGCTCCCGCGAACTAAAGGAGACTATGAGTTTGATTAAGACTGGAAGGAGCCCAGCTAACATGGCTCACCCCGCTTTTTCCCAGCAAAGGATTGAAAGAAGAAAAAAAAAAAAAGAAAAAGAGGGAGACTGATGTGCCTCAGGAACCGTGGCATCCCATGGATCAAGCTCTCTTTGTTCCTGCTCGAGCTTAAGTTTCCCATGACTCTGTTTGAGCAAAGAGTGTCTCAATGGGCAAGGTTCACTGTGTCATAGCTTGCTCACTTTTCTACTCCCTGGAAGTCATGTGACCTGGAGCTCGCTGTCGGTCTGACCCTCAAGTATCTCATTTAGTTTGATCTGGTTTTTTTTTTTTTTGGTCAGACTTTGGAAAATTTCCTAAAACTTCTTCTAACAAAGCTGGAAAACCAGAAGCACCAACACAAACCCGGTCTGGTGCTCTGCAGCTGCGCCGATAATCAATGAGAGACACTCTGCCTTGTCAAAGGAAATGGGCACAAACCCTGATGTGACAGCTATACAATATGTTCAATATGAAACATTTTTATGCTCTACAAGTCCATACGGTCATATTTTCTTTTTCATTGATCCAGCAGCTCTAGGAAAGGTCATCCATTTTTCCAGGAAGTCATAAATTAAAAAAACACATGAGGCAACAACTGGCTGCTACCATTACGAGCTGACATTGTTTGCTCTTCCAAGCTAAGATAGAAGTATTCAGTGATACATTTGTGAAGTTCTCTCAACTTTTTAATGGCCAAATATGGTTAATGATAGATGATAGACCAGTCTGTGCAACACTGTTTTAGATGCTGCCCTAAAAAGCTGGCTCTGGTATGGAATATTATGAAGCTTATCTTTCAAACGTTCACTAAAATGTGTTATGAGCATAAAAAAAAACATGCTGCTTAAGTCTGAGATCATCAAAATAAGAAGGATAGTTGATAAGTGACTCTGATATTGTAAATTTCCTGAACTGTATAAAAACCAGAGCACACCTTTTAATATATTTATTTCAACTCTAATCTAGCACTCAGCCACCTTCCAATAAATACCATTTAATTGGTGAAAAAATAAACGTTTTGGACTGATTTTGACTGTGGAGATTTGCAAGATATGTATGTTAGATAATGTGCAGTCTTTAATACTTGCAACATTTTTTTTTTTTTTTTTGTGCAGGATTAAGTACAAGTTTAAAGCTAAAGGAGTCTTGCTTTGTTAAGACACAGATTGACATAAAAAGCGATGGTTCTCTTTGTCACACATAAGTAAACCACCATTGACGACACAATCAACAATTTCTATGTTGTGATTTTCAATGCCTGTGAGTACAGTGGGGGGGCACATGCACAGCAGGAACAACCTTAGCTACTTATACCGCAGCAATCATTTACAGTTGGTGATAAAGTTCACTCTTAAAATAACTCAACTACAGTAATTAATTCTCAATATCAAAAGTGACACCAGGAACAACCTCACCATACAGTATCAAAATGATCAGCAGCAGAGAGTCGTGCGCATTTCACAACTGTCTGTTTACATTGTGGAAAAATGGTTAATCGTGTCAGCACTCTAAGTTGGTGAAGATTGACAAAAAGTTACTAAGCACACACATAAGAGCAGCCAAAGGTACAACCCTCATTTCTAAGCTGCAGATTTGTATAGAATAATTCAAATCTTGCATGGCGGTGATGATAGCAACAATGTTAAGTAATGTTAAAGGTGTCAACTGCAAAGCTCCAAGAATAATGGAGAAGATTAATGTTACTACTGTCACTCTGTCACGTCGCCCACCTTTTTTATTAGAAATGCTGAGTTTGTATTAGTTACAGCAAATACGCGGGATAATGTGAATTGACCATGGTGTGAATTAATACACAGTTTTAAGTGAATCTGTCCTACAAAGAGGCTGATAAGAAACTGTTGGCATGCAGCTCCCATGTAAAAGATTTTCCAGCTTTTGGACATGAGAAGTTTTACTCTACAAGACCTCGAGTATACACTGTTCTGAAGTGTAAAAGAGGAGGAGTTCTACTTTAACATCCATTGGATGAATTACCACAAAGTTTGCTAAAGATATATCTGGTGCCCTGAAGATTTTGTTAGTTTTAATTTTGTAAATGTCTCCTTACCTCTGCATTCTTACCAAAGCTAAGGTAAACGCTCAGGTTTGCAAAATGTGGATTTATCTATCTTATGCATCACCTCTTTGTCTAATTCTAAACTTGTTTGAAATTCAGCGTCAGGTGTTTGACTCTTTAATAAAATGCTTTTTTTAGCGTCCGTAGCAACAGAAAAGTTGTGGATACTCCAAGCTTTGGAGGAGTCACTCTCCTTCTGTCTAAGTTTCAGCCTTATTTACTGTGGCACAACAAAGTGAAGACGTCAGACTGATACACACCCTTATAATGTGCTGCCGTCATTTATTGTTCTGGGAGAAAAGGTGAAAACCATCTGTAAACAAAAAGGCCTCTAATGTCTGTCAAGCCCTGCAGCTATGGTTATATAAAACTCCTGAATATCTTTGTCTCTTTAGGACAAATAAAGCTCTGTGAGATAAACACCTTTTAAGTACTGTATCACTCTTGCAGCTAAGTGCTCAGCTCAACAGGCAGCATTCAGCATCTCTGTTGTTGACATTTGATTTCAGAGCTCCTGCTGGGCTTCACTAATGAAGCTCACCCTTGTTAACCTTGTTTTGATTGTAAAGATGATCTCTCCCCCCATCCCTCCCCCTTTGGGATTGGGGGGTGTCTGGGGAGCAGCTTCATCACGCTGCTGACGGAGCATATTGTTTCAAAAAGGTAAGCTACTTCTTTTCCAAGGGAAAGGCCCTTCTTTTGGCGGCGCAGTGGAGGAACCTGTCCGCCCGGTAGCGTAAAAGCAGCTCAGCCCATTTGAGCCTGTGTGACTTCCAACAGAGAGCTGCAGACTTTTGACAGTGACTCATTCAAAAACAGCAGAGAGTAAGAGTGTGTGCAAACATCTTCAACAGCAGCGAAAAAGCCAGCGAGTGCAAAATGTGGCACAAAAATGAACAACACTTTTAAAAAAATGTGCAGCTTCACTTCAGTCTTATAAATTATGAGGATGGAATTAATGCATAATTAACACCCCTCTATTCAACTCACCGCCTATCACACGATATTTGGGAGGGAACAAAGCAACCCAGCAGCGCAAATATTGCTTAAGGAGCAGAAGAGGTGCTGCGCAAGTACTATGTGACAGTGTGCATTTGTTTCTTTGAACTCCGCTGCACATGCAAACTACATATAAATGGAAGATCTGTCGCTAAATGTGCTATCACCAATGTTACACACGCTCTGGTTTCTGCTGCTTTTGAGAAAGGAAAGTCGTTTCTGGAGCTTCAGGACTGTGCTAGGATGATGTGAAACATGCTGCTGAAGAAATCAATTAGATCCCGGGCGAACTAGATCGGGGGCTGACAGGCTGCAAGCATCGTACAATCAGAATAATCATTATGAATGAGTGGTTTATGTGCGGCAACTAATCAGCAGCATCAAATAAACTGGATTCAGATGAAATGAGATGTTACCTGAGGACATTAGAAGTAATATCACTGAGTAAAATGGAGATAGGAGAAGTAGTGTAAACTTGAAAGCACTTTAAGATTTTAAATTCTCATATGGATGCATGATATTGAAATTTTTTTAACTTATTTTGGTCAGTATATGTCTTTTTTGAGCTACGAAGAACACCAAGTCTCTCCTGTACCTGCATTTACATATTACTCTTATTGTGACAGAGAATCTCTGTTAGAAATTGTTATAAAATACAAAAGAAAATACCCGATTTAAGCATTTTTACAACAAGACCTTCAGTATTATGACCACTCTGGCTTTATTATATGACTAAAGCAGTGGTTGACTCATTACTTCCTAGAAACTCTAAGTATTGTTCAGGGTGGCTGTTCCTGAGATGCGATATTTAAGTGGTAGTGTTCACCCTGCATTACCTGTGCTTTACAAGCATTGCGAGTAGCTATTTGGATATAATTTTACAACCCTTTAAAATACTTCCATGCAGCCTACATGATAAAGCACATTGGCCCAATTCAGCTGCCATTGCACATGCATGAATAGTGCATCACCCTACTAGCCTTTTAGTGATAGTGATAACTTTTCAAGCTCTTATCAGCCAATACTGATATTATGTTGATTATATTGTGCATCCCTTGTATCTCATGATTCCAGTGTGCCCTTCGGACAAAAAAAAAAAGACACTGAGGTTGAACCATTAGAAAATCAATAGCCATCTAGTAGCAAATGTTGACGTCAGCTTTGGTTAAACTACAAATCATAAGTCTGTAATTGTAAACTGCGCTAGGAATCGCTTTAGACTGTTTAAACTTCACGAAAACTTTCTATCTCATTAAATCAAAAACTTATATTTACCAGTTTGCAGATGTGGGTCCAGCTTTCAGTTGCAGTTGTATCAAGCTCTAAATGACACTGCTATTCCCCTGTAAAGTAAGTCACCACACTGTGTGCATTATCACACTTTTAATTCTTCTCTTTTTCATTGGTCTCCTACAAAGGCTTATTGATTCATATAGAACTTTAGGCAGCCCTCCTATCACTACATTGATTGTCTGAGTCTTTTTAGGTCCATTAAATGCTTTCACAAAGAGCTGGCAGGCTGTGCTTTTAGTGACATAGCAGAGGAAACAAGCACAGTAGTGTGAGTGTAAATAAGCATCAGGTCACATGATTGTGAAGCCCTCTCTCTCTCTGCCTCTCTCTCCCCCCTCTCCCTGTGTATTCTTGCCTAAAGGAAAAGTCATGATGCCCTTCATCAAGTTGTCATATGGTCAATAGGTCTAATGGGAGTTAGATAAGTCTGGATCAAACTTTGGATCAGAACCAAAATGAAGGACATTAATCATCTCTAACACTCTTTACAACAGCTCCATGAGGCTGCTGTAGCAGTTGCATAATGATCTAGTTTTGTCCATTTTTGTAGGCAACAATATATAGAGTTATGGATTCTATCTATGTCTCTTACCGGTTGTGTGATCCACTGGTCCAACGCCGTTCAGCAGCACAGAGTGCAGGTGAGGGTGCGTCTTCTCCAGAGCCGAGCAAAACTCTGCGAAATGGTCCCTGTCCTTACTTATCAGGATCTTCAGCAGGAGGTCCACTTTTTCCGAGTTGGAGGAGCAGTTATGTCCCAGCTCGAAGCACTCAGACTGGCTGAGAGTCCCGCAGTGAGCCAATACATCCACAACTCGGTCCGCATCTGTTATCGACTCCACTAAGTTCTGGTAACATTTCTCCAACAACTCTTTATGCTTTGGCTCCATCTCCTCTTCTCCTTCTCCCCCTCCTCCTCCGCCTCACTCACTTCGCTTTAAAACCAGCTCCGGGACAAATCCAGCTTCTTTAATCTTTCTGGCAGTCACTTCCTACCACTGTGGCGACTCCCCGAAACTACGCCGCTCAGCCCAGTTGGGACGGTTTTCCACCCGAATTGAAGGATACACAAGAAGTAGCCATATTTGTTGCCCAAGGCTGTTGACTGCACGAAGATGACAACACATTCTCCCAACCGCCGCTCCGTCCTTCCCGACGGACGAAACGTCTCTGCCGCTTTAAGTTCAGCTCTGCGCACGTTACGAAGGCATTGTCGACCCCCAACTTAAGTTTTTTTTCAACATACTAAGAAGTGTTTAAAGAAACTCTTCCCCAGCCCTCTCTGTCAGACCTCTAACTCCGCCATGTCTCACCGTTCAAGCAGCTGTAGTCCTGTGCCAATCATATTTCCGTGCAATGGACATTTAAGGTAAAGGGAGGCGGGGCTTTGTTTGTAAACGCACCTGGCTCCCTCCAAAGCGGCTCTGTAATATCCATTACGAAAAATATGACTCGATAAGTACAGTGTTGAAGCACTCAACTAATAAAGGATTGCCCGGGGAGGGTTGTTATACTTTTGCCTTGCTTTCAGTTACACTACTGAACCGCCAAAACAACGACACACAAGGGGGAGTGCTTTTGTCCTCAATATCAGCACGGCTGTAACTCAGTAGGGGAGACCGGGGCGAGTGTAACGCACTCAATATCATGAGTTGGCTATATAAGATTTTTTTTAAATGCCTTTTAGATTATACCTGTTGTAATGCAGTGGTTGGGGGCAATCTTTACAGTTTTACATTTTCTCTGTTGCTGGATGCTTTACATGTTAACAAGAAAGTAGCAATCACTATCCGAAATTTCTTATAACATAAAAGAAATCTAATTTTCAAAATGACTGCATGCCCATTTTTTCTCTAATATAGAGGAGAGTGGGGTAAGTTGAGCCACTCGCTGTTGCTTGGAAATGGTAAAAGAAATTGATCATGTGACCAAATATTTAGGAGATGGTCATCAATTCATGGAGTCTGTGAAGGTTAGAAGCACATAGGTGAAGGGGTTAGACATTTATTTCCAAATAGATATTTTTCACTCTTGAAAGTGAATTTAGTCTTTCATAAGTTTGATTAGAATTGTGTTCAGACCAAAAAAGATCATTTTAAATTTGTTTTACACATCAATTGTGGTATCTATGAGCTACAACATGAGGTCAAAAACCTACCATTTTAGCTTAGAGGACGAAAAAGTCATAATAGTAGTTCTGGGGTAAGTTGAGCCGGTGGCTTAACTGAGAAAGTAAAGAAGTCCGATGAGAGAATCAGAGATTCAGTTCAGATTGTTGAAATGTGTTACTTTTTCTTTTCACTTTTTTTTTAAATGCTATATTATCAAGACAGTAATATTTACACTCATTCAGGGATGCACAACATCTTGAAATATATGCAGATACACTAGTTAGAGACAAAACTATGATTGCCTTGGTGTAGTGATCCGAAATATGAAAATGGCTCATCTTACCCCACTCTACCCTAATGCTGTTAGGAGCTGGTCGTGGCCTGCAGACTTTTGTTTGTTTTCTTCCTTTAAAATCACAGGATGATAGTGCTCTATCTGAAAAGACTAGAAGCCAAACAGTGGTAAAAAAAAATTTAAATAACATTCTTGCAGTGATTACTTTTTGTAACTGTAGTGGTTATGACTGACTCACTCAAGTTAAGATTTAACTCTGTAATTTTGTGAATTCCTGAAATTTAGAATGGTCTCATAATGTAGTTTATAATGACTCTCCACACATTGTATTGGTCTTATTATAGAGGTCTTAATCTGTTTTGCAATGCTGCATCTCTGGTGTTTCATAGATTAAGAGTTTGTATTGTTCAGCAGGTATTTAGATAGCCTAGAGTAGGCTATATATAGTATTAATTATCATTATATTCTGATCGGTGCATTGCCTCCCAAAGCCTCATCTGGTCAGTGAATCCAGTCGTTGATACATTCATCATGGGATTTAGCTTCATTTTGAGGTAAATCCAGTATTGAAGCTTTATTTCATGATCTGATCTCTTTTCAAAGCAGCCTGTATACCTCCAAATCGTATAGCTGCCTGTTTCTCATCTGATTCGCCCCCTGACACATCTGCTGCTGCTGCTCTGTGAGCTTTCTTCTGCTCCACATAATCCATGAGATCTCAGAGGAGGCAAACGTCATATAAAGCTGATATTCTTAAGAAACAAATTATCTTAAAGCTTGAATGAAATCTCAGGAAGACTGCCCACTATAGGTGCTTATCTGTAGCCTGAATACAAACCGCTGAACTGAGAGGAAGATGAATTTAGAAATCTACTTGGAGCTCATTTGCGATAATTGCTGACATTTCTGTGTATAATTCAGAAGCTGGGGTGTGCAGCCGAGCTTTAAAGCTAACACAGTGTGCCTTTACATTACTTGTTAACTTTGGCACAGCTTTAACAATGTTAGAGGTTATCTAACTGCTCTGCTAATTTATTTTTGTATGCAGGGAAAAGGTGAAATATTTGTGAATTATGTAGATACATGATTTAATCACTCCTCCCTGAAACAGGCTGCTCATACATCTTAAAACTTTAAACTCCCTCTGTTGTTCTGCAGTGAATACATTATGTTGGAGCCATTTATAGAGTTGCCGTCTGTTAGATCCCGCTCATCCAAAGCCTCCTTAACTTGATGTTTTCAGACTGCAAACACTAACAGAAGGGAGCAGTTGTATCAGCTTTATTTTTCTATTTTGTCGAATATCAGAGGGTGAACCTCAGGCCTGCAGCTCTGCAGGCTGGATAATGATATCTGCTGTAACATCTCATTATGTGTTGTCCATCTAATCCTCGGGTTTGTAATTTGCTTATATGCACTCATGAAGTTTAAAGCAGGATTACGTCCCTGGCAACCAAATGTCACTTAACTGCAGATTTTTCATTGGACAGTGGGAGAAAATCCACTGCACTTTAACTATTTGGTCGATACCTATTTTCACTGATTGTCTAGGATTCAGACAGGAGGTCAGTGTTGGGAATGTGAATTAAAGTAAAACCTGGATTAATCTCAGTCACAGATTTGAAAATTTAATCTAGATTATGTTCAGTTTCTCAACCATACTTTTAATAAAATGAAGTGTTGGATATCAGCAGATCTTTTTATTCTTTTATGTTTTTAAGACAATCACCTGTTTAAACTAAGCCAAAATGATTTTATCTAATTTTCTGATAGAACTCATTTCCAAAATTTCAAGGGATAATTCCTTTGAGTTAACACATTTTGAGACAATAATCCAATAATACATCTTAATCACATTTTAAAGTCTTATAAATGCATCAATAAGGATTAAAAACAAATGTATAAGTTAGCACAGACAAAAATCTGGGGTTAACAGCAGGTTATAACTCAAACAACTTTAACTGGTTGCAAGGGTTCATAAAGAAACCCATTAATAAAAAGTTATAATTTCTGTGATTCTTAATTCTGAAAATGTTTCATAAATACTTAACATGCTAATGCGTAACTTGACAGCACTGTATGAAGTTATCAATAACCATCTAACACATTATCAAGAAGTTATAAGTAGTAAGTTAAGGCTTACAGAAAAGTGTCTGACAAAAATACTCCACAGCAATATGACATTTTCGGAATTATACATTTTTTCTTTTTCATCAAGGTATAACACATAAATTATACCTTTGAACAGGATTTTGCTCACTGCTTATAACACTCCATAAACATTGCTATAAGATAAATGCTTATTATCACTCCTTATAGATGCATTTATTATATTTTATAGATGTACTTATGAAGCATTATCAAAAGTCAGTTCCAAAAAAAAACAAAAACTTTAAATAAAAAGTGTAGAGTTGGGGAAGGAGATAGATACGGTGGCCCGGGAGGCCAACCGCACACTTTCCAAACAAAATACTTTAAACCGAATGCCAAAAGTATTTTCACTGAGGATCAAAAATATTTAACCACAAAAATGTCCAAAAGAATTTTCACAAAAATCTAAAATATCTAATGAAATGCAAACTTGATTCACAAAATGCACAAATACTGTTTCCACTGTGACATTCAACAGAAAATTATTTACTTTTTAAGGTGTTTTTAGAGGTCTAGCAACTTCTTTCACTTTCACAAACTCTCTTTTTTTCTTTTTTTTAAGATTGCATTCATTTGTTTATGTTTTGTGAATTTTCTAATTCTGTGATCTATGAAATGTTTTAACCTTTTAGAAGACGTTTTTGGATTGTTTGAATGCATGTACCTCAAAATATTTTTAGTGTTTTGAGAAATGGTTTAGCATTTAGTTAAATATTTTTGTGGTAATGTAATGCTTTTCCATCAGCGTTTAGTTCTGTTATGAAAAAAGGCTTCAACCACAGGATAAAAATATGAGTATAATGACACCGATATTATAGCAGACATTGTTTTATCTAACACCTACACTCACATGTCTGCAGTTCCAATAAAACTGTGTATCTCTGCATGTGTGTGCATTAAAGTGTGATGAAGTCCCAGACAGAGTGCAGCATCCTGCTATCACATTAATAATTAAAGCACCTTTTCTAGAAATCAGAATCAGGGAAGTGTTGCGTTTTGTCTCTAAAAGAAAAAAAGCCAAATGGGAGCCCCTCCTGATTTTCTTTGACCTACATACCAGGAGGTATCACAGCAATCGGTCCCGACTGTAGAGAAAATACACAAATACCACCATTAAATATTCATCCCTTTTTTTGTTCTCCGGCTGCTGAGAGCTTTTTATTCGGAGTGTGTAGTGAGAAGGTGAAGAAAGGGCGAGGCTGAGTGAAGTCATTTGTTTCCCTCTGAGGCTGCACTTTGAGGCCGGCCTGCACAGAAAAAAGACTTTAGGACACCCGTGCCTTCAATGTGGACATTATTTATAGCCTGAGTAAAGCTCTCTGTGCCGTATCAGTGGAGCTGCAAAGCAAACCTGGGCATTTTCTCCCCCTCTCGCACATTATTCAGCACACGCACACAGACATCCCTTACGTAAGCCACATTACTCGCACCTTTTAACAGAACGTGCAGCCTGTGATGCTCAGAGCATGGAGGGGAGGAGGGGGGGTTGACTCAGTCATAATCCAGACCAAGGTGGTGAAAATGAGGCTGCCTTTGAAATGCAAATTGCTCATTGTGCGACGGCTCAGAGCACAAAATCCACACTCAATGTTGCATGCAAATCACATGATCCCATTGCACAAAGACAATCCAGATATGCCAATATTTTTTTTTATTGAAATGTGAAGTGGCTGTCTGTAAATCTTTTGGACAATAACATGGCAAAACTAAAAAGGCATCCGTTTAAATTCAACCTTTATCATGTTACAAGGATCACTGCTGAGAGGAGTTAGTGCAAGAGATAATCACTTCAAAGCTAAACTTTTAAAGTCAGCAGAAAAAAAACCATCACACAGACATTTGAGATGATACTTCATGTGAGGAAGGGGCCCTCTGCTGGCAGCAACATGCACCAACCAGGCAGGGACTCAATGACGGCAATGTAAACACAATGAAACGTTTCACTACTGCATCCTTAAGAGTACGAGTGATGATTGTTTGCAAGATAAACCACAGTGAAAACATCACAGCAGCCCTGACAAAAAGGCACGATACGTCTTCAGGCTTTGGCTTCTGAACATTCAAGAAAAAAGGCAACGTCGTCTGTAAATGCTGAGCATGATTGGAAAGGCATATGCAGTCACAAGCAAAGGTTTTAAAGAAGAACTTGCATAGAATTGTATACAGGAGATAAAGGTCTGCTGATTGAAAATGGACGCCTTAAGATGAAGGAGATTGTTTAGACCAGATTTTAGTTTGTTACATTCAAAAATAAGATTTTACTGTGACAAACAAGCAAACATTTATATTTATTCTGCTTGAGATTCAGTCATACATTGTTAGTAAGAGTTTGTGTATTACTTTTACAAAACTTTGTATATATATCTATATCTATATATTAACACTTATACAGTTGAAATGCTTGGCTGGAGGGTTAACTCCCTAATAAACACTGAATGTAAAAAAAAGATATCAGCCAAATGTTTCCCTGTCAAAGTAATTTTTAATGAAAAAATATTTTATTCTTCTTCTTCTGTATGTTTGTTTCCTTCTTGTGTCGGTCCTCCAATATTTTTCCTCTTATCAATTGAGGCAAACTTTAGAATTTAGCTGTTTTTGACACTTTAAAATACTATGCTATAGCTCATATTTTGAAATATTTGACATTTTAAACCACCTACAGTTTTCATTAGGACTCTTCTTTAACCATATACTCATAAAGCTATCTAACTTCTCTTTAAAGTTGCTCATGTTAATGTGTTGTATATTTACTATTTGGCAATCATCTACTATTATACAGTAGCAACAAAAATCACAAGTCACTAAAAAGTACAAAAATGGTAATAATGATTGACAGTCTGGTGTTAAACAGCATGCATCACAGGTGATATAAGGTCCTATAACATTGTTTCAGTGTGGACGTACATTGTGTCCTCATGAAGTGTTAGCATCCTTTTTCTCTTTCTAGTCGCTACCTCCGCACAGCTTCAGCAGCAGCTTCTTGTAATCCCCGGAGGTGTCACCCTGAAGAGAAAAAAGCAAAAATAATTACATGTTTCAATAAAAACAGAGATATAAAGTAAACGAGTCTGTAAATTTAAAAAACAATGTGGGACTTACTGAGATATGAGTGAACAGTGATTTCCCATAAGCCTGCAAGTATGCCTGTCTGATGTCCAGCATGTCTACCTCAGAGCGGGACACCATGATACGGATCAGGGTTGTGTCCTTGGTCCCTGCTCCCTGTCGACATATCAAATTTTAACACTCCACAGACTGCAGCAGTGAAATAGACTCCTTCTACAAACATATGGCAGCGCTGGAAGCAGACGATTAGGATTAAACATACCTGCATAGCTTTGTGGAGCCTCTCTGCAAAGTAGGCGGGGGTGTTCTTGATGCATTTCACTGGAGGAAAAAGAGCAGAAGTAAACAGATAAGAACCTCAGAGGAATCGGAAAAATCAAACCCTTTTCACACATGCATGTCACTCCTGGAAGTCTCCAAACATCACTCTAGTGGCTGATTTTTTTTTCACCTTGGTTTTATCTGTTTTTTATGTGTCAACCTCTTATATCATAGCTGTCATATTTCAAGCTGTGAGAGCTTGTCAAACACGAATATTCTCACATAGCAGAGTTACAAGTTCCTGAAAATGGCTTAAAAACCGCCAGGAGTTGAAATGTGAAAGGGGCTTCTGACTAATGTCCCCGTTTGGTCTCAGTGAAAAGGGACAAACTACAAAAGAGGTGCATGAAAAGACCGTACAGAACTGTTTGTTGTCTGACATACATACCAAAAATAATTAGGTTACAGACAGAGAGGTTAATGTATTGTAATTAATTTGTTGTACGTGAACGCCTCTCTCTGTTTCGTTCTCATGCACATTTGCTGCTTTGGAAAATTCACAAAATACATGTCAAGCACTGTTATCGATTCAACTTTATAACACCTATAAAAAACTGCACACACTGAACATTTCTAAAGATAATTTGTCTTTTTTCTTTCATCGGCTGCCAAATGTTTGTAGGTGTGTCTCGTATCAAGTAGCTTCATGCACCGCATATCAGCGACCTAGTTTTACATCATCATGAACTTTAATAATGGCGCCACAGCAACATTATAAACTCTAATTACTTATCTCTTCAAATTGATACTCGACTCGCTTCATTTTTACAAAACATGCAGGATGTTAATCAATAACAAAGTGGAAGTTGCACAGCATTGAATCGTCGAACCAAATTCTTGCTTTTCATCAATTGTCTAGTTTAAGAATGTAGGTCAGACAGCAGCTTGTTGGCATCTGTAAGACGTTGTTGAAATCAGTCCAGGAGAGGTTTGAAGCATGACACTGAGTATGGAAAAATGTATAGGGAGTGGAGTGGTAAGCAAAGTTGAATAACGACAAGCAGAGTCTTGAAGAGATTCTATTCCATATAAAGACCTGCTTACTGTACACTATCCTGCTTTTCAACCAGCTATCAACGAAACCTACAAATAAGTTACACTATGCATTCACATCATATGCTTTTGAAGACATTTTTACCACATTGTCAACTGGAGTAAGTGAAATCATACACAACAAAAATGTGCTTAGACTCTTGATTTGATAAGACATGTGATCTTGTCCTTTTAGGTCTTGCAATTCAAACTCCATCACCGTTTGGGGTTCAACATGTGTTGGAAAAGACACTTCAGTTTGGTTGTGGTTTGGAAAAAGAGACCTAAAGAACGTACCCACAGCCACCATGCCAGACTCCACATTTCCAGACATTTCCCTGCAGATACTCTTCTCAATGTCTCTGCCGCACATGTGCTGGTACTCCTGGAAGACTAATAAAGACAAAGTGCCGCAGGGGGATGTAGTTACAGTCATAATATTTAAACATACACATGTGCTGAAAATGTGACTTTTGTTAGATTTGACACTGAAAAGACAAAGCAGAGCTCTGGTGTTAAAACTGCTGACTTTACACACCTGCTCTGAGGTGAGGCTTGCTGCGAGCACACAGGATGGCGTTGAACTGGGACTCGTCTGTCCCCACTTTATTTTCCCCAGCTGCATACAGTTTCTGTCGCCCACGCAGACACACGCAGATTAAAAAAACATGATCGGGCTTGTTTATTACTCTCAAAGAACGTTACAACGGCAAACAAACTTTTAACTGATACCTGAGCATCCTGTTTGGCCAGGGAGACGTCGACTGTCTCTCTTTCATCACGGTTTCCCTACAGGGAGAAAGGGAGGCATGTTGAGCTCATAAAAGACACAAACTGTGGGCATGAGAGTGTGCTAGTGAATTTGTTGTGAGACGGCTTGTGTTTTGATTCTGGGGTAAACCATGCAGCAGCTACCTGACTGAGAGAGATCAGGAGCCTGCGGAAGTGACCGGAGGTGTCGCTGCTGATCGCATCCTCCAGGCTCTTCCCGTACTCTAGAGAGAAGGTGCAGCTTTTCAGGACCACGCTTTCATTTGCATCATATTTACATGAACAAAAGGGTATCTATTTCCCATAATCAGTTGTCTAGGTATATTAAAAGGGCAACCGCATTATCTAAACGAGGGATTTATTATGATTTTGATTCAAATATCAAACGATGTCAACAAGCTCTATGTCAACAATGGTCAGATTTTTGTGTCTTCATGACGTTATGTTCCATTTTGAGTTTCTTTGCGCACAAAACTTCAACCGAACCTGTAAATTATTAAAGTTTGAACCCACCTGCTTTGTAGATTCCGCTTATTTCTCGAATCTCAGCATTAGAGCGGGATGACAGTATCTCAATCAGACATGCTTCATCAGTTCCTGCACCCTGAAGATGATAAAGAATCCGTAGTAAGCCATTAAAGATACAAGTGCTCCAAGGAGTAAGACAGGTCTCAGCTTGTGGAGCTTTCTCTAGCCTCTGGAGGATTTACTTTGCCCTTATTTGCTCTTTCCATGATGAGTCACACAACTTGGTTTGGACTACAAAACCACAATTAGAGCATGTGCTTCGACAACAACTCAGAGTCACAGACCTTTATGGCTTCTCTGAGCTCAGAGGCATCAAAGTGTGAGGGGCTCTTTATCATGGCAAGAACCAGCTTCTCGAAGTTTCCAGTCAGCTCAGACTTCAGATCGTGGATCAAATCCTGAGAGGGGAAAATAAAACAACAAAAAACCCTGACGTCAGCATGGAAATGGCTGCTTTATAGATCAATGAGAGGCAAAGATTGCAGAATATAACACAGAATATTTTTTAAAATCACCTTTCCGTAAGTTGTTTTGTAAGCTGCTACCATTGGAACCCTCTGCTTGTTGCTACGACTCCCCAGCAGTTCAATAATGGCGTTTTCATCAGTGCCTGCGTTACAAAAACATCTATGTAAATACACTCCTCGTTGATATCAAGTGACAATGTCGTATAAGAGTTTATCTACTAACCAAAACCCTTCATGGCTTTCCGAAGAACTTCAACATCCCTCAGTGGATCAGCTCCGGGATAATCTTTAATCGTACCCCTAAAACCTTTCTGGAAATAAAACAAAACATAAAAATATTAGAAAAAACATGTTTGTAAAGGTGTATAAAGCAGCATTTTCTAGTTTGGAAACAAATCTTTCTTACAGGAATAGCAGGTGCCTGAGGGTTGGATGGAACTCCACCTCCATATGCAGGCATGGAGGGGTTAGTCGCAGGAGCCCCAGGGTAACTTGGCATGGGCTGACTCGGGGCGGGGCCCCCTGGGTATCCCTGCGGAGCTCCTCCTGGCTGCTAAAAGACAACAGTTCAAAAACAAGGGTGAAAATCTGAACAGAGAATGACTGGTGGAGGTAAGTTGATCAAAGCAAAGAGGAGCTTCAGCTTAAGTTATTTCATATGTTAAAAAAAAGTTACGTACAGCTCCAAAGCCACCTGGTGCTGCACCCCATCCTCCTGCTGCAAAGAAAGAGATCAACAAAACATTAAAATCTGTGGAGGATAAAAACTTATTTTGAGTCATGATGTTTCCTAGTTATGCTGCTTTAGGCTCAGACTGCTGGGGGACTTTTCCCATAGCGACCCAAATATAGGACAACCCTGTTTATAAATGACTGTCTTCTTAAAGAGGATCACAACTCCACCTCATTTGTCAGTTTTCTTATCCTACTCTTGGTGTTACTTGACTCTTATCTTTTGCTATTTTTAATACATGTATATTTTTCACTGTGGCTGCACATATTATCAACATGAAATAGTTGTAATCTCACCTGCTGGCGGCTGGGAGGGAAAGCCTCCTGCACCAGACTGCGCTGGGTACCCTCCTGCCTGAGGAGGGAAACCTCCAGCTGGTGCAGGGTAGCCTCCAGGCTGAGAAGGAAAGCCTCCTGCTGCTGGTGGGTAACCGCCTGCTGCTGGAGGGTAGCCACCAGCCTGAGGTGGGTATCCTCCAGCCTGTGGGGGGTATCCGCCTGCCTGTGGGGGGTAGCCCCCTGCTGCGGGGGGGTAGCCGCCGGCTGCTGGTGGGTATCCACCGGCTGCGGGAGGGTATCCACCTGCTTGGGGCGGGTATCCACCTGCTTGAGGTGGGTAGCCTCCTCCCTGTGGTGGGTATCCACCGGACTGAGGAGGGTATCCTGGGTAGCTCATCTTTATTTGGACCTGGAGGTGACATGGAGTTGTAGCTGTTTTACAACACTTGTGGACAACAGAGGCCTTCCTTTCATTCACAAAAAAGTTCACCCTGCTCCACAACATTCCTCCGCTTTAGTGGTAGCACAGGGTCAAGATTGATGATGATTTAGTATCAATAGTCGCCACTGAGATTATCACCACTAAACTAATACATTGGTTTTCATCCTTCAATCATTTAGCCTAAAAAAGCTCACCCTAGTCTTTAACTTGAAGCACTTCAGTTTGCTCTTTGGCCCAGTTTCGCAATCAATGTGGAAATAATAAAAATGCCAAACGTCCTAATAAAACAACTGACCTTCTACCAAACGCTGCTGTAGGTTAATGAATGAGCTGCAGCCACAGAAAAGGATCTCACTGAGGTTTCTAGCAGATTAACTCTACGGGCTTTTGGACCTTAGGCTCATCATGTCGACATAAGTCACCACTTTTTTTCATCATGTGACAATGAGTGTTTAATAGTAGACACGTATTCCCTTCGCCTTTCTCCACAACCAAAAAAAAAAACCATTATGTCATAATATGTTCTCAGCTATTTAAAGCTCCCTTATAATGTCGGAAACTGCTACGAGATTATGTGTCAAACCATTGCTGAGTAAAGACGGATTTATCGCAGCAGTACATACAGAAAATCCTGTTTTGTTTACTTTACTTGCAAACTATAAACTAGGAACTGGAAATGCTCAATGTCCAGAGGCAGCTGAGCACGCCAAATACTCCACTGTTGGCTTTGTAAACACAACCTTTTGAGATGTGTCCTGTGTACAAACACAAGGATTCAGGAGTAAAGAAAATGCTCTAATCCAAGGGCTGTAGAGTTAAGCTTTGATTAAAGCTTGGATTCAACCTCTCTGAAAGTTATAGTTGGCCGTTTGAGGTCTTTGACAGGACGCAAGGTCGCTGTAATAGAGGTGAAAGGTGTGTGTGTGTCTTGACACTCCCCTGTTAGTTTCAGGCCCTCTTCTTTGGACCCTTGGAAACGGTCACGGTGCGTTCAGGTGTTATTGTAATTTATAAACACCTCCATTTGACGGCAAAATGATGAATAAAAATGAAAAGTAGAATTCAGAAAATAGACTTAACTCTAGAACTTGACTTGGAAAAACAGTATTTTGTGTTCCCCTTCGTTGTTTTGTTAGTTTGACCAAATACAGATCAATTAAATACTATAAAGTCGATTCACATAAGTATCACGATTTTTTGTTTTATAATTTTTAAATCGATTTTTATGTTCAAAAATCGTTTTGTTCGGCAACATCGTAGAATCAAAATTTAAATCGGATCGGTATCCAAAAACTCGTAGAAGAATTGAATTGGGAGAAAAGCATATCGTCCCAGCCCTACTTTAAAAGGCTTTCTAAAAATGTCTTAAACTTACTCATTCATCTCCTCAGCCAACTAACAACCAGCATTTGCCCCAGTTGTCACATTATGTACATTTTTAAAACTTAATAACGCAATCAAGCGTATCTTTGTGCACTTTTTAACTCAGAGCTTATGTTTTCTGTAAGCTCTTGAAGGCAGCACCGGACCCTCTAATCTCTACAAGAATCACGGGCCTGTGTTTCCTCAGCAGTCACGCTGGGACTTGCTGTCCATTTAAATCCAGTAATAAGATATAACCTGGGTAGCAAATCATTTTATATGTTAGAAAGCCCAAATTACTTTTGATTTAATTCTATCATCTTCCTTGCATCCTGAGCTTGGACCGTCCCTGCGGTCCGTTAACGTTACATAACGCTGCCGAGGGAAGTTGATGTGCAGCACTTAGCATCAACAATGAACATTTACCCGTAGAAACGACCAGTATCTTTAACCTTTACGTATTAGTATCCAATATTTAGCCTTTAGATATGACTAAAGCTTTACGTTTGTTGTTGGTGTTGCTCAACATTCCCGTTAAACGGCTCCACATCGGGCTCTGTCTGTTTAATTGGGCGAGGCTAATTCTTACATTCCTAAAGCAGGGAGACAACAAGCTAGTACAAATCTTATTTTTCAAGAATAGTGAACAACTTTTTGTTGCCTTTGATGCTGGTAGTAGTTTTAAGTGCGTATTTAACGTCCAAAAGCAAAATAAAAGGGGGTACTTACTTCGGAGTCGCGTACTTTAGATCCAGGAAGAGACAGGCAGAGGGAAGCAGCAGAGAGAGTGGCCCGGAGGTGGGTGGGTCCTCAACATTGTTTCCGTCCTGCAGTCAGAATAACCTTTGCTTGGTTGTTATCATTAGACGGAGAGAGGAGGGGACAGAGCGTGGTGTTGACTCAGCGGGCTGTGGTGGTGTGTTATTCTCACCACAGGGGACACTAGAGCTGTTGTTCATGAGTATTAGATTTATTGATAGAGCTGAGTTACTGCCTCAGCATTGACCTGGGCAGTCCAATCCACTTTGTTTGCAGAACTTTTTTAAAAAACAAAGTTTAAGAAAGCAATTAATCCTAGAATACTATCACTAAAATTAGTAACACCATCATTTTTAATAATATACCCAAGAAAAAGTACGTGTCATTAGTGATTGGCACGGCAGTTCTTTTAGATGAACTGAATCACTAGAACCAGTTCACTAAAAAGATTTGTTCAAAAGATTTGTTCACTTAATTGCCGAATCATGTAGCGCTTGTCAGGAGAAGCCTGCGACTCTGACCTCCTGAACTGATACACGGCTGAACGGTTCAGGATTCGGTTCAATTCATAGCTTCTGAGACTGGGAGACAAGAGTGTTTGGCTGTGTTGCTTTGGCAAACAGGTTTGTAAAAATGAACTTTTTTATAAGTCATGATGTTTAAAGTGTACTGTCCTATGGTATGCTATTTATCAGGTCTGCTCAGTAAATTGGGCTCAGTGCGTGATTCGTTCACTGAACGTTTAGAAGAATTCAAACTGAACATGCACCGTTCCCTCGCAAACTGCTGCAATGATAGGATGCTGCAGGTTTAATGCACTACTTGTTACATGCTGTGTCCCATTGTATGCAAGTTGTTGTGGAGGCAATTTAGCAGTAAAAAAAAAAGGGTAGTTCAGGTGTTGGTGCATGCGGTCCCTCGTTCACTGGCTGCTCGACTGGCAATGCTGTTTCTCACCAGCTCAACTTAAGTAATAAACGAACCAATCACTCAAGGAAGTGATTCTGTTCAGTACGTTCAATTAGAAGATTGGGTTCCTTTTAACCAATCGTTCGCAAATGACACAGCACTACTTTTCATCAAAATATATCAAAATAGGATAACACATGAATAATTAGTTTTATTTTATTTTTAACTGTGCAATGTCCAAAGGGAGGGGGAAAATTATATATATATATATATATCAGTGGCGGCTGCTGGTCTTTCAAGGAGGGGAAGCTCATTTTTCTGGCCTACATCATAATTGTATTTGTTTATTAGTATGTAACAGAACAGAGTCGCCAAACACAACGGCAGTCGTTTTTAATAAAGACAAAAGTCGCTGAGGATCGGTAAAGTCTCTGGAGCAGTTAAGAACAACGGAATGAATGACTTGGAAAATGCTCTGGTAGATGTTTTATTCTTCAAGATCGCTGATTCGCTTGTTTAGCTGTCAATCAAAAAAGGATTTCCCCTCAGACAGCTCATCCAATCATGGATGCAGAAGCTTGGAGTCCGGGAGCAAGTCGGGGCCGCCCTCTCGCCATAGAACTCCAGTGAAGCTTAGCTTCCATTGGGCGGGACAAAGCCCAGCATTTATCCAATGAGCGTCTAGTTTCGCTGCTGGAACAACCCACTTTAAGCTTCCACATTGAAGTCAGCAGAAGCCCAGCGTCCGGCTGTTTGAAGCGCTGAGGCGCTGCGAGGATGAATGAGAACGAAGTTATGCCGGTTACCTGTGATTATCAGCTTCTTATCACAGTGTCTGAACAAAAGTTGAAGGCTTTCTAGTGCGTATTTAGTTAATGAAATGTACACACAGCAGTACGTATTTCACCACTTTTTCTTTTTTTTGGGGGGGTGACATTTTAAGGGAAGCCGAGCTTCCCTTGCAGTCTTAGAGCAATCGCCACTGATATATATACTGTATACATATATATATATATATATATATATATATATATATATATATATATATATAAAGAAACTGTAAACTTTCTGTTTCTTTTCCACTCATTCCTGGGGCATGTGAGTCTTCCCTGGTGAAGACTCACATGCCCCAGGAATGAGTGGACAATAACATATGAATTCCCTTGAAAATCACTACTTCTAGGGTTAACAGAAATGAAATAAGGCCCCACCTGGCCTAAATATTGAAATGCCAGACTTACACAAATAAACATGTTTAAAACCAGAGGGTTTTGTTCAAGTGTCTTCATTAAATAAGTGAACTAGTGACCCACCCATTAATATTTTAGGCTTTAAAAGCTTGAAGTCATGCATAATTAAGGATGGGACAGTTTTGGGTGAAAGTAAGGTGAGGGTGTCACCCCTGATAATTCAACCATCATCTCTCAGGTGTTTACCTAATCAATAAAAGATAGGACTCACATATAACTACTTTTCCTCCTGTATTTTACTTCCAGTCATATGATTAAAATATCTTTTTTCTGCGTCTGTGTGTTATCAGTATTTTACATGTAAACTAACCACCTGTTATTTTTATGTAAATTAAAACATCTGGACTTGCTTCCAAAAGTTCCTGGGCCTCTGGAAAGTACTACTCCCTAAGAAGGGGCTTTGTAAGGGGTATCTCTTTCACCCCAGAGGACCCCAGTCCCTGGGTGAAGGTGCACAGATGTCCTGGGAGAAATTCCTGCGATCGAAAAGTATCTTCTGATGAAGAAGTGGAGCAAGATGTTGTCCTGCAATCCAGGCTTCTGCCTTGCTGAATGCAGAGATCTCAAAAATAGAAATAAAGATGCATTTGTTATCTTTTATCTCTTTTTTTCTACCTCAGAATCAAAATATGTTGAAATCATGGACTGTGTGAAACAAGGATGTATCTTGTCACCCTCTGCTTCCTAATGAAGAAGAAGAAGAACTTTATTGATCCCTGAAGGAAAATTCAATTGTCTGTTGTCTCATGTAATATGTCTATAATAGTTACCTATTATTTACATAAGAGTTATAAAGCCTGATGGCACAAAAGATCTTCTGAATCTTTCTGTCCTGCAGCGAAGAGAGAGGAGCCGTCCACCACCATTTGCCCTTTGGTCCATCGAGGTGTTGTGAAGTGGGTGATCCATGTTCTTGAGAATAGTCTCCACCTTCCTCAGTGTAGATCTCTCCACCACATCCTCCACTGAGTCCAGCTTGAATCCTACCACTGAGCCAGCCATCTTTGTGTTTGATGCTTCCCCCCCAGCAGACTGCAGCATAGAACAGAACACTTGCCACAACAGACTGATAAAACATCTGCAGCGTCTTACTACAGACGTCTATTGATTGGAGTCTTCTCAGGCAAAAAAGGCGGCTCTGCCCCTTTCTGTAAAAGGCGGCTCTGCCCCTATTCTTAGATCAGTCCAACTTGTTATCCAGATGTACACCTAAGTATTTATATGGTGCCATCACTTCGATGTACACTCCACAGGTGTTCACTGGCTGAAGAGGGGGTTTGGATCTACAGAAGTCTATGACCATCTCCTTCGTCTTTGAGGTGTTGAGGATGAGGCAGTTTTTGTGACTCCAGTCACTGAAGGCTCTTATTAGATCTCTGTATTCAGCTTCTTGTCCATTTCTGATACATGCCACAATAGCGGTGTCATCTGAGTATTTCTGGATGTGGCAGGACTCAGTACTGTATTTGAAGTCTAACGTGTAATGTAATGAAGTGTAATGTAATCTGACGTGTAATGTAATGAAGTATTTTTAGATAATATTTCATAATATCTTTTATTTTTTATGCTGATTTAGAAAGATTCTTTCAGTTAATAAAAGCATGTCATGACTTCTCTGTGTTAATGAGTAGAAAGTACCATCATAGGAAAAAAGTCCTCTTTCTATGTCATTGAAGAAGATATTTTGGCTTGTTAAAGTTCAAAATGAGATATCCTTTTGGCCTTTTTGATGCTTTTTAATGGGCTATGTAAAATAACAATTATCAATGTAGGCTATAGTGTTTTTCAAAACCGGGTTACAAAGTGCTTTACAGATGAAGCTACTGCTCTAAAATATTGATAAGACAGGAATACATAAGATATTTTTAGTAGCCTATATTATAAAGAAAATCTACTGATCTCAGATGTTGTGAAATTCAATTTTCATTTTATTATTATTATTATTATTATTATTATTATTATTATTATTTAAAGGAATGAAAATTAAGTAAAGTAAGTAAAAATATTCAGTGGAAATTATAATTAAAAACAAAGTTTCCAGTTTTTGTTGGATTACCTATGAGACACAGGCCTGCTAAAATATAGTTTTCAAAAAGGGGTAGTTTTGTAAAGAAATAACAAAGGTTTTTGATTTAAGGTGCTTTTTAAACTCTTAAACTAGTTGACAGAAATAACCTCCACTTTACTTCAAGAGATATTTATATTCCTTTGAGATTAAAGTGAATTAAAGTTGATTTTAAACTTTTAGATATAACCTACCAGCATAAGTGTTTTTCTAACGTAAACAGCATTTTAAATCCCCATGGTAACCTGTGACGACGTTAAAACCTCTAAATCATTACAAGCCAAAGAGCGCGGTCATTCTGAAGATCAAATCTGAAGAATACAGCACGGAAAACTGAAGTGGCTTACAACCTTTCAACTTTTCACGGCTTTGACTTTGCTCCATCTCGAATAAAACCTCCCCAGACGACAGATATTCAGCGGACAAACATCTCAACAGAGAGAACAACATCGACGACATGAAAACCGTAAGATTTAATGACAATATTATCATGAAAATTTGTGTTATCGTCGAGACTTTAGGAATAGCTAGCTTAAAAGTGATGCATTGACATTGTATGACGAACCCAAAGTCCTGCTGTGGTCCTGTCCTGCATGTTTAAGAGCAGAGAAGTTAATGTTATTGTGAGAAATCTCTGCGTTTAGTTTTCGTTTAAGGTTTTTTTTTATTCTGGGCTTTTTAAAGACGTCAGTCTGAAACTTATTTGACAGTTTCTTTTATACTAACCAATGCTATCAGGCGAAAACTAATATTGAACACAAGCTATTTTCACTGTAATTACAGCCAAAGAGGCGGATTAAAGCAGTGAAATGTAGTGTTAAATAGGGGACACCTTCATAAGTTTAAAGATTTGTCAGCCATCATAAAATTCAACAAAATGAACTAAAAAGACATCAAAGTGAGACCCTTTTTTTAAAGTGCTCTAAAAGGCCCAAGTTACAAAAGAATCCTAAAAATTACATGTAAATCTATTTAAAAAGTTACTAAAACAGACAAAATTAAGTTAGAAGACCTTTATTATGCACTGCCTTTGTAATCAAGAGTTTGATAAAGTTCCACTCAAGTATGTTTTCATGTTTCCATGAATCAAGTGTGTGTTTTCTACCACAATATGTAAAACTTCATTATGTTTTTAACAGGGAAAAACCCACCTTAAGTGTAATCGAAACACTGTCCTTTTGTAGAAATCAGTTTTTATTATTGAATCCTGAAAATATGCAGCCTTTTCCCCAATGAAATAAAATGACTGAAATAAACATACCAAAAATATCAATTCTTCACAGGGTGTGTTACATTGATGTTAATCTATTTCTACTGCACAACTAACCTGCTGATTAGAAACTAAATACAAATTGAAATGAATTGACTTTCTCCTCTTGATGATACTGGTGTTACAGATGCTTCCTTCATGACCTTGACCACACAGTCAAATGTTACAGCTTGTTTAATTTAAATGTCTGTTGTTTCTGTCTTCAGAAACACCGCCAACGCAGCAAAGAGACCTCGGTCCCAGTGCAGAGGTCCGTTCCCAGGCCGGTGCGCAGGAGGGTCCTGGCAACACCCGTGCCCCCCCCCACGTCCCCCCCCAGGCCTCGTGGTGTAAGTAGGAAATTACACTGACAACATAGAGAGGCCGTTAGCATGCCTTTAAGACAACATACAAAACTTTTATAGTCTGAATAATTTTAATTACAGAAATGTGTTCATGAATTTGTCTTTTATTTTAATTTTCTTGAACTGAATTGTATTCATGAATTGTAGTGTTGAAATAAGGGACACCTTCATAAGTTTAAAGATTTGTCAGTCATCATAAAATTCAACAAAATGAACTAAAAAGACATCATAGTTAGACCTTTTTTTATTTTAAAGTGCTCCAATAGGCCTAAGTTACCAAAAGATCTCATGAATTACATTTAAATCTATTTAAAAAGTTACAAAAACAGACAAAATTAAGTTAAAGGACATTTATTATGTACAGCCTTTAAAACTGTTGTGTATTTATGATTACATGAATCAAGTGTGTGTTTTCTACCACAATATTTAAAAACTTCATTATGTTTTTAACAGGGAAAAACCCATCACACAGTCAAATGTTACAGCTTGTTTAATTTAAATGTCTGCGTTGTTTCTGTCTTCAGACCCACCAACGCATGAAATGGACCTCGGAACTTGTGTACAGGTCTGTTCCTAAGCTGTTGCTCAGGAGGGTCCCGCCAACACCCTCGCCACCTCCCACGTCCCCTTCCAGGGCTCGTTGTGTGAGTAGGAAATTACACTGTTACTAAGAGAGAGGCTGTTAGCATGCCTTCAAGACAACATGCAAAACTTTTATAGTCTGAATAATTTAAAGTTTAAAGATTTGTCAGTCATAAAATTCAACAAAATGAACTAAAAAGACATCATAGTTAGACCTTTTTTTATTTTAAAGTGCTCCAATAGGCCTAAGTTACCAAAAGATCCTATGAATTATATTTAAACCTATTTAAAAAGTTACAAAACAGACAAATTTAAGTTGAAGGACATTTATTATGTACAGCCTTTAAAATTAAGAGTTTGATAAAGTTCCACTCAAATGTGTTTTTATGTTTTCATGAATCAAGTGGCGTTGTTGCTGTCTTAACAGGAAACGCTGCCGACACATCAATTTGACCTCGGAAATTATCCTCATCATTCTGAAGCTGTTGATCAGGAGGGTCCCAGCAACACCCTCGCCACCCCCCAGGCCTCAAGCTGTAAGTAGGAAATTACACTGACAACATAGAGAGGCCGTTAGCATGCCTTTAAGACAACATACAAAACTTTTATAGTCTGAATAATTCTAATTACAGCAATTTGTTTATGAATTTGTCTTTTATTTTAATTTTCTTGAACTGAATTGTATTCATGAATTGTAGTGTTGAAATAAGGGACACCTTCATAAGTTTAAAGATTTGTCAGTCCTCATAAAATTCAACAAAATGAACTAAAAAGACACAATAGTCATACCTTTCTTTATTTTAAAGTTCTCCAATAGGCCTAAGTTACCAAAAGATCCTATGAATTACATTTAAACCTATTTAAAAAGTTACAAAAACAGACAAAATTAAGTTAAAAGACCTTTATTATGTACAGCCTTTAAAATTAAGAGTTTGATAAAGTTCCACTCAAATGTGTTTTTATGTTTTCATGAATCAAGTGTGTGTTTTCTACCACAATATGTTTTTAACAGGGAAAAACCCACCTTAAGTGTAATCGAAACACTGTCCTTTTGTAGAAATCAGTTTTTATCAAACTAAAAACTGAGGATTTTCTTATTGTTAAATCCTGAAAATATGCAGCCTTTTCCCCAATGAAATAAAATGACTCAAATAGACATACCAAAAATATCAATTCTTCACAGGGTGTGTTGCATTGATGTTAATTATTTCTATTGCACAACTAACCTGCTGATTAGAGACTATAATACAAATTCAAATGTATTGACTTTCTCCTCTTGATGATACTGGTGTTACAGATGCTTCCTTCATGACCTTGACCACACAGTCAAATGTTACAGCTTGTTTAATTTAAATGTCTGCGTTGTTTCTGGCTTCAGAAGCGCAGCCAACGCAGCAAAGAGACCTCGGTCCCAGTGCAGAGGTCCGTTCCCAGGCCGGTGCGCAGGAGGGCCGCGGCAACACCGAGCACGTCCGCTACCAGGCCTCGTGGTGTAAGTAGGAAATTACACTGACAACATAGAGAGGCCATTAGCATGCCTTCAAAACAACATGCAAAACTTTTACAGTCTGAATAATTTTAATTACAGAAATGTGTTCATGAATTTGTCTTTTATTTTAATTTTCTTGAACTGAATTGTGTTCATGAATTTATTTTATAACTGTGAAAACCAGAAAACCATTTCTGCAGAGTTCAGATTTTTGAATTTGTCGGTTTTTCTTTCTCAGGTGGTGCACTTCAGGAAAGTCGGCACTCCATTTTGCTCCACCCCAAAGCACGATCAGGTCCCTAATCTCTCTCCTCCTGTCTCCCCTCTTTGGTATACCTCCTGCTTTCCACGTGTCTCTTTTTCAAGCTCTTCTCCTTCCTCTTCCTCTTCTTCTTCCTCTTCCTCTTCCTCCTCTTCCTCTTCCTCTTCTTCTTCCTCCTCCTCTTGTGGCTCCCGTACTCGTTGCCGTCTCTGTGCTCCTCTCCAGCCAGGTCACAGAGGAGCCCTGCAGGACCTGCCTTCAGCCCCTCCCCCTGCCTGGCCCAGACGATGACGGAGGAGGACCAGTGGCCAGGTCTGCAGCCGTAGGACCCGGAGGAGCTCTCCAGGAGGAAGGAGCGGTGGACGGCCTCACCGAGGACCCCTACACCCCCTCAATCCACCACCCCTCCTTCCACCTGTCTCATCTCCACTGCTCCTGGGACCAGGTGGACGAGGAACCTTCGAGGCCTCCTAAAGCTCAGGTGCAAGCGGTCCAAGGTGACTCGCAAGAGGACTGCTGGACGGATGGAAACAACCGTCCAAGCAAGAGTCCTTTTGGGGGTCACGCTGGGCTGTAGTTTTATATAGATAGTAAGATAAGTTAAGATAGAATAAGTTAAGTTAGAGTTAAGATAAGTTAGAATAAGTTTAGTTATAGTTAAGTTAAGTTAGAGTAAAGATAAGTTAGAATAAGTTAAGCTCTTTAATTAAGATAAGTGATGATTACACTGACTGTTCAGATGCTCCACATTTTCTTACCACCAGCTCCTTTCCAGCTCCAACCTCTGCTCAAAATATCACTAAAGAAAGCTTGTCTGCAGCTCCTCCTCTCCTCCTCCAGTAAAAACCCCCTGGTATTAGTTTAGGACGTTGACTGTTCGGTTTAGATTCTTAATGACCGCGACCACAAATCCCTCGCTCCTCTGCAGCTCCTCCTCTCCTCCTCCAATAGACCCCTCTGGTTTTAGTTTAAGACGTTGACTACGAATCGCTCGCTCCGCTCCCGCTCGCTCCGCTCCCGCTCGCTCCGCTCCCGCACGCTCCTCTCGCACCAGCTCCGCAACAGACAAATAAACCTGAAGCTTCAATAAAAAGCAGAAAAAATGACTTCACCTTGGACTCATTAGGCATTACCCTAAAAGTCCTAGGTTGTGTAGTGTGGTTATTTATTTTGATGTTATGTGTTGGGATGTTTTGTGCAGTTGCCTGATTTTAGTATAGTGTCTTGTGATGTGTTTTTTTGTTGTGTTGTCATGCATGTGTTTGTGTCGTGATGTCTTGTTTTTTCACTTAGTGGGTCAGTGAATCTAAAAGGTGAGTTTGGTTCCTCTCGAGTGATTCTTTACATGAAACAAGGTTTGTGTAGGACCCTTTTTCATTTTGATTTTCTTTAGGAAAAGGATCGAAATTGTGAAGAAACCCCCAGAAGAGCCAAGAGGGAAACTGTAGACGCAGGAGGACCAAACCCACCAGAGACAGGCCCACGAAGAATAGATGAATGACGGGGATAGGTACTGAGTGTTTCTGGAAGTTTGAAGGTAAATAACTCTATCAATACTTAAAAGGTTAATAAGTACAAAATGTTGGCTTTTAAGAAAAAAACAAAACATTTTCACAGTAACTGAAGGGCTGTAATTTATGTTTGTTTTCAGGTAACTCCATAGTCAGACACCCAAAATGAGTCCAGAAGAGCCCAAAGATGTCGACCAACCCTGTGATGCAGAAGAAGACTGGACGAACAAGATGACATGGAGAAGTAAAGTAAGTAAAGTTTGATGAATGTGTCTTATATCATTCAATTGTTGTCTTGGTGTGCTGCTCTATTGATCTACTAAAGATGAATATTTAGTTAGTTTGCTATTGTGTAGGTTTACATTAGGCTACATAATTAACACTTGCAGTAATTTATTTGCTAAATGATATTGTTGGTCTCTTTTTATTTACCATTTGCAGCATCATGCCTAGAAAGGAGAGGAGAGGAAGAGAAAAAGAAAGGGAGCTACAGCAGGCAGCCCACGGGAGCAGCTCTCAACTCTCCTAGGAAGATGAAGATGAAGATAAAAGGTCAGAGTCAAGAGTCATGTTCACTGTTTCGGTCATTTTAAAGCTCAGATTTTGAAGTTGAACTGTTCCTCTAATTTTACTGAAATATCTTAAAAGCTGTCTACACAAAATGGTTTGGCTGTACTAAATTAGGCATGAAGCTATTTTAGATCATTATGTTATTTTGTACCAAAAAGTTTTTTCTATGTTACAAGGCTTGCAGTAATCTTGTATTTACCTTTATAGGCTATACTCAACCTTAGAAAAATAGGCTATCACTGAAACTATTATTATTCTATTCTAGACAGCTGCAGCAGGGAAGCAGTCGACCAACGACCAGCAAATGAATCTCCAGAGTCATCTACGCAAAAAGTCAAGTCCGTAGCAGCATCAAGTCCATACACAGTTAAAGAATCAGAAGTGCTGTCTAATGACCAAAATGAGGGAGAACAAGAACGAGAACAAGGCATGATGTAGCAGCTGTATGTGAAAGAGATGAAATGTGAAAAATAAATATGTGAAAATGAAAACAAAGTTTCAGGTCTGTCTAAATCCACCTTAGTGAAAGATAATCTATCATTGTAGCTCTTAACTTGCTTAAAACCTCTCCATGTCCGTTCATTCTGAAGAAATAAAACACTAGTGATTGACTGATCAGTGCTATTGTGTGAAACTGTACCAGTTCAAAGGTCAAGTAATTTTAGAAAGATATTGACATAGATAAATATGCAATTACATTCAACATGTACCTGTAATGTTTTTTTTTTTTTTAAATCTCACACTGCTATAATAAGGCAGCCGTCAGTTCTACATGCCGCATAAAGTGCCCTTATTTTTCACTGAGCACCTGCCCCTCAAAATGTCTGTGCACGCCACTGGGTGTGCCGATACAAAATTGTTTTGTGAATCACATTTTAATTAACTGCATGATTATGATCTAAAAATAAGAGTAAAGTGGGAAATTTATGTAAAATCTCTATATTACTTGACTAAATTAAATGTTATTTTTATGCAGCTGATATCTTTATTAGTGGAGTTATAAATCAATTCTATGTCATACCAACATCACTGTAGGATAAGATTAATTCTCATCTGATATAATAAGTCTCAGTCTTGTCTTAATCTACCATAAGCAGAGCACCTTTTAGCATTTAGAAAATTAGGGTGGCACAGAAAGGCAGAAACCTGGAGCAGACCCAGACCCCTGCTAAACAGATAACAGGAGGGGTTATCCATCAGGGAGTAAGAAAAAAAGAGGGAAAGAGGAGGAGGAAAAAAGATAGTAAGAGGGCGGTAAGTGGAGTAGCTAAGTGTGCCCAGTTCTGCTGCTCTTGGACCGGGTTTGAGTGAACCCTGTGAAGGCCCCCTGTGAATGTGACAGTCAGCTTTTGAAGCTATTCCTGAAATTACACAAAAAAAAATTCAGTATCAACCACATACAGTACATCATATATGGTATCAAAAACAAGCACTAGATGGCAGCAGACTCTTGGTAGTCAGTGAAAGCGTCACTTGTAACATCATTGGAGGTTTGCAGGGTAATCGAGCAACTAAGTTTGAAGAGTGGTCAATCGTGTGGTAAGATTAGCCATTTTTCATATTTCGGATCACTACATCAAGGTAATCATAGTTTTGTCTCTAACTAGTGAATCTGCATATATTTCAAGATGTTGTGCCTCCCTGCAAACCAACAGAATGAGCGTAAACATAACTGTCTTGATAGTATAGCATGACAAAAAAAGTGGTCTCACATTTCAACAATCTGAACTGAAACTCTCATTCTCTCATCAAACTTCTTTACTTTCTCTGTTGAACTGGCTCAACTTACCCCAGAACTACTATTATGACTTTATCAGTCAGACTCCATGAATTGATGCCCATCTCCTAAATATTTGGTCACATGATCAATTTCTTTTACCATTTCCAAGCAACAGGGGGTGGCTCAACTTACCCTTTGGTTCAACTTATCCCACCCTCCCCTATACTGAAAGCTAACTTGAGGATAGGATTAAGTTTTGTGGCCCATAGTTGGTTAAACCTTATACTATTTTTATTAGTCTACCGGTCGAGTTAATAGTCTACGTGCTCCCCATCCCCCTCTCTTTAAGTTACCGCAGCTCTTCTGTGGTTTTAAAGTGCGTGTGCAGTGATATAAGGCGCAGCTCCATTAAAACTCTTGTTGGACCTCCTTCGTGGTGACGCAGCTCAGAGCCATGTCCTAAACGCTGCCTCCAGCCCTCCAGCCCTCTGCCATCATCCAGACTTTCATGCTCCCACTCTGCGCCCTCCCCCATGTAACTGCAGTCCGGTTTCTTCAGGTCCTTGTGGACTCCCCAGGTGAACGCGAGGATCACACCCACCCCGGTTTGAGCAGAGGGGATGACTGAGAAAAGTTGGCTGATTGAGAAAATCCGGCGGTTCTTCTGACAGAGCTCTTCCGAGAAGAGGGGCAGCAGTCCTCTTTCAAAACAACATGATGTCCGCTATAGAAGCTGGTACCCCCGTGTACCAACCTGCACAGCTGCTCAACTGGGTCTACATGTCTTTACAGGACACTCAAAGTGGAGGTTTTGATGCGTTCAAAGCCGAGTCGGAAACTTCGACACAGGACGCGAACATCTCTAAGCGCAATGTGGCTGATCTGAGCTCCAACTATCTGAACAACTTCTTCCATCTGCGGAGTGAGGTAGAAATCTTCAACACTTTGCATGAAATTTAGAACATGATTTTTTTTACTCATTCTGCCTTTCAACATCTTTTTACTGCATGCTGAAAACTTCTCAGCATGATTTTTAAGCTTGCATTATCCCCCTCCAGGTTATTTTTGTCACCCGTACAGTAAACCTCACCTGCATGCCTTCAGTGGGTTGCACTGCGGTGAGTGGGTAGCATATGAATATGTGTATTGTACCCTGGTATAGTGCCTGAGTGTGTTCAGACTGTTCTGGTGTCAGTCTGCAGCTGGAGGAGGACTGGCAGGTTGAGAAAGAGTTCTCACAAAGTTTTAAAAATGTCAGAGTTCACCCCAGCTGGCCTTGGCTTGGCCAGGAGGGTATGAAGGGTTCACACAGTGGAGTTTTGGTGCAGCTTAATTTAAGATCCAGGAAAGTATGGACACTGACATTTAAAAAGTTATTTTAAATATATGTAAATGTATGCAATCTAAAATGGTGTACCTCAAGGATCTATGTCTGGACAACTGTTTTTTTTTATTAAAGCTACTGCAAGGAATATGTGGTCATGTTACTTTATGCGACCCCTGTGAAAAAATATGCTAATCTGATCTATTGTCTCTTCCTTTTGTAAGTAGTGCAAATCCATACTCCTTTATTTGGCATACTACTTTATTTTAAACGTCATTTAAAAGCAAACTGAAAACTCTTTTTAGTCTTGCTTTTAACTAATTTTATATCATTAAGTTTACTGAGCTATTTTGGTGCTCTTGTTTTAGTATCTTTTATTTCATTTTATTTATCATTTCTTAAATTTAATTTTATGTTTCTTAGTTTTTAGATTTTAACCTAAACCTCCAGTGTTTCCGTATCTTGAGTTTTAAAATGATGTTTCCTCAGTGCACACATTCCTGTTTCTATGAAATCAAGCCCTTTTTAAGTTTATGTATTTTAATACTGTGTCTGTTGCAGTTAGATCGTGGGGTGGGAATGAGGGGTTGGGCTGGGGTAGATTTGGGTATTTTTTGTTTCTTTTATTCCTTTTTCGGTGTAAAGCAAGTGCTATATAAATAAAGACTGATTGATTGATGATTAAGTAATGAACATTTGGTTTTCAAAAGCTATTTAAGGCTCATGTATTTAAGTAAATCTGTTTCATAACCAGCTAAAATCTACACATGAATTATTCTGCAGCCATGGTTCAACCAAAAGTTAGTCTTAAACTTGGTATAAAAAGATTTTAAATTTCTGTTTTTCAACCTAAAAGTTTATTATACTCAAAGGAATAAAACTATTGTGTGTCATTTTGATGTGGCTGTTTAATTTTTCATTTAATACAGAAACTGCCCCATACACACATCTGATTACAATTGTCCATCTGTGATACCCTTAGAGTGAACAGCCAGTGTCTTCAGGCTGTTCCTCATGTTCGCCCTGCGGTGCCATAGCACCCGTCTCCTCTGCAGGCACAATGATGATGATTGTGCAGAGCTGATAGAAAGAATAAGAAGAATACATAACAAAGGGGTGTTGTTCTGACGAGGAAATGGACACTATTGGTCCGCAGTGTAAATGCAGTAAAGGCAGCACATCTGCAGGAATGACATAATGTCGGCTACTGTCGGAGAGACAAACAGGAGAATCAATCAGGGTGATGGACTGACATGCAGGCTGAGATGCTCTTTTATTGTACATTCACAACAACAACCTTCTGTGTTTTGTAAATAGGAGATTCTTTTGTTCAGAGGTGAAATCAAGGGCTGATTTATTGATTGGCTGAACAATGGCATTTCAATCAAGAACAGTAGATTGATTCTTAAACTATTAAATCAATAAAAATCAAGTACTCTGCGTGTGGTCATATTGCTTTGTAGTTTAACAAATGAAACGTCTTTGCACCACTGGTTGAGTAAAAGCTATCTCAAGACATAAATGAGTGTTTAATGACTCTCTGCCATGTTTAATGAATCAATAAATAAATTTTTTATCCATGTGGTGCCAGATAACAGCAAATGTTTTCATGTGACACGCTCCATAAAGAGCAGATCAAGCATGTGCAGAGACCCAGCATTACCACATGACTAGAGTGGCAAAAATTTCCCTTAAACAGGCAGAAACCTTGAGCAGAACCAGATTTACAGGTGAACAGCCGCCTGCCAGGCATAGTTGGGCCATGATTGTAAAAATTGCAGATGGTAGTTTACTAATTAGTGTAGTTCTAAAACAGGTTTCTGCCCATTCAAAGGGGTTTTGGTAACTGTTAGAAAGTGCCTATAATAATTATGGAAGAGTTTTTAACAGGCAGAAACCTCAAGAAGAACCAGACTAATTGATTGACAGCCATCTGCCGCATGGCCGGTGCTTGCAGTTTATAAGAAATACCCACTGAAATCCTTTAAACAGCCAAAACCTCGAGCAGAATCAAGCTGGTTGATCTTCATCCATATGCTTGAACTGGGTGTGTTGAAATACTAACATCTGTGGATTGTTAGAAATTGTGAGCTGCCCTACTTAGAGGGCATTTGCCGTGTATACGTAAATATATTGATTCTGATTCTGTCCTGGTCCTTTTTCCAACAGGCTTTGAACAACAACTTCTACAAGAGCTCCTCGCCCTATGGATCCCTAAACAATATCGTGGACGGTCTAAGCTCCCTGGCTGACCATTTCTCAGACCTCTCCCTCTCTCCCGAGACACGCAAACCAAGCAAAAGACCGCCTCCTAACTACCTGTGCCACCTTTGCTTCAACAAAGGACACTACATCAAAGACTGCCCTCAGGTGAGCCAGTCAGTGTTGCTTTACATCAGTCGGGTACAGTAGTGTATGTATATGTATATCAAAGGATCTACGATGTTTTTAAGGGGCACATGATGGTAAGCTGATAAGGTGACACATACTACTTCTACTCGCTAGGTAAACTGAACATAATTCAAATTCGGTGGTGTTAAAACTTTAAAGCTTAAATAAGAATATTATGCTTTTGTTTTGTCAGTCTGAAACAGATTCCTCAGCACATATTTGAGTTCGATGTGCCACCACAGGTTAGTAATGAGCAGCAGATGCCAGATTGGATCTCAAAGCCGGCCTTAATGAAAGATGATAGGTTACTCTGTGGAACGAGGCACGACCTCCACTCCTAACACGAAAAGAAATATGACCGCTGCTACGTGCACAGCTGCAGTTCGTCATTGATCATGTTCAGAGGGAAATGCCTGACATTTGTTAAGTATAATGGATTTAATCAGATGAGTGATGGTCAGGATGTGTCTGAGAAGCAGGGAAGCAAAAAAGTAGAAATGTGAGTAACAGGTAATTATTTACTTATCAGTCATGCAAGCTTAAAGCTCCTGTTACCAGCCGGTCATAAAACAGAAATTGATATTGGCGCCTCTTTATGAGCTACATAAGAAATCACGCCATAAGCATGAAGATTGTTATTTCTGTATGGTTTTTTTAAATGCCTGAAAACCCTGACAGGGGGCGGGTGTCAGATTGGGTGACTAACAACCCAGTATGGATTCTTAAAGAGTGATACACTTGATTTTTGTCGAACACAACAAACTCAAGTACAAGAAAAAATGCTCACTGGAGCTTTAACGTTGTGTAGGAACCATAATGTCGCGATTAATGTTCTTTGTTTGTTATGATACACGTCGAAAAGTGTACACATATTACATCAAATGTGCGTGTGAAATCATTGGTCACTGTGGAAGCGTTTTCTCTGTTATTAAAGCCCAGAAAAACTTCTTTTTTAAAGGTATTAGGAAAGCCGCAATATGTTGGATTAAGAGACCAGCTAAGAGACCATAAGTTTGAATGTGAGGTGTCACATTAGTTTAGTAATTCCTAAAAATGAAGTTGTTTTTGTTGCAGTAGGCATCATCTATTGATGTTTCATGTTCATCTACAACAAGTATCAAAATTCTAGCTAGCTGTGTGCGAACTCAATCTAATCACCACCAATAGTCCTGTTTGAAATCTTGTAGTCATTACCGCTGCAAACACAGAAGAGATTGAGATCATTAAGTAGTGAATGTAGGCACTCGAAGAAGGCGAGGAATGTGGTGAAAATTATTTGCAGTCGTCTCAGAGGTCTTAACATTTCACCATCTTTGCACACCTGATAGAGGAAATGATTGCGGTCCATCGTTTCAACATATGAAAGTAATACTCGACGTCCCTCAAACTGCAACGTCAACACATTGGCATTTATGTTGAGTATATTTCAGGTTTAATCCAAACACTGCCAAAAAAATAGACGTAAAAAGCGTCTTGAGAGTTGTTAAATAGAGGAGTGTCTCATTAGCAGCAGTGTTTCTCTGAGCTGGATCCTGCAGCGGATAGGAATCAAAGAAAGAGTCACGGCTGAGTAAGACGAGAGAGGAGACATGGGAAGTGGGTGCGTGGGGCCTGTAGAGCCTTTTCTCGGGGTGGAAAGGGGCCCATGTCAACTCCAGAAGTCTGCTCCTTTTGATAAAGAAACACATGGTACCTCAGAGGAAGCCTAAGGTGATGAGGAGTGATGAAGAGTGTCAGTTAGGTTGGAGGTCTGTTATGGGTTTTGGTTTCAGCCATACTGAAAGGCATTAGATATGCTGTCCTTGCTGGGCTCTGCTAGCGGTAAACATCCTGTTGACAGCATAGTAGAGAGTTGGGTTACATGCTTCACTAAAAGGTTAAGACGCCGAAGGATTACTCTGAGATATTTACGATTTGCCTTTGCAGCCACACCCCTCAAAATGTGCAAAATCTGGAAACCATTTCTGCTGGCTGGCTGGCTCTCTTCTCTTCTTTAGAGAGATGATGTCAGATTTTATCATGTGTTGCTAATATTTCAAACCCAAAGCAATTATTACCGAGCCGATGGCATGACAAAAGGCCTCTTCAGTCGAAGCTGTCTTTCTGAAGCTGTGACCAATGAACAAACTACTTTTTGTTCTTCATGGCTGGAATCTGAGGCATTTTTAGCTCCAGAGAACTCAAATACAAACTGGGACAATTTTGAAGTCTAAGAAGACAGAAAATGGTTTTGTTTTCAACTTAACACCGAAAACTATTACGAGTTTATGTTTAAAATCTAAAAAACACCATAACACCTTTCACCCCCAAACCAAGGGTCATAATAATTTAATGACCTCTTTCTTATTAACCTGGTTACTGTAAAGCGAAAACACAGTGACAGTGTGCTGACAGTCGGGTGTATGGTGGGAAGAGCCTGGGCTAAATAAGGAGGGCATTGTCTCTCCAAGGGGCTGTGGAACCAGAGGTCAGGAAGTCAGGCTGTATTGTTCGCTCAGCTCTGCTTGGCTGCAGTCATCTCCGTCTCTCTGTGTCTCTGTCTGTGCGCGGAGGAACGGCTGTCAGACACACATTTAAAGGGCCAGAGAGCTGCTAGCCAGCGATGTCAGCATCCAGACCATGTTTTTGGAAACGGCAGAGAGGCACAGGAAGTGGGTGTATGTCTTTACAGTTACAGCTTAATCAAGTTTGAATGCGGGAAAAAGTCTGCTTTGGCCAGAGGAACTTTTAATAGAATCAAAACTAACAGAGGGAATTCCCTGATTTAAAATTAGTCACTTAGGGCTCAAACCAGAAGCTGAGATTTTCAGGCTTTAGTCACACTAATTGTAAGCAGCTTTTCATTCAATCATTCAGCATCTTAAACACAATTTTAGTCACTTTAAACGGCATATAATTGACGGGAAAAGTCAACAGGATGAGTCTTTGGTAAGATCACAAGACAATCAATGATCGCTTCATCATTAGAGCCAAAATTGGCGTAAGCTTCAAGTTCCTCACATGAGTTTTAATTGAACATAAAAAGCTTCTTTGAAATAGAGCAATAAAAAATTAAATCACATGCTGTGCCTCAAATGACTGACAGACTTAATTTATTATTTTGTTGATATTTATTTAACTTTTTTCATATTGTCTTTATCTTCCTTGGCTTTTTTTTTTTGCTGTGATCCTGGTTTTATTTTCAAAAAATGAATCTGACACATTCTTCAGGGTTCCTAACGCAAGTATGGAAAGTAGGGAAGTAATTTGATTAATTCACGGTAAAAAAAAATATTGTTTTCTAAAATAGAAAAGTAGGTATTTCCAAAAATAATTCTAAAAAGTAGGGTATGGAAAAGTATGGAAAATCCAACTGTGTAGGAACCCTGATAATTGAAATTAAAACTTCTTTCCCATTGGTCAGCAACTAAAAAAGTTGTTTATAGTAGAAGTTCATTAATCAGATCATCTACCAAAGTTAAAAAAGTAACTTTTCTGTGACGGCTAATAATATCTTTTGGTTGTGATCATGTTGCGAGTTATAATACTAATAATGTTCATTCTTAGCGAACAGTGATTTTATATTAGAAGCTTTTCCCCTTCATACTCAGCTAACGTCCGTTTACGATTACGTTATGAAATATATTGGGAATTTCTTGGTCAAAGTCTTTTCTGTTTCAAATCATGGAGAAGAGGTGAAATGATAATTCATCTGATACCCTTTTATGAGAGATTGAGCAGAGCAGTGGTTTATTTTTGGTGTTAGCATGTGAGATATCCAATTAAAAGAGAAATGCTATCAAAGATCTGTTTTTGATCTCTTTCAGGCTCAGTGATACACTTCATAGCCAACCATGTAACTGGTAAATCTCAAGCAACACTTTCTGATTACTGCTGCTTTGGTCCTTTTGTTTTCCCTGCTGATAAATGTCTTATCTGTCCACGGCACGCTGAGTGTTGTTGTTGGCCGGATCATCTGCTGAGGAGGATGAGTCAGGGAGAGGGGACCCTGGAATGTGGGGTAGATAGACTCCCTTTGATAAACAGTGGCTCATCTGCTCTAACATAATGAACACATAGGACAGGAATGCTGCAGAGCTCAGGTTTTGTGTGGTTGTATGTTTTGAAGATCACTTTTGTTGGACTCTTTGGATTACAGTGTTTTCCTGTTACACTTATAGGGGGAGGGAATGGGAAATCTATTCTAGTGCTTTCTCCTGGCTGAAAATGAAGTCATCAGTTTGTTGTTAGAAACCATTGTGGACATACATGATTTCACAAGACTATGAAAAGTTATACTTGAGTCAACACAGGGGTCTTGAAAACATATGAGCCATATTGCTGTGGATTTCACTGTATTAAGGTGCTGTTTGGCTTTGATAACAGCTGGGCTTCTCCCTGACGCCGCAGGCCTCTGATATAATTTAAACCCTGTGAGGGAGAGCGCTGAGTTTGTTAGTGCGGAGTAATCGACCACATGTTGTCCGATAGACTTTGCGTTGCTGTGTTCTCTAGGATAAATGCCCCATGGGGGTATGGAAGTGGGGGTGATAGTGAATAAGAGAGAGAGAGAAAGAGAGGCGAAAGGGGAGGGGGGTGAAGATTTGGAGTAGTCCATTGTTTATCCTGATGGTTTCCAGATGATGGCAGAGGGAGGCAGCCAACCTTCCAGGCCTCTCTCACCAGAGTACAAGGATCTGGGCCAAGCTTATCTTCTGTAGCCTTCAAATCTGGCTTTACATCGCTCCGTGCAATCTGGGGCAGGTTTAAGTTACACAACTGAAGTTACGGCATTTGGGAGGGATGAGTTGTAACACACATCATAAATATATTTCCTATCTTAAAGCCCAAATCGACACTTTCCCACACAGGTTGTAAAGACTTTGAATCAGATATAAAGTATTTGTTTTGGGACTACATGTTCCTGTCTGGATTTTTAAGTGTGGGGGGGAAAAGGGGGCTAAAACTGTTTTTGTTTAACAACTAGGATAATTATTGTTGACCCATTCCAGCTCTGACCGGTATAGCCAACTTGACTGGAGATTTCAATAATCAACACAAATAAGAATAGAGATAGACTAATGAATCAGTCGGGAAATTAATCAGGACGATTAATGTTATTTTGACGTAACCAACATCAGCCCTCACAAGGCCAATATCACTAGTGTAATGTAATGTATTAACTAGTTTTATCCATCCCAAGTGACAGCAAATTGAGTCTAAAACACCCATTGGTTAGAGTTTATATAATTTGATGATGTACAGAAAAATAATAACAGTTCAGTTAAACAATGATATTAATATTACCTTTTACTTTTTGTACTCTTTCTAGTTTCAGAAATCTTGTGAAAATTTTCACCACAGTCCCTTGTGGTGAAAATTTACCAAGCCAAATAAGTGTCTGTTTATATCTATATAAAAAGCATTTTTTTTTCTCATTTGTTAGTATTATTAGATAATTTCATCTTGACAAATCCAAAATATTGAAATAGATAAATAAAATATGATATTGCTGTTATATACCAGGAATTAGCCAGCATGCTCCCTCAGTATTGGTACCTGCATGGACCTCTGAAAAACTAATATCAGATGACAACTAAACAAAAACATACCTATTTTAGAGTAAGTAGAATTGGATTCAATAAATCAATACGAGTATACCATTATCTTTGACATTCAAGTCTTGGGGGGTAGTGGTTGCACGGATTTGACACTTTTTAAAGGGATATTCTGGCACACACCCAAACACCGAGTTAGACACCCCCTCAAGAGATGAATGTTGCTGACCGCTCGCTTCTCTAGTTATACCAACTTTAGTAACGACCGCAGGATAGCAATACACAGCAGTCTGAGGAGCCACAAACAAACCTCAACCAAAACGCCACTCTATAGCCACAAATAATGCTCAGAACAGCACCTAACTTCATCAACAGTACATATAGGGTCCTAGCCACAGCGCTAGCCACCAAACATCTTTTTAACTTTGCCTAATTTCTTGAGCAAAGAGACTAAACACAACTCACCTACTCTCTTCCAGCAGCTGCTTCTTTGTAGCGAGACCTCTGGCCAGTCCATTACAGACTACAGCGGGGTGACACAGCTCAAGGAAGAACATTTATGATCATTTCTTTGAAGTAATAATCACCATATTAATCATTTTGCACTGCAGTCGCGGTAGTTCTTCTGCCTTAGCGTCTCGGTCTGATTGCATTTCCATGAAGAAAAGATCCTAAATTGATTTTACGCCAGAATATCCCTTTAAGTTGTGGGTTCAAATCATAAACCTGTTGCTTTTGCTCCGAGGATGCGCGTAAGCCAAGTGTGAGTGTGCTAATTTAAATAGTTTAAAAACACTCATGAGCTATCTTACTGATCACCAAGACGATACAACCAGTCAACAAGTATTTGATATAGCTGTTTAACTTTGATAGTTTATTATCTTGAGACCATTTTTCATTTCACGCTTGGATACAGCTTGTGACAGCTGTTAACATGGTTAGAGAAGCCAAGCCTTGGCGAAAGACAGTTTTCTGTTTTATGACCTAAATTTGTCTTTATTTTTCATCAGAATAATATTTTCCAGATATCATGTTGCTTTTGGGCAGATAGTGGGACGGCTTCACATTCTGTGCAAAGACATTGACTAAATAGTGTTAAAAAGTAATATATTATAACTAATATCAAAAGATTAATCATGTCAATCTGTCACTGTTCATTTGTAACTCTCACTGCTAAACTGTGGTCAGAGGTGTTGTTCCATTTGTCTGATGTCAATGTCATGTCTTTTCGAGGACAGCTGGAAACTGTAGTCTGTGCCATGGCCTTTGCTGCCCCTTTGGGCTCCAGACTTTAGGTCGAGTTTGTTTTGCTTGCTCTGCAGAGCGAAAGCTGCTTCCTCTCTCAGGAAGATGATGCTCTGTCTGCTCTCCCTGAAGGCCATCAAAGTGACCTCCCATAGTGCCTCATGGTGGCTCTGTGATAAAAAAAAACACAGCCCTCAATGTCCATCAGGGACTTAACCTTTACATTAAACACGGTTTGTGAAGCAGATGCAGCGCTGTGACTTCATAAAACGAGCTGTTGGAAGTTTTTAACCTGACATATGTTCCTGCTGTGAATTAAAAACAACACTGTGGCGCTGCTGACTCAGTCTTCATTTTGACTTGCCCTACTTTTCAGCTGAGGTGCTGCTAATTTAAAGCAGTCCTGTCAGGATGGTTTCTTTGTGATGGGTTTCGGATTTTGTTATACAAATGCAGAGTTCATCTGGGTTTTATTTCCTCTCTGCTATGATCCATGTGTCCTGATTGGTGGGTCGAGGCCAGCTGAGAGGGATGACTAAGAGCCTGAGGTATTTGTCCTATAGCAGGGAGGCCTCTCCCATTGGTCCCCCCACAGGCTGGGGCCTCCTTTATTGTCCCCGGGGAGCACAGCTGGAGGGAGGGAGCTCATTTCTAATGGGAAAGCTGAAACTTGTTCTTTTCTGTCCAACAAATAAATTACTCTTAACCGGTACAAGATCTCAACTTCCTTAAGAGAACCCATTCACAATTTTGTTTTCTTTTTCTCCTTTTTTTAAAATCCTGCTCTTAAACTCAGGATAAAGTCTTTGTTTACCACAAATTATCATCTTAGCTCAGAAACAAAAACTCCATAAACTCTGGTTCCTTGAGATAAATGTGCTGTTCACTTGCTGCTTCTCAAACAGACAGATAATGTTGGTCAACTTCATCTAAAACTTCCACATCTATGTACGTTTAATAAAGTAGTGATACTAGGTTGTTATTTTTGTGTTTTTCTCTTCAGGCTCGACCCAAAGGCGAAGGTCTGACCCCGTATCAGGGAAAGAAGCGATGTTTCGGTGAATACAAATGCCCTAAATGTAAGAGGAAGTGGATGAGCGGGAACTCCTGGGCTAACATGGGGCAAGAATGTATCAAGTGCCACATCAACGTTTACCCTCACAAACAGGTAAAGGACAACTTAACCATGTGCACTTCAGTGGGACACTCAGCGTCACTGCTCAGTAGACATATTTAAACTTGATGAATGGATGATGTCCAATTGAAATTCAAGAGCTGCTTGTGAAAAGTTAAAAACTGTGTCATCAAGGAACAGATGTACTATGGCAGTAAAATAAATCATCTGCAGAATACATACACAGGAAAGCCAAACGATTTCAGGTCTGTTTTATGGAGCTGCTGAAATGAACCCTTTCCAATTCCTCAGAACTTATTTTGGAAAACTTCACTTGATTTCTGCAAAAATTGATTGCGAGTGGCATTTCTTGGCAAACTGTTAGTGTTTGGTTTCGGTTTTAATATTAACAGTATGAATAAGGAAGTGTTAACATAGTTACACACATAAGCTCCTGATCATCCTGTCAGACTATCCAGCATTTAAACACAGTTTTTATAATATGGCAACCATCAACCAAGCACCAAGATTGATTGTCCCTCATTGAAACTCAGCTCATACAAGGGCCTGTGTCCACTAACAGCATTTTTATATTTGCAGAGGAGGTGGAACTTCTGAAATCATATTTGTCAACAACAAGAGCGTAGGTGAAGAAAGAAGAAAACTAATTACAGTTTTTTTTTCTTTGAGAACTACTTCTAGTTTTAAAACTGCTGCTAATGCGATATGACAACACAAGTTAAGATATTTGTTTTCAAGTTCTGTTTAAACTTCAATGGACTGAAAGAAACTATGAAGCATGCAGTTCAATTTGAAACAGATTTTAAGGTCTTTATTGAGGAAATGGGGAGTGCAGCAGGACAGCGTTTGCAACCTGGCAGTCAAAGTGAGCCGAGATTCAGGTTGTGAAAAAATGCCATCAGTGGACACAGGCCCTTAATCTTCTAATTCTTAAAAACACACTGAGTACTTAACTTCTTGTTTGCGACAGTCTTGTTAAATAATCTATTTCTTTGTTCCAGCGACCCCTGGAGAAACCAGACGGGTTGGATGTGTCCGATCAGAGCAAAGAGCATCCCCAGCACTTGTGTGAAAAATGCAAAGTCCTCGGCTACTACTGCAGACGGGACCAATAACATGAATGGCCTCGACACCTTCTTGAAGGTTTATGAAAAAGGGATGTTCATTTCAGTTACTAAAAAAAAAAAAAAAACACATGACAAATGATTAATTTTACTGTAATTGATTTACAGTCACAAAATATTCTCTGAAACTGTGACTTTTGGTATAAGAAGCTCTTTTTTTTCTGTAAAGAGACAAGTATTTTTAATTTGGTGGTTACTTATTTAGCTTTAATTATGTGAATTTTCATTTAGAGAGTCTTAACAAGGAACCACAAATCTTACCAACTGTGAATTAAGAAACTTAAGCTCTGACGGTCCTCGCTCAAGTTTAGGAGTGAAGTTTCCACATAAGAGATTCTTTAAAACATGTTTGTATATTCCAGATATAACTTAAATAATGTGCTCTGTATAAAATATGCAACAAGTCTTCACTAAAAAGGATATGCAGTATAAATGTATATCTGCATTGTTATGTGTATTATCAGTACTGAAGGGTACATATTTTTAAGCCATTACAAGTTTGTTACATATTATGAAGGAGTAAATAATAGCCAGCTAACAGTTATTCTTGTTCACTGCCAAACATTGTTACAGATATGTTCGTTTCACCTAACTGTTAACAGATGCAATATGATGGACATGTTTTATTTTTCCTGTAATTAGAGTAAATTACAGCACAGTTAAACAGTGTTTTGGCACCCAGTGCTTTAAGTATCACCAAAGTGCCTTTAGAAAGTGTTTCCTAATGTCTTAGGACATATAAAAAAGAACATGAATCTGTATTTTTCATGAAGGATTTAAAGAAAGTTGCATGTTACTTTAAGGCCTTTTGTATTTTAGTAAATTTAAACAGTTAAATCTTTATATAACAGAGTCACACTATGACTGAAAGTGTTTAAGAAGTGTGCGACACCTTTTGAAATGCCTTATTTTGATTTACCCCAGAGTGGTTGTTGAACTCTTTAAAAAGTTTTGTATTAAAGTTGTTCAAATGCAGTGTTCAGTGTTCATGGCAGAAAGTTCTTTTGTCTTTCGTAGAACAAAAGCTCAAGATGACGGTTGTGAAATAATTCATGTCACAGTAGGGATTTGCTTTAGGAAGGGTCCACGCTGGGCCGTATAGCTAACTGATGAAATCAACCTTTCCTAACGCAATCTGATCCAGATGTTATAATTCCCCCTAAACATAAAACACCAGAATCTCAATCGCTCTTTTTTTCACATCTGGAAAACTGCAAAAGCAAAATCAGATATAGCTTTGTGTGCTATCAGTGAAGCTGAACCCTGAAAAGAAAGAAACATCTCCCTCTCCAGAACTGATAGAATCTGACTTGTTTACCTTAAATTTCTGGGACAGACCTCAGCAGAGTTCAAACTTGGCAGAATAAGATCATTAATCAACAGACTGATGAGGAAAACAGAAAGACTGATCTCATTCACTCATATGGTAATAAAACACAAGCCTTCCTCCGATAGAAATGTACACCTTTGACTGTATCTGCTTTATGTTGACTACCTGTCTAAGGGTTAAAAGCTTTGGGATAGGAGTTTTGTAAAGACCATAGATAGAGGATGAGAGATGTGGGCGCAGCAACCGTAAAGTCACCCATTTTCTTGATACAGATATTAATTTGGTACTTTGGTGTTGTTTTGGAGCCTGAATGAAGAAAGTCATATTTCTACAGTAGGATTGATAAGCTTTGATTCCGCTCAGTTTTGGTTAACAGGCTGCACTGGTAACACATTTTCAATTTTACTCTAAATGGGACGACAGCAGGAGAATATTTTTCAGTTTTACATCTATCAATCAGTTGTCCTTTTGAACCAGCGTGGTCGCCCCCTGCTGGCTATTTGAAAACACTTGTTTACTGGGCAATTCTGAATTAAATCCTTTTTTATACACTGTAAGGACAAAAAATAGGATCTAAATGAGAATGAAAATGAAACAAAAGTTCCTTCTCTGCAACTGAATGCCAACAAGTTTTCCATGTCAACTCTGAGGATAATAATGAGCATCAGTGTTGTGTTCTCGATTAATTTCCACTCCCCTAATATGCTTAGATATGAACTACTGTGGAGTTTGAAGGCTTAACCTTCCTTCTGTGTTAGCTTTTACTACGTACCCACCACATTAAGGGTCGGTTTGACCCGTGTCTCAAATCAGCTGTAAATTACACTAAAAACAATTCTCTATCATCCAGTTTGGTTCTCATCTCCAGGTTACCTTGTTAGGCTTCATTATACATGAAAATATTGCTTGTGTTATTTTTTGTTGTGGTCCTCTGGGCCTTTCTCTGTCAGTATACCCCTCATACAGACATCTATACTGAATTGATCTCACATGTCTGGACATGCCTGACATTTTTTGTGCAGGGAAAACCTTGTCAAAATGAGAATTTCCTAAATCCCACATGATTGGAAGAGGATCTGACCATCAGTGCACTTATGATTTCAGTTTTTGCTCTGATTATTAGATATTGATCTAACCGGGTCAACAGGAACCCTATCACGACAAGTGCCATAATTTTAATATGAGCATTTTCTAATTTAGTCAATTTATTAATTTATTTTGTTGAAATAGAGCTTCCTAAAAGCTCATTTAAGTGGTTCTTTTAAGCATTTAAAAATGAAAATGGGTCAGTGCAGACCCTCACACAGGAGGAGGGTTAAACAGATTCAAATTCAGATTAATAAAATCAAATTCAAGCTGGAATATTTAGAAAAAAATCTTTATTTCTTCTAAATAAATGTCCCTTTCCCAAACCAGTTTCAGTGTATGTTAATCATAGCTTTCTTTCAAATATTATAGACCCCGCTACATTTTTAGTCTACAGTACAAGTTCACATTTTGAAGCCTGACACAGTTAAGTGCATTAGTTGTTACCTGAAAAAAAAAAACTACCACAGGATGCATGTACCAAGAGAAGGACTGAGAGTTACTCTGATAGAATCGACTGTGAGTAAATAGAGGTAGCACTCTGCAGCATGACGGGACACAGAGCCTCTTTCACCGGGTCGCTCACATTTAAATCACAGCAGTGGGAGATGAGAACGCCACCATGTCCTCTGCTCACATGGGGCCTACTTGAGCTCTCCGCAGTCTGTGATAGTGATCTTCTTGGAGGTTCGCCCGGACCGTGAACCAAAAGACTCCACTTTCTTGATCACTTCCATTCCCTCCTTTATGCTGCCGAAGACAACATGTCTGCCATCCAGCCTGAATGAAGAAACGGGGGGATTAACATCTCTGTCATTTACATTGAGGTGATCCATGACACACCCAGCTGATCCGACTATAATTCTGCCATTTTAGGCTATCAACAAATTCTTCACTACATTATCTCACCGTTTCCACCACAAACCTTTGAAACAGCATTTTAACAGTAACTGGATGCATAGACCCAGATTTCCAGAAGCTATCAAAAACACAAGTTCACTATGAGGGGTAGAATTTAAGGCAAACTAAAGCGTCATTAAAATCTCTGACTAAGGTAACTGCTGTTTAAAAAAAGTGCACACTTTTTAAAAAGGTACTATTGTGTAGTAAGAGGGACTCAGACACGCAACAATTTCTTGATGATGTCTATGTTTTAGAACTTGAATCTAGTTCTAAGTGCTCTTAACATATTTATGCCAGTGATATTAAAAGTTTTAGTCTTTCTAAATAATGCATGAGAACGACTGAGTGTTTGTAGTGTCCACACTACCACAGTAGACACTGAAAAAACAATCTTCAAGAGAAGGTGTGTAGAATTTGGTTTACTTTTACTCACTGAGAAAACTTGAAAGGACACCCAGAAACTGACTTGAAATACAGCCAACAATAAAGAACTGCGACAAAATAACCTGCAGCTCCAAGGCTTGAGCTGGTCAAAACGTACCATTCTGTTTTAGCGGTGCAGATGAAGAACTGGGATCCGTTCGTGTTGGGTCCAGCATTAGCCATGGATAAAATACCTACAAAGCAAATACAATCATTTCTCACATGGATTGCATTGAAATTTGGATAAAACATTCTGGCATGTTTAAGTAGGAAAATCACAGGTGTTGGTAATAATATGTAAATGATAGCTGGGTTTGATTTAGCTACTCCAGTTTTAAGCTCCTAACACTGAGCATGCTGCCTCTATACAACGAAAAGCAACAGATCATTCAAGCAGAATTTGCACAATGCTGCCACCTGGTGGTGAAAAATAAGTATTACAAGCCATGCCGCCTAATTATCTTTTTTTTTCAGACTAAAATCCAAAACTAAATTACCCTTAAAAAAGTTAAAACAGGCCCCAACAGCAGCCATGACTCTTTCATGTTTGTCAAAATTAGAACCTTAATATGTAAAACATTTGATCTGTTCCTGATTTGTTTTCTCGATTTGAGCTCTGAGCAGTTCTTACAGCTTCATCAGAGGCTTTAAATACTGTTGGAAAGATTGTTGGAAAAACACCAGCCATCTTCTCATCTTGATTTGAATGCTACAGATTGTTCAGGATGGTACATCATAAGTTTACACAGTCCTGCGTACTATCACACTGTCCTGTATATCCCACATGCTAAATCTCATTATAATCTGCTGTGGTGTATTAGACTCCTCTGAGAGTTTGTTAAGCATTTGTCCTGTATGATGAATAAAAGATATTCAACTTTTGGTCTGTGGAAACGAATTCCCTCTACATGAATTAGACATAATTTGTTTTTTACATATTCGTGCGACATGCTCAGCAATTTAAAACACAAGGAGGGAACAGAAGGGATGATTACCAGGTCCAGTGTGCTTCAGTTTAAAGTTCTCATCAGGAAATTTCCATCCATAGATCGACTTCCCTCCAGTTCCATTGTGATTAGTGAAGTCACCACCCTGAAAACACACATTTCACCTTGAATACAACTCAGCGGCACCGGAATAACAAAAGCAAAAGCAAAAGAAAGAGAGAAAGAAAAGCTCACCTGACACATGAACTCAGGGATCACCCTGTGGAAAGTCGATCCTTTATAGCCAAAGCCTTGCTCACCGGTGCACAGCGCTCTGAAATTCTCTACAACAAAGATTTGTCATCGCAATTTTATTATTTTACCAGCTGGTTAAGGAGTTTACATTAAAACCATAAAGAGACTAACTAACTCCTTTAAAGAGACAAATCTACATTATATCTCAGGGACATCTGCAGGTTTTTCTGCTGCCTGGTTTGACATTGATGGAATCAAAGAAGACTTTGCAACAGAGCCGATATAGACAGCTTTCAGCATGAATAAATAAAAATAGATATAAATTGCCACTTAGAGAAACTCTTACTTGAATAAGAGTTTAAGTTTCTCAAAAGAAAAAGGAACTGTTGCTTCAGTCTCACTCCAGGATTAAGCAGCTACTGTTAGATTATAAACCCCTGATGCAATGGGTTCAAATTACAACTCACACCAATGAAGGTGAAGCATAATCATTCAGTTTAAGTGACAATACCACACTGTAAAGTAATAATCCACTACAAGTCTATTTGAAACCACCCATAAGGTTTTTACGTCGTCTTCATTCTGCAGTCGACATGTCACTGTCAGTGTTTTATTTTGAAATGAGACGTTGGTGGGTTAGTAGGACTTTTGTTTTGCTGTCTCAGTAAGAGAGCAAATGGGAATGTCCTTTAAAGATCTCTCATAAATGCATCCTTCTCCTGAGAAAATAATTGATCTGCTGCTGTTTTTGTTTGTTCAACTACCTTAATTAGTAGGACAACATTAATGATCCTTGAGATCATTGCAGCAATTTCAAATCACTTAACTAGACAGAGTGCTCTTGTGTTGAAAATCAATATTAAATATCTTCACAGTTATGTCGGTAATTTGTACGACAGCGTGACTTTAAGTGTGACATAGTTTTAATACAACAGCTCTACACACTCTGCAACAACATGATCATTTTAGTCGGTGTCAACATTAGTTTTGCTTGGCCAGCATGACTCAGCTTATAATGAACTGGAGTGTTGCCATGCAACATCAACATTGACCAGCACTGGTGCAACTGTGTTATCTTTAAACTCCATGACGGACCAGCTACTTTTTCTGATCTGCATTTGTTCATGTAGCCTAATAAAATTGTGAGATGAAGTGGCAAATGTTTGACGAGAGAGGAGCATGCTTGTCTTTTTGTAGGTCACTTCCTCTTTTGAAAACACAGAGGAGAGCAATTTCTTGAGTGGTGGTGCAACGTTTGCTGCAGTTTTTATTTTGTGGTTGACCAAATGTTTTCAACAGACTGCAGGCTGGCCAGTAAAGCACCTGGTCTCTCCTCTTTCAAAGCCAAGCTATCTGAACACATACAGAATCTGGTTTGACACTGCCTTATTAAAAGTGTATGGTCTTTCCTGTAAAAGTCCTTTTCTGTACGGCAGCAAACCTTTAAAATACTGTTCAGCATTTAACACCAATACCTTTGAACTAGGGCTGAGCGATACGGGAAAAAGTCTATCATGATATATTTTATTTTAAAAACTGAAATTCAACAATGCTTATTGGTGGCATGTTTTTTGCAATACAATAAGCTTCTGCATCTGTGAGGTCTTTGAGTCTCTTTTGTTGTAAGGCGTTGCGCTACAGAACGCAGACTAAATGGTCTAGTTTTTGTGTAGCTGCAGCCTGCTACTACGCAGTTGTTTGCTACTTGGTTCTAATTCAGCACCTGATTGGTTCAGTGCAAAGCGGACCTGGAGGCTAAATTCTTCTTGTAGGGTGGTAGGGGGAGGTTCCGCCCTCCTTCGCCTCTGATTGGCTAGAAGTGCTGGGCTCCGATCGGTTATTCCTAATGGCTGTGAAATGTCATTGTCTGTGGGGTTAGGGTTAGGACATTCATGCGAGAGATGAGATAATGTTCTGTTCGATGTACAGAGCCGACAGCCCGCGTTTGGCTCGAGCGTGTGATGACATTTCCAGCTTTTCTAGCCAATCAGAGGCGAAGGAGGCGGGACTTTCCCCTACTGTCCTACAAAAAAAATATCGTGACCCAGAACAACTTTACCTTTTCATTGGCTATTCGTATAGTCTACCAAAACATGGTAGGATGCCGACTATCGAAAAGCATATTGACCATGTTTCATATTGATATTGGGAGAAATTAACTTTCGATATAAATCTTTATCATTTTATCGCCCAGCCCTACTTTGACCTATGAGTTGATATGCTCTTTATATCAGCACAAGCAGAAGAAAAGTTGTTAAATCAGATTATGAGATTGTTGGTAACACACAAGAAAGCAGGGCAAACTTTTAAGTTATAAAGTAATGCATTAAAACTTCATAGCTTAAAAGTGTTTGTAAAATTACTAGCACCTGAGATGTAAAAGTAAAGCATGCAATGAGTATCTTAAATTTGTACTGACCAGTATCACTAAATAGAGACACTGTGTTACCAGACTTTTATGTGCAGATATCAAACACAGCTATAATCGAAACGGTCTGTGCTTACCTGCAGTTTTTGGCACCACTTCAGCGTTGAGCTGAAAAAGAGGAAAGAAGTGTCCTCAGGGTCAAACATGAGATAACAGGTTGATCCTCACATAACTCTGACTGAACAAACAGTTCTCAACAAATCTCTCTGAAATATGTCAAATATTGCTTCATTTTCAGTCAAACTTCAACAGTAAAATCCACGCAGGTTTTATGGTTTGTGCTCACCTCAAAGGTTACTCTCCCCAGAGCCTGGTTGTCTGCAGCAATGTCAAAGAAAACTATGGGGTTGCTGTTCGCCGCCGCCGGACCGGTGCTGTACAAGCGAGCGGCGGTAAACGCCAGCGAACATAACTTTATCCTGTTCGACAAAATCAACATTTTCAGGGAGAATGTGGCTCAGTAAGTCACTCGGCAGCAGCTGCGTGAGTCTGAAAAGTCACGCTTGCACCGGGGGGGAAGACGGGAAGTTTTTCTTATATAACCGGAAGTACATTAACGTCTGAACTCTCGCGAGATTTTGCATGTAACGCCAGTGATTGTAACAACAATGGAAGACTTTCTAGTAAAAGGTGGTTAAAATGTGCCTGTTTGTCCCATTTAACCTCCAGAAATGATTTGTTCAATGATGTAATATATATATATCATATTGCAGCTTTTCCAATTATCCAGTGAAATTGCAAAAGACACACATTAACTGTGTCTGGTTTAAGAATCTCCTGGGCTGGCCTGTTTCACCATTCTGGTTCATTATTTCAAAACTGCAGAGTTATTGAACTGCCTCTACTTTAATTTGCAAACATTTAGGGGAGAGTGGGGTAAGATAAGCCGTTTTTTTCATATTTCGGATCACTACATCAAGGCAATCATAGTTTTGTCTCTAACTAGTGTATCTGCATATATTTCAAGGTGTTGTGCAACCCTGCAAACCAACAGAATGAGTGTAAACAGAACTGTCTTGATAATATAACATGCCCAAAAAAAAGTGGTCAACTACCCCTGACCCCTCAACTTACCCCACTCTCCCCTGTGCATGTTTATGTTCATGTTCAACATTTACTCATTCAATTGTGGGCCTATGGTGCAAAATCCTGCAGTTGACCCAAAAGACTGAGGGCTTTGAGTCCTGATGGGAACATCTGAGCCTGCCTGAAGATGGGGTTGGAGTCAGGGTCAGAGGTTCAGGTGTCTCAGTGTGTCTCAACATGTCTCAGGTAATGTTTAGTCTGGAAATAGGGTTGGGGGTTTAATGACAGGGCCACTAGTTAGATCTGGACTTGGTCTGTCCTCTTTTGACCAGAAGGGGTTCAATCCTCGGCCCTGCTATTTCATACCAAAGTGCACTTTGGTAAGACACGTTACTCTAAACTGCCCCTGCAGCTGAGTCAGAAATGATTGTTAAAGGAATTGTTTATTACTATGGACTTCCTGCCATGTACATACCAGCATCCTTCGCCAGTGAATTTGACATGTGATGTCAAAAAGTGCTTTAAGTGGCCAGAAGATATGCACATATACATCCAACTCAAAAAGGAACCTCATCAGATTACTGATTTCTGCAAGTAGTCATGGCAAATATAAGTAGCCTGTTTGCGAACATCTTTCCCAGCCTTGAGTTTGAGTTCCTGATTTGGATCAGTCTTTCACAGTGAAGAAAGAGTCATTTAGATCGTTTGGTTGACCTTGTTTTGCTTCTTGGTTTGAGTGCTGCCTCAGCTGCAGGACTTAAACCATTCCAAAACAACATAATCTGTTTTCCTCCAGCATGTACATACCGTCTTTGACAGATCTGAAACTTCTTATGCAGCTCCTCATTGTCATTCTAGTAATTACATTTGTAAACCTTGTTTCCTTCATTGTGTAGAGTAATTAACACTAACTTCTATCACCTCCGCCAAATGCCAAGCTGACCTTAAGCTGTACAATGAAAATGTGATACCCTGTTTTACACCTCCTTCCTGGTTGAACAGCCTATTGAAGTCAGCGGGACTTTGTGTGAAGATAATGATGCATGTGCACAAAAGACAAAATGACAGCAGCATACAGGTATCATCTGAATACATATTTATTAGATAAATATTAGGTTGTCACATCATCTAACTACATACAGTTCTGCAAGACTAAAAATCACAATTAGTTCCTTTATTTTCTGACCAGTTTAGATTATGAAATGATTGTACATACAATGTACACAATAGAGACAATGGCCACATTGCATGAATCACCTTAGATTGTGTCATTTTCCGACTGTTCATAATATCAAAAATTGTACAAACTATGGATTCGGTTACATTTTCTGGACCCATCCTCCCCTGCTGCCTAAATGGTTTTCTCTGTAACCTCTTTTTTTTTTCTTCTTTTTTTTTTAAGCATTAGCACCTCAGAGTATGCAGGTGACAGACTAGAACACTTAAGCTAAATATTACATGTAAAACATAGCTGTCCCAGTTCCCCGAACAAAAGAGGCGAAAGTATATTACAGAGAGGGGAACAAAATGCGAAGAGATACCCACAGACACTAACTAACAAGTTTCATTTTCCATATTCAGCCACTTCCAGTAGAGGGGTTGCAAGCTTTTTATTATTCTGAAGAAACAATGCACATTCCCAGGGAAAATGAATACATATCTGTTCACATGTCTCTATTTTCATTTACATATATACAGGCATCCTCGTGACGTTTGATCAAGCCTCACCCTCAACCTCTTTGATCGAGGCCTTCATCTCTGTATTATTTTAGTTTCCTTCAAACATCTTCCCCACAGAAATGGCGCCTCTATTGTGATTGTGCAACTACAGATTTGGGGTGCTGCCTTTTTTTTTTTTAAGGCTGAAATATAAAACGGTGATGACTGACCAGGATTGATTAAAATCTCTCTATTCAGTAAAGGAAAATATGAAACGTGGCAGTGTATCGGTTTTTTGATTTGATGTCTCTTTGTGACATAAATATGAAACAACATGTCAGTGAGCTGAACTGGAACAAATAATATGACTTAAATGCATGAAAGTTTACATAAAAGCTGGGTGGTTAAATCAGTACAATGCTACATTCGAAAGAAATTGGATTTCTAGCCTTACAGATTAATAAGAAAAACCAGTACAAAATAATTTACCAAAACACAAAAAGGGGGTAAAAATGTATATGGTCTCGTGCTTTAAAAAAAGCAACATTTTCTATAACAAAAATATAAACAATATAATGGATTTCTTTAAAATATGGTTGTGATATATCTTTAAAATACCACTGTGTATTGACATTTTGCAACAATTATGATATTCACATAGCTCACTAATTACACTGAAAGCCAGTTGATACATCTTTTTTTAAATCATCACTGATAAAACGTTAACAAAACCAGACAAAACTTGATCATTTTAAAATCTGCACATGAAAAAAAAAAAAAAGTATTGCTTGAAAACTGAAAAAAACAATGCTACACAATCACCTTGAGCTGATACGGAAAGTGGGGAGTGGGTGATGGGATGGTGGGGGTATTAAAATATGTCACTTTTCTGGAAATAGCAGGTACGGGACAGAGTGCGCAAGGAGAAAAGTGACCAGAAAGCTTGACAACTCGCAGGAAATAGCTTATGAGACATTTGGACTGCTTTACCAGCTGGTTACAAACAACGTCAGTGGTTAGATGGGTGTTTTTTTGGGGGGTGTAACGTGGCGGGCAGGTTGGACGACTCGTGATCAAAAGACAAACATTATCGAGATGATACAAAAATATTCACAATGATATTTACAGTACGATAGCATTTCATAAAAAATAATACATTTGCATACTGAACAGCACTCTTCTTAAAAAGTGAACGTGAAAACAAATGTGGCAAAAAAGTCTGCACCAATACTGCTCTAAAAACCACTTTTTATGAATAGCAGTGATGGATAAACTGTACTTGTCCTCCCCCTTTACACACACACACACACACGCATTCAGTTACACACTCACACTCAGTCACACTCACTTTTATGCAAACACAAACATCCCCATCCTCCTCCCTCAGACTTTGGCGATGTCGAGCAGTTTCCCAAAAGAACTATGGGTACTTTAATTATGCAGCGATGAAATAAAAACACAAACATAACACAGTATATACAGCCGATACATGAGACATGTATCACTGATATCAGCATTATCCCTTCAATGTTAGTGTTAAATAAATCATAAACGTACAAAAACATAAGAGCCATGAAAACAGCAACTGATAAAAACCACACGATCTTTTTTTTTAACATCTTGGAACAGCACTAGACGAGGGCTTGGCACACATGCACTTTGTAGACTACTTAAAACAGCACATCATTTACAGGAAGAGAGATGCAACTTTGCAAAAACGCAAACTTCATTGGGAGAAGTTGTAGCAAGAAGCAGTTAACACAGCAGGGAGCTCCAATCTCCTGTTTAGTACCTTTTGATTTTATTTAAACTGATCCTCTGTGTGAGAGGACTGTAACTATACAGTATTTAGAAGTGCAGGTACGCAGTAAAACTTGTCTCCTTTGGGCCAAAATGTTCCCTTTTCTGGTGGTAAACCCTTAGGGAAATCTCTTTTTGACAAAAATATGTTGTATCAAATTGTGGAAAAAGCAGAAGCCAATCTTTCCCAAAGGCGGTTTTAAAATGTTGCCAAAATGTGTTAAAAAACATCGTATCAAGGAGAGAAATGTCCTTTTTAAACCCATCTTTCATTTTACTTAAAGACATTTGTGGTTTTTTTTGCATTGCCGTAATCTCTTGTGCTTTTAAATGATGTGTGGAGGACAAACAACAGTGCAACAACCAGACCAGTCAGGGAATGGAGCTGTGACACCAGGAAGCTGTGGCCTCTCAAGATTGGAATAACAACATGGACAAAACGCACACTGGCCAGATAGCGCAGAAGTTTTCAGTTATTTTTCTTTTTTTTTTCTCATTTTTTTTTCTTTTTTACATTGAAATGTCTTTTTCTTTTCAAAAAGAAACAAAAACATGAATAAAAAATGCTACAACACGTTCCTAATGTGCACACAAACACCTGTGTGTAAAAAAAGTCAACTGAGTATAGCTGCACAGTTCAAAAGTATCGCCATAAAGGATCCAGTCGTGTCTTTGAGTTTGAACCTCTTTCAGTCAATACGCGCTGGCCAATGAAAACTGTACAAGAGGAAGAAGAGAAAGGGAGTGCATCTTTGTGTTTATCAAGTACTGGAACTGCAGGCGGTCAGAAGAGTTTGTGTGTCTGAATTGCCTCAGTTGTTTTCGAAGAGCGATAGAAGGTCGTCGTTGCTATTGCTGGGGAGGTCCGGCGGGTCCAGGTAAGACAGCAGCTCGTCGGGGTTAGCAAGCTCTGGAAGAAGCTGGAAGAAAGACAGAAAAATGAGTCAATTATGCATGTAGTGAACTGACTAACCCCCAATTTCCACCGCATCCAGAATGGCTACGAAAAGGCCATATCCGCCGATCGTAGCTGATCGTAACCGTTCAAGTTAATATGTTAATTTCCACTGGCTTCTTTCTGTTCTGCTGATTGCAAGAGTTCTATTTTTTCTGGACGCCCGAGCATGCCGGATAAATTCAACCCAGATTAACCTGTGCTGGAAAGGAAGTTGCTGCTTATATAGTTAGCCTGTGTGGCTTAAGACAACTTGTTATTGCACGATTGCTCGTGAATCCACGAGTTCTTGTGAGTTCTTGCGATTCTTGCTGTCCCTAACCAACATGAAATTCGCCTCACAAACGGATCCGATAGGAATTGGTGGACAGCGGAAATCGGAGCCATTCCGGATGCGGTGGAAATCCCGGGTAAGTGCAAATGCTGTAAAATGAGGCACTGATCTGATTGGCTAATTGGATGCTGACCAAGTGGGGTGGATGTAGAGGTGGAAAAACACCAAAACAAATATGGTGAGTGCTCCAGAAGAACCCTTATATCTAATCTACACATACGATTCAGGATCTGACTCCAAACAGAAAGAGGATGATGAAGATGATAAACTCACGTCTAAAGATGGCTCTGGCATGTCCGACCCTGCTTGGCTGTCCAAACTGCTGGAGGGGTTGAAGGCCAGGTCACTGTGGGGATGGTTGTTAGGGCCGGGCTGTTGTTGCTGTAGCTGCTGCTGTTGCTGCTGCTGCTGCTGTTGCTGAGGAGGCGGAGCTTGTCGTGACGGCTGAGGAGGCCCGCTGTGGTGTAGCTGCTGCCCTGATTGGCTCCCAGGGTGTGGAGATGCGTGTAAGCTCTGCTGCAAAGAACCGTGTGACTGGTCATTGCCGGCTGAGTGAGGTATCTGTGGAAACAGAGAAGAAATTCAGACAAAATTGATCTCTTGAATTTGGTATTGTGACTGGAAACTATCAAAACAAGGCTGGAGTTTACATTTAAGATTTAGAGAAATCAGCTATTTGGTACTGTTTTTTTAACAGATGTGACAGTGGTAAATGTCTTTTCTTCAAGTGGGTGATATGGTAAATTTTTCTCTACATAAAGCTCTATAGAGAGGAACTTACAATTTGTCTTGATTTTAGTGAACCCTGTGGAAAAAACAGTACTTTAACTATCATTTAACTTTCAAATCAGTCATTTTAAAGTCAAGTTGAAAACAAAACAGAATAACCCTTTTAAAATTAACCAGAAACACAGTGGAGTATGCAAAAAATATAATAGTAGGAAATTTTTAAAAAAGTGACTACAATACAGAATTTATGACCTTGATGTCAGGAGGATACTCACTGAGTCTGGCATGTTGTGGGAGAGGGGCTTATCTTGGGTCATCAGGCTGTTGGGCATGTCAGGTGGGTGTGACAGCTGTGGACCGTGCATGAAGTCGTTCATCGATGTACCACCGGGAGTCCCATGAGGGAAGTCAAAGTTCCCATGCCCCTGAAAACTGTTACCTGGAACAGAGAACAAAGACAGTACATTTATATGTCAGAGTCACCTACAGCGGGTGTTTTGTTGAACTTGTCTGATGATCTGAAGTTTGTATCTTACCTTGGCTGCCATATTCGTTGTTGTTGCCCCCTTGCTGAGATTGTAATAACGGGTACGGTGACGGTCCAGGACCGAGCTGGGCAATCATCTCCATCACATTGGGCATGATCATCTGGCTGGGACTCATGGTCTTGAACCTCTTGGCCAGTGGTCCGTCTGGATCCTCCTTTATGTGAATTTCAGATTTGATGGCAACCGGTCTCCAACTACACGTCGGGTCAATAGTCACCTCCTCAAACTCCGAGCTGGTGAATCCAAATTAAATCAAATGGTTATATTAAGATAAAATACAAGGAATGCATTTTTAAGCATGAGAGATTTGTGAGTGGTGTTGACGTACTTTTGAATGGCATTTAAGATCCCCCACATGTACTGGTCCACTTCCAGTCCTTCTAGTAACGCCGTTTTACTGAGGAGCAAAGAGAGTCAAAGCTTAGAGTTCTGATAACATGGATCACAGTTAGATGAACTTTGTAATGTGTTTAAGTTGGACACTCACTTGCATACAGGACATCGCCATGTCCCCCGCTCACAGTTGAGTTGTAGATATGACTCCAAATCAAAACACTGGAAGAGAAAAGGAAAAAAAAAAAACACACGTTATTAACCTAGTGAATTATTATTATTATTTTGAAATTCGTCTCCCACACTTAAATATCCTTAGCGCTCACCTGAACGTGTTTGCAGTCATGGCCTCTCGCTGGTAGCTGTATTCGCCGGAAGGTGATTGGACATTTGAGGGAAACTTTGATGGCCGTCTGCTCCACGCCATCCTCTCCATTGAGCGGTGCGTTGCCCGATGATGCTGCTACGCTGCTGAAATTCCTCTTAACTGTGATTCCAAAAGAGACATAAACAGTGTGTAAGAGACTGAGGAGACTACAGCAAAGATACTGGTGTTAAAGGAGACATTTCTGTACCTTTGGTGATGCAGTGCTCCGCAGGAAGAAGCCTCTTTTTCAGTAAGCCTTGGAGCACAGAGCGGACTGAGGGCCTGTGGACCAGCTGCAGCACGAACAAGTGCGACTGCAGGAGGAAAACACAACTCTCATTACAAAGCCAAAAACATCTTTTTAAAGCTTCAATGAGCAACTTTTGGTTTGCTTATCTTGTCCTCTACAGGCTTAAGTAGCGTCTTCTTCTCGGACTTACACAGCAGCAGGCAGTAACTGTGATCTGGATCGTGTTCCTTCCAGGCTGGCAGACGTGTTTCAAGTGCAGGGGTTTGTGGGAGGTTTTGTTGTCGCCCCGCTCGATGGTGAGCGGTGTGGCGTTTACACTGACTTGGACCGATGCCGGCCAGTTGGTGTTCATCTGTCGGTCTTCGTGATGGTAGCACTTGAACTGCAGCTCCAGGTCTGATCTGCACAGACAAGGACAGAAAGGAATTGAAGTTGGGGTAAACAAGACACTAGCTGAGTTTCAATAGGCATAAATAATCAGAATGAACGCCCAACTGGAATAAAAATTTGTCATGTAAGCATGAATGCCAGATAAAGATCAAGAGGGGTGGTTTATACCGATTGTTATTCTGAAATGCGTCCATGTAAATGCTTATTCCGATCGTGACTCTCTTGCCTGACTCGATCTTCATTTTTTAGCCTTTGGTTTATTTATTTATTGAGGCCAGTTCAGGAGGTTTCATTATTAACACTCTGGCATAAAACAAAACCGTCTGCGCCGTGTCTGCTCCTCCAGCGTAATGATGTCACATCTGCACGCACAGTGCAACCTTTAAAAGAACAGTAAAATAAGTACGCAAATGCGCCATCTAGTGACAACATTTAACAGGGAAAAAACTCCTGAATTGGATCAAGTGAGCCACTATTGCGTTTGTTACTTTGTTGATAGCACAAACGTAAATACAACTCTTCCTCTGCGGTTGTTTTAGCGAAATCAGACAACTCTGCACATGTCCAAATGCCTCTAATCTGAATAAAGTTTAAGATTATCCGATCCCTCAAAATGTTAACTGGATCAAGAAATTTTGCTCAAGTAAACATGGCTGCTGTTGCTGAATGTAGTTGCTCTTTTAAAGCTGTACCCACTGCATGCATAGTGGCACGATCCCAAATCAGAACAGACAACTTCATCAATGTAAATCCTGTTTTAATATACTTAGAAATAAAAGCAACAGTTATTCGGCTCTAATAATTCCTTCTTTCAAAACTGTTTTATCAGTTCTGAAACTAATAGACCAGCAAAATGTAAGATAATGTCACTTTGCTGCATGACGCTTAAAATATCTGTGTCACAAAACTCTGATTTGACAGCGACTTTTTCCACTAGAGGGGGTTTAAAGAGTGTTACAATAATCAGAATCTGAGGAAGTGAGTGCCTGAGCGACCTTCTCCAAGTGAGAAGGGAATAGCGATGGTTGATCTTTTTTTTTCGTAGACAGTACAACGACACAGCCTTTTCAATCTGCAAGGCAAAGGTTAAGAGGAATCGAAGAAATCCCTGCGGCGCCCGGCTACAGGATTTCAATGTGAAGCCCCAATGTCCCCGACAGACCAAAAGGAACACTTAAGACACAGAGAAGCTGATCCTCATCTCATACTGTCAGATCACCAGGGTTAGACAGGCTTTGATTTGAGGTGTAATTGGGTGTCACCCACGTAACGATTGATACAAGGTTTTTGGTGTACTGCCACCTCTCCGTTTATGGCACAGTTGCTATTTTTCCAACGCTTAATTCTTCACTAAATGCAGCAAAAGTTGCTCGAGCAGTAACATAAACGATCCCTCGCTAGCTTAGCACCTGTTATCTCTGCTTGTTTTACTGGATAAGGCTTAAAAACACATGATCACTTTAACAAGGCTTGTTATGTCAAGGGATAATAGTAACAACCCAAAAAGAGTCCCAAAACACACACTCAGCTCAGAGCACCAAACCCATTAACTAAAATGGAGATTAAAGTTTTTTTTTTTTTAATGCACTCATATTTGTATTTTCGCCAGATTTCAAAAACCGCAACCAATTAAACAAGAGTCCAGGTTCTCTTGGAGCTACTTTCCAATTAAGCGGTCTTGTTTCTTTAATCCTTCAGATCACCAGAGGATTAATCATTGTTGCTACAAACACATAATTCTTTAGGAGAAAGCTCAATATTCAGGTCCTGTTTGGATTCGAGTCATAATAAGGGTTTACATTTTTGGGAAAGCACCTTTACAGAGTCGCATATCATGTGTTTGAAAGGCCGTTGTAGAAAGCAAGTCTAAGGAACACTACAGGATAACATTATCATTAAAGAAATGATGCCTTACCTCCACATGAGAGTCTGGTGCACAGAGGGCCGTAAATGGAAGACGTGGTTGCTTACAGCCAGGTTGTGCTCTAGCCTGAAGGGCTCCAGGACCACACCGTCCCGTACTGGGAACGTCAGACGCAGCTCCTCGTTGTGGTTTGCTAACACAGATGAAGAACAGCCAGATTAGCGGAAGATTTCAAACATTCACTAGCGATTGAGTTTTCCTCCTGTTACTAACCTGGAGGTGGAGGGAGAGCGGTGATGTTTGGTTTGATGTCAGGAGGGAAGGGCGGCTTCACGTCCTGGTTTGGCGACAGGTATGGAGGGATGCTACTCCCTGGGGTCATCGGTGGGGTTGGGTTGCCTGGCACTGGGGAGTGAGGGTAGTTACCCACCGGTCTGGGCGGCTAGATTTGGAACAATGGATGAGTTAATTAAAATATTGCCTATGATATTTTTTGTTGTGGTCCTCTGTGCCTTTCTTTGTCAGTATACCCCTCATACAGGCATCTATACTGAATTGATCTCACATGTCTGGACATGCTCACACGCAGTTTTTTGTGCAGGTAAAAACATGGCAAAATGAGAATTTCCTAAATCTCACATGATCGGAAGAGGATCTGACTGCCAGTGCACTTATGATTTCAGATTTTGCTCTGATTATTAGATATTGGTCTAACCGGGTCAACAGCGACCCTAACACCACAAACGCCATAATTTTAATAAGAGCATTTTATAATTTAGTCTATTTATATTTTTTATTTTGTAGAGATAGAGGTTCCTGGCAAAGTCAAAAAGTTTTGACGCAAAAAAGCTAATTTCAGTGGTTCTTTTAAGCATTTAAAATCAAAAGCAGGTCGGTGCAGACCCTAACACAGGAGGAGGGTTAAAAAGGGTTTAGGATGGAGTAAATAAATGATCCAGTCCTATCCATTTTCCCATTTTAAATTAGATCATCTACAAACACAGGCATTAAAAATAAAACCAAAGAATACACATGTCCATAACTGCTACAACAAAATAACTCAACACATGGACCAAAAACAGCCAACAAAGAGGACAACAATGACTTACCCCATTCATATTCCCCTGGTTGTACTGATATCCACTCCCAGAGAAGTTATTGGTTTGGCCATTAAAAGATGGCTCTTGCTGTAATTTCATATAGAAAACAATCAAATTGAGATTCTCTATAAAATTATAACAAACCATAATCAAACCATGAAAGTGTTTCTTATGATGCTCTGATGATCACTGCACCTTGTAGAACTGTCCCATGGCACCACTGGGTGGTGGATACTGGCCCTGCAGCTGCTGTCCCGGCATCCTCTGGCCGGGGTAGTTGGGGGATGGCAGCGGCCTGGTGGCGTTGGGTGTGGGGTACTGCCCCTGCTGGTTAGGAAACTGGTTGTTTGGTCCGTACTGCTGCCCTCCATAATTTGGCTGAGGATGCAGGGAGAGGATAAGTTTAACTTCAAGAAAGAAAGAGAAATCTTACAGGTAAAATATGAACTCAGTGTTGGCCTCTCACCTCCCCTGGGTACGGTCTTTTCATGCCCTGCATCCCCATGCCCTGAGGCCTGGGTCCTGTGTAGCCTTGCTGGGGCATCCTCTGGCCATGGGCTCCAAAAGGTCCCATGCCTTGACCCCTGGGCTGGTTCATTCCCATTGGGGGCCCGCTCATGTTGGATGCATTCATGCCTGTACCCATGTTTCCGGGTAGGGATGGAGGGCCGCGGGGTCCTGGCTGGTTCATGAACTGGCTGTTGTACGCTTGGTTTGGTCCCATCTGGAAAGAGGAACTCATCTGGAAGACAAAAACAGGCATCCGAGGTAAGAATAAAGAGCTGAATTTAATCAATGATGAAACTAACAAACATTTTCTATCAAAAATAAACATTAGCTTGAGTTTGAGCTTCTTTATTCTCATTGGACATTAATTTAACCTTGTTTGACAATAAGCTCAAGTTCACTTCTCTCACCTCATTGGCAAATCATAATTAAGAGCACTGAAAGACTACGATTAAAGGGCCAATTCACTGAAAATAAAACCGACTCTAAATAGCTACGTCAAGTCAACAAAATTTAAAAATTTGCTGTATGGAAAAGGATGTCAACACACAGATTTGATCAGCTGTTTGCCTTGCCGTACCGGTCCGTATTGGTTCATGTCCTTGTTCTGGGTTTCCTGCAGGGCAGCTACCGTCGCTGTGGCGGTGGCGGTTGCTGTTGCGGCAGCAGCAGCGACTGCAGCGGCGGCGGCAGCAGCAGCAGGCTGGGTGAAGTCTGAAGGAGGACGGGAGTGTGGCGGGATGCCCATTCCTCCTGGTCCAGCATTGGGTCCTCCAGGGTAACTAGACAGATAGATAAATATGGTTTTAATTTTTGATTTTAGGTTAAACCAAAAAAAGAAAAAGGCTGAAGGAATGCTTATGGTCATAGTCACTGATCCTTTCCTGTTTGAGATATCTTTTTGAATGTTGACAAGGATGTACATAATTTAATTTCTTCATCAAGTCCATTCCAAAACTTTAAAACCAATAACAGAATCACTATGACGAAGAGAAAAAACAATACGAGGAAGAACTTCTCTTTTTGAGGCAGTTTGATAATTAAAAACAAACTTCTTCTAACAGCTGTTGACGTACTTGCCACCAAAGCCTCCTCCTCCGGGGTAGTTGGGTCTTCCATACATGCCCTGCTGCATGTAGCCCTGGTTGGTGTTGGCTTTGTTAGGAAACTGCTGCTGGGGACCAGGAAACTGGGGAGAGTTCATCCCCGGATTGTTACCGGACATCCCCGAGCCCATCGGGTTGCCCCCAGGATTCATGGGATTGTTGTTGTTGGCCATGGGATTCCCCAACACCTGTTTGATAAAGACATACAGACAGGTAAACACAAGAGAGAACGCTGGAGGATCTCACCCTGATCTAATATAAAATACATAGCATCAATTCAGCACCTCTGACAGGTATGGGATCTCACCTGGCTCTGTGATGTGTTGGTGACACCCCAGACTGTTGTCACCACGGATAAAGAACCTGGAGGCTGATTGGTGTTCTGTTGCCAGGGAACAGAGTCATAGGGAAAGGACCCATCTCTGTAGTAGATGTGTAAAAAAAAAAACAACCACGTATGAACAAAACTATATGATGTAAACATTTACATCACTTTATAATCATTATGACTGATAACTACTCAACTCTGAGTTTTTTCCACATTATAGTTTTTTTCCAGCTTTATATGAGCACACATGATCACTAACATTTAATAATCTTCTCTACTTTAAATTTAAGACTTATTTTTCTCACATCCAGAAAAATCTAGAAAAAGTGCAGAAATCTTTGCTTTTATGACAAACGCTAACACTTTATTTGACGCCTGTCTCTATATAGCATTATCAATATATTTATAATGCATTATAATCATGTTATAGCACTGTATAACTATAGTTATAAAATTTATAAATGATCATAATGCTTTAAAGCAATAATAATAACACATTATAAAGCATTTTATCATGACTTACAAGATCAGGTATTATAATGTGTTATAACTGTTAACAACAGTTGCATTGTATTATCTATGTGGGCATTGTCGGTGAGTTGGTATCAGTTATAACATATTATAATACCTGACCTTATAAGTCATGATAAAATGCTTTATAATGTGTTATGATAATTGCGATCAAGCATTATGATCATTTATGAATGTTTATAACTATAGTTCAACAGTGCTATAACATGATTATAACGCATTATAAATATATTTATAATGCGTTATAGAGATAGGCGACAAATAAAGTGTTACCTAACAAACTAATTATGCTAATAGCCCAAATATAGAGAAAAGGGAAGGATTCAGATTTCAAAATAAAAGCCTCTAACTAGCATCATGTTGTAATTCTTAACTCCATGGTGGTGAGATACTGTTCACTTCATATTGACTGGGCTACAAGCAGCTCGTCTGACAGTTTGTCTGGCCGCTGATCCATAAGGAACTCTCGGCTTCATGCAGAGACGAAGGGCTTTCCCCGAGGATCCTGTCGGTCTGTTCACACAAACACACTTCACACACAATCCAAAAAGCGCAGCAGTGCGAACACTGACCCATGCGAGAGGCCGGGCTTCATAGAGCTCATAGGGGGCTGCATGGGCACTTTTCCTGGAGGCTCGTTCTGCCTGTTCTTCTGGTGACGGAGCAGAAGGAGGCGACCCAGCTCCTCGCACCACGACGACAGAAGAGCTGGAGAGAGAGCAGAAGAGGAGAGTGTGAGTGCTGATGGACATTTGTGAGGAGGTTAACAAGTCTGTACCACAAGCACTGACAAAACCTGCTGAGCTAAGTCAGTGGGAAAAACAAGAGGTGATCACTTAAGAATGGAGGCACATTTGAACATTAAAGCAGTGATGGAGTGTTAGATTAGATTTTAATTTTTAAAATAAATTGAAACATTTCACGTAAATACTGGGCGTGTCTTTAAAATACTAAACTACTCTGGTCAGTTTTATTAAAAAGATCTTATCAAGGGTCATTTTATCTTTTAGCTTCCAGACGAGAACAACTTTTATCCTGTTTAACTAATAATTTAATTCACTGGTCTAAGTTTATTAAAAAATAAGGCATCACTGAGGCTAATCATTAATTATTAAGTAAAAGTTTGATTGGCAGATGCATTTTGCACCATTGACTGAAAAATAGTGACATTTCTGAAAGTTTGAGGGTCTTTATTCCGATTTTTGCAGAAAAGGATTCACAATTTTTTAAGTTTTAGCAAACACAGTAACATCTGCTCACTTTTAAAACATAATTCAACCCTTCTAGTGACTTTTTCAGGCACTGTAGCATCTCGCTCATATTCGAAATGTTGATTTAGTTTGTGAGAAATAAAAGTTGAAGAAGCTTTTGGGTGAAATGAAATTTTTTCAGACATACAGTAAAACATTGATAAATCTTTTCAGTGTACTTGCTTCAGCACTTTTAGGAGTTTTGTGATTGATATTTTCATAACGGCACACAACGTCTTCCTTAAGATTGATGTTCATAATTGCTTTGATTACAATGTTATACTGTCTTTCTAAATTGCATGGCTATTTTTCTTTGTATATCTCCTGTTAGGCTGAAATCAGTGATTTCTGAGTCACATTCAACACTTTGGACATCACTATTCAAGTTTCGACACTTTGCAATGAAACATGAATGAAACATTTACATTGAGATCCACTTTTAGGCTTTAAGAGACAATGTGTCTTCATGTTAGGGTGTTCTTTCAAGTTAAGAGTTTCTCTGCACCTTTTGGGCATTTGTATTAGGGCTGGGACGATATGCTTTTCTCCCGATTCAATTCTTCATTTGCATTTTTAACACCAGTGAAACAGTTGAATGATTATAATTGTCTACTGACTATTCCGGAACCAAATTTCCCCCAAAAATAGACATTGCATGTGAGTCAGTTTTTAAGATTTACTCTTAGATTTGAAAAAAAAATATCTGTTTTTAAACATAAAATTGATTAAAATTGTAAAACAAAAAAATCACGATACTTATGTGAATCGATTTTTCCCCCACCCCTAATTTGTATGCTGCCATAATCCACCATTTGTCCTCAACTGTATTCTAAAGAGACTTCAGTTTTGCCTGACAAACCCTTGAATGTAAGATCCTTACACAATACCAAGAGTCTTAAACATATAGTATGTTAGTAGCCAAGTTAATTATCTATTTTTGTCCTGTGAGAAGAAGCTTGATTTAATCAATTTAGAATAGAAAGAAACTTCTATAAACACTTTAATTTCCAAAAACAAACAAATAATGAGTGACAAGGGTTTTTAAGAGACTTCACAGGTATTTCTCACTCAATTCAGTAACAAACAGAAGAGACGCCTCTGCTCTGCAATCAGCCTCAACCTCAGCATATCACTGCAGCTCTTGGCCACTAGGGTTCACTCTGGGCCTGCACATCAAACTCCAGCCCTTCCCTTATCTTCGTCTACCTACCTTCCTTCCTTCCTACCTACCTTCCTACCTACCGCCCGGTTAGGTTGCTACCACAGAGCATGTTTGATCGAATCATATGCTTTTCATCTGCAGTGCATGTTTTTGTACTGTGCCAACTACAAAAGACTCACTTTCCCTTTTTCTCTCCCTCTCACTCCCTCCTGCCTCCTCACCTCTCTCTCTCTCTTTCTCTCTCTCTCTCTCTCTCTGCGGCGTCAGAGGAGAAAGGGAATGTGGATTCAATCAAAGAGCAGGGCAGCCACCTCCTCTTATGATTCACAGCACTTCTAGGGCTGAGTGACTGAGGAGAGAGGAGGGAGGGAGGGAGGGAGGGAGGAAGGGGGTGAAACAGAGTGCTTGGTGATTTCACCTGCGGTTTTGCGCAAAAAGCCACGTCAATATGACAGCAGACAGTGGAGGCAGATCCACCCCGCTGCCACATGCAAGGACGGGCCGCCACGGCATATATTACACAGAGAGAAAGAGAGGGAGAAAGAGAGCGATAAAAAGCGGCTAAGTGAGTCAGTGAGAGAGAAGACATCAGGCTAATGGGGCTGATGGGAGTGAGGAACAAACAAAAGCTTCTGACTCCCATCACAAACACGGCAACCGAGAGATTTGACCACACATGACTGCTTGCAACCAGACACACGAGTAAGAAAGGTCGCCATTCAAAGCCTGCGTTTACACAATCGCACAGAAGTAAAATAAAGACACAAGACGGGCTCTGAGCGGAGGGTACAACACGGATTTTAGCATCTCCACACAAACACACACACCTCTCTCCCTCTAAGAGCATCTCAAACCCAAAAGGCACCTCCTCTCCTCTGCTTTCATTTGAACACCGAGCACACCAGCCTCGCTCTGTGTAAAGATGAGGGCTGGAATACAAAAGACATGTACAGATGGTGCCAGCAGTCTCCCTCCTGCCTCACCCTCCCCTCCCCTCCCCTCCCCGCTCCTTTAAAAGCAGCACGGGGCTCAGGCGCAGAGGCAGCTGGGTTTTCCTCTTTCCAACCCCACTAATGCTACCTCTCTCTCTCTCTCTCTCCCCCCACTCCTCCTGTTTTTGGCAAGGTAGGTGCCAGGAGACAGGCTGTGCTGCTCCTCCAGAGGATTGATCTGACTTTGCTGCGCTTTGGTTGACAAAAAAGGCCTCTCAGGTGCTTTATTTCCCTCTAAAATATCACACCTTCAGGTAGATGTCAAGATTTAAAGCTTAGTTTTCATCAAATACAACCCTTTTTAAAGCGCGGCTAATAGGTTTACGAGTCTCACATCCATGTTAGAACCTCCTGCAGTGCGTTTAAGCAGCACCCTCCCTCCACTCAGACCCCCTTCTGATGGAGTGAGTTTTCAATTCAAGGGCCTGGCAACAAGCCAGCATGTTACAGCTCAATTAGGTCCCATTATTCTCCTCCAACAAGGGGTAACTCGCACTTCTAGTATGTTGATAAACATGTCTCCGCAATTTATCCCCTCGCCGTGCCGTAGTGTGGCTGTCTGGCGGTAAAGGGACTGTATCCTCGTTTCACACAGAGGCCGCCATCAACAGCCGCAGGACAAAAACAGCAGTGAGGCCGAGCGAAGAAACGACAATACATATCTGAGAGAAAAAAGAAAAGAAAAAAAGAAGGGAGGGACGGACCCACTTTGCCACTTAGAAAGGAATTATCCAACCCCACCATTAAATAAAGAGCTTATCACTGCACAAAATTGCCACCTCCACTGAGCGCCATCCCACTTAAAGGAGACACACACTGTCATTGACTCAGAAGATAAACTTCAGGTTCCAGAGAGCGGGAGGAGAAACCGCCAACATGTTACTTCTAAAAGCCACTTCAGGAGTTCATAAAATACCAGTGCTAGATATATACTATACCGATACAGTTATTGGTGTAGACTTTACAAAACTTGTACCTGTCCCAGTACATTAAAGTATACTAGATATTGGAATACCAATACTGCTGTTGGAATAGCTTAGGATACTATAAACCGGTATGTGTGTGAATAAGGATACTAACATTGAATTTAGAGTACCGATACTGGAATTATCACTGATACAAATGATGATCATGGTATCAGGATATCACAGCGAGTGGTAAAGTACTGTTGATAATGCTACAGCTTGTACAACTAGCCTTTCAGACCATGTAAAAATACCAATTTGATGCTGAAAAAGGATATCAAAATACCAGTAAAGCAATTAGTACCAATACAGATATCTGCATTGATATTGGTATACTGAAGTATGTATCTGTAGTAATGGATTTGATTGTACTGGAAACTAAAATACCGATACTGCCAAAGATACTGTTATTAGTCGCCAAATGACAAAACTGGTGTATGTGCTGATACAGATAGTGGATATGACTTGAGAATACCAATAATGGTATTGGCGCTGATACAGATATCTGTCTTGGTTATGAAATACCAAAGTGGGCATTACTGTTGTTCTTTAATACTGCCCAAAACGAGATATCATGTACAAGTCAATGCATACCTTGTCATAAAATATGTGCCCTAAAAAATGAACTTCAAATCATGAATTAAATCAATAAACAAAGACTGAATCAGAGTATATCAATCAAAGTTATAGATATGCTTTAAATCAAAAAAAGTACTTAGTATTAGTTCTTTTAAATCGGGGTATCAGAAGAGGTATTAAAGGAAAAATAGTTCTGGAAAATGTCTTTCTCTTCCTCCTCCTCCATACCAGCATCTTTCAGGACAGTGCAGATGATGAACACAAAAAGGATTACTGTTTTTCCTCTCCTCTCCTCCCACAGACGGCCTTTCAATAGACTCATCTGTTTCCCTTCCTGAGACGAGCCAAAAAACTGGCGATAACTGTCTTAGTGGTAGCTCTTCAAAATCACGGCTGTTCTGAAGTGAATTCATCTGCCGTTTTATGCTACAGAGCATCTTTTTTTTTTTTGCTCTGTTTAAATTTTGTCTCCCTGGCGGCTAGGGGTCTCTGTCTTCCATAAGGAAAGGAGCTGATCCTGTTTGCCTTGTAGAGGGTCCCTGGGGCCCTTGGCTGAGTCTGAGCCGTATTGATATTCTGGTGCTCAGCTGTGCAGCCTGATGGTCAGCCATGGCGAAGGGCGGTAAACGCATCTGCTGGGACGAGATGGGTGGTTCAGTAGTTGGGTCTGCAGCTTCCAGCTTTACTCTCTGTCATAAAGCCCGAGGGAGGCATGACAAATGACAAGGACCGCATCCCTGACAGTTGTTCAATGCTCCTTCCAATGGTAATGCTTCCCCCAGCCCACCTTTTGCCGCACATACAGACAGGAGGCGGGGAGATAAACTGTGCTGATTAAATGCCTTCATTCTGTCTCCTTTTGCACAAACAAAAACAAACTGTCTCCAGATTTAAGCGCCAGCTCAAAAATTATTTTCTCTCTTACATGATATGCCATTTTGGTTGCTGTCTCGATCCAAGTCAGTGGAAGTCAATTATGCCATTTTTTGGAGGCATTTATGCTCAAGTTTGAGAGAATAAATACAGTTAATTTGTGGAGTTTTGGGTGTTACATAGGGCTGGGCGATATGGCCTCAAATCAACATCACAATATGTTGATCAGTTCACCTCGATAACGATAAATGGACGATAACTACTCCACAAACTGCTCACCCCCTCCCACATTAACTTCGTCTACTCCAGCCACTACAACTTTTGAGCCGTCCTCCATCTCCTCACCTGTCTTTCCCTCTTTGTTACGGACTGGATGGGGTGGAGTCACGTCTCTGACGTAGGACAGCGTCTTAAAGGTACATGAGATCATAGCCTGAGATCACACATCCAAAACCAGCTTTTATTTATTTTTTTGACACTGAATATATTGACATGAGCAAAACATTGGTTATTGTAAATTTCGGTATCGGTAAATTCCCGGTTTATCGCCCAGCCCTAGTGTTATACGTATGTCGATAAGAGCAGTGCTGTAACACTGGGGATGGGGTTGATATGTTTCAATATACACTGTGGTATTACAAACTAGGCCATACACTCCATTACTCCATTCATGATTCTGTATGTTCCATATACAAGTACTCTTTTACTCACTATTGTACTTATGTATGTGAGTGGTGCCCATAGATTCATGAAAAATGGAGAAAAAATGTTAGAAAGTGCATTTTTTCACTGACAAGAGGAACCAGATAGAGCCTGCTTGTATCGATGGGGGAGAGGCTGATTTTGTCTGATAACTCAGAAATCTGTTTCTCATATCAAACTGATGTAGACAATCTGCAGAGGGTTTATAATGGATAAGCACATTTAAGCAGAATAACATTACACACATTCAGAGTGTGTTAAAATGAGATATTCTGTCTGATCATATAAACTCACTTGACAATCAACATCGGCGACTGGAGTGACAGAAATAGGCTGAAGGCTAGTTAGCAGTCTAGTAGATAAGGTTGTATACTGTCGTACAATCTAGGGGTGTCTTGATACAACTTTTTTACTTCTGGTAAGATATAGATATTGTAGCCTTCAGTATCAGCCGATACCGATATTTATCCGATATTGTCTTTTTTGGACTTTAACGAACAATACTGCCACACAGCCAACATCACTCCTTCTCCTTGCTACTTTGTTAGTACCTTAGAACACACTGCTGTTGTGATTATGTGGGCTCTGCATGCTAGATACGGGTGCTGCTAGCTAGAGGTGCTGGAGTGGAGTCTGGAATGGACTGCTTGTATCGGAGTGCAGATATCAGAGATTTTAGTCCGATATCTGTTTTTTGGCTGATATCGGATCAATATCCAATATCAACATAATATTGGGACAGCCCTAGTACTGTCTCTCCAAAATGTTCAACTTTCTGGATGAACATAAGGCAGATTGTTCTCTACATAGATTTGTAAAACACTTGCGAGATTTCATATCTGTCACCAAACAGATCCATAGGTATTACACCTGCAAGACAACAGTTTCCCTCTATGGGAGTTGTTGCTTCTATACTTGTTTCTTTCTCTTCTTCCTTCCATCCTCTCGAAGTGGAAATCATTCTCTCTTCTGTCTGGAAAGCTAACTTACTTATCCGAATTGATCTTAAATGATCTCTTCACAGTATAAACCCCCAGTTCTTTCAGTCACTGGTTAACACTTTTCTCATTTGCTGCCTCAGTTGGCTCAAATACTTTTTTAGTATTCTGGAAAGTGTCTATTTACGTGCAGAATTGTGTATTGACAAGATAACCGCTGCCTGTTGAGCTCATGTTACACAGTTTACTCCTTGTCAACACATGCCAAATATGTCATATGTTTTGTTGCTCTGACTGAATGTTAAACGCATGAAGTTCATACTTCCAATCAGATTTTTTAAAGCTTCTACCCTGTCCAAACATCCGTCTGCGGGGTGAAGCCCAGATGGACGTGAAATACTCCTCATGTCATACAAGTTTACTCTGTTAGTTAAAAACTGTTTGGATTTTACACACACTATGACACCTTTCCATATAGTGATACTTACAATTTAATCAACATTTTCTCACAGCTTTAGTACACACTGTCTCAGCAGATGCTATGCTACATATAAAACAGATGGCTGAAGTTTTCACGGTAAATTTTCCAGTATTACCTTGAGTCAACTGTAAATCAATCTTACCTAAGGAATTGCCTGCGAAAAGGTGTTGACAAGATGCATGTCAAGTTTTCAAAGAAAGAAAAACATCGTCTTAAGGAAGATTTATCGAGCATTAAATCAGTTTTCTTTTTTCAATTACCTCCACTGCAAACGGTTAAAAAAGGAAATACAATATGTGAGTTATTGAAACTACGTGAACTGTCCCTTTAGAATGATTGTACAGCAAATGCACCCTATGATGAGTAGTGACTAGTTAGTCCTATCTAAAAGGTCATTCCTTCTTTTCGTCGTCTTTCTCTCCCTCCTTCTTTCTCTGCGATAACTGGCAACAAGACTATAGTGGAGGCAGCAGGTAAGGCAGATGCCAAGAGCTCTTATGATCCTCCTCCCACTCTCTCTCACCCTCCCCTCCCTCCTTCTCCGCTGTGTATCTAATAGACACCTGCTCCCTTGTCAACCCTGGACTCCCACCTGGCTCGGCCCGCATGTCTTGGCCACTATAATGCCTGAAAAAACATACAAAAACACATCCAGTCATCACATTATCAGCAATACATCCTCACTTATACCCACACTTTCCGTAAAAACAAAGTCCAATCTCCTGCTATAAACCTGTCTGAAAAGATTAACAACCCCCAATAGGCTTGTTTGAAGACATTTAGCCAGAAGGGCTGAAAGGAGAACAAAGACCATGAGCAAACTAACAAGAGCAGCTCTAGTGGGCTGTGCTCCTTAGTTTCTGAGGGGGCTCTATTCAGATCCCCCCTCTCCTCTCTGTCTCCCTCCCTCCCTCTCTTTGGCCTAAGAAGTTTGAATGGACACAAGACTCCTGCAGGCCAAAGTCAATTAAAATAAGAGGGAGCTGCAGTATCCCTGGTTACTGAAAGCACCCAAGAGGCCATGCAAAACAGCCATGTTAAGTTTCAGCCAAAGAATTCCCCTTGTGAGCTTCGCAGAGCAGTGAAAATCTGCGATTTACCTAAAAATTGTATGGAAAGAGTGTAAGAATATTTGGATCTATGACAGCAAGCGGTGAACCAACCTGTGCGAAATGCCAGCTGGATTGTAAACGATCTCCCTCTCCGTGTCGCCTGGCAGCAATCAAACCTCTCTTTGTCTGCGCGCAGATGCCGCAAATTGTTCTCGAATGCCAATTTGATAATGAAGCTGAAGCGACTCGTCAATCATTCATTCTTTTAAAAGGAACGTGAATAACAGGTTACGGACCTGTCAAGTCGTGACAGAGCAGAAATGTGCTTCCTGTTCATCAACACATGGTACGGATCGCTTTCCTCTCCTCTCCTCTCGCCGGTCGCCCTTTTAATTTTTCCACACTTCGGCGCAAGAGCAAGTGCTAACTGGCTGTTGTAAAAGTAAGTCTGTAAACCGACTTCATTAACTGGAGACTTTAAAGTTGTGTGAGTCATTTGGTGACATATATCAGGGTGAGCAATGTTTTCAGAAAGCTGATGAAGTGGGAAGGATGTGTGAAGTGGGAATATAAGAGTGTCATGACTGCCATGTGGCGTCAAAGTGTGACATATTTCCCCCGAGGTTCCCTATACAAACTCGGCTTAGAAGTTATTTCATTAAGAGAAAATGAGCTGAGGCACGAAATCAAAAGATGAGGATGAGAGTGAGACGAAACAGAAAGAAGATGGTTAATATTTAGGGTTCGAATCGCTAAAAGTTATAAAATACTCCGTCTATATAGGGCAGACAGCAGCCTCCTGTCTGCACCTCATCTCTGTCTGCTGCTTTTTTCCCCCTCTTGCATTATTTCTTCTCTCTGGAAAGTCAGGGATGTTGGAGTCTTGTCAATGAGTACTTAGGCCCATTGCCTCATGGGGAGCCAGACTTGCTGGCTAGGTTTTATGGCCCATTTCAGAGCTGTCCCAGCTTAAATACAGCCTCCTGCTGGCCACATGGCCGCAATGTCGTGCCATGTCCATCCGGCGAAGAGGAGAGCAGGCAAGGGGGGAGGGAGCGGGGGTGCCTGGCTTTGTGCCAAAAAGGTTTTACTGAGGCCACAGGCATATGTGGCCATGTGGAGGCAAGCGGCACAAGGAGGAAAAGAAAAGGCTGTGGATTTGGTGTTTCTGGGTTACTGCTCTGACATCCTGCGTCCTTTGTTGCTAAATCAAAAACCGCTAAAGACTGCAGAGCTGACAGATTGAAAAGCTGTCTCTTATACCTCCTACATCCCCTCGTCTCCTGTTGTAATAACTCCAGGATTAAACTACCCAGAAAACCACATTATGGTGCAAATTTCTATCTATAAACATAAAAAAAATGCAGGATTTCAAAACAACAACAGACATGTCAAAGACAAGACATTTATCTATGTTCACAGATCCCTGAATGAGATTACACACTACAGGATGTCTTTAATGAAATCCTCTTGGCACCGACTAAATACCCACGAAAACCAGATACAATACACGCCGCAACCGCAAGATAAACCATGCAGATCTCATGTCTCTGACTGACATTTCTCAGTTATGGTTACTCAGGAACCGAACCCTCACCGACGCAAGCCGAAAAGATAATCTTTCCTGCTACATGCAACAAATCTCTTCATTAAAACAGGGCAGTCACAGTCGCTGTAAATCACAGAGGTGGACATCTATAGCATTTCAACCCCCTGGTGAGAATTAATTCCTCCTGCATTAAAGCCAAACATCTCCCCCAACCAAAATTAGAATCTACAATCTGTTACTGTATGGCGCTCCCTGATACATTAAGCTGATTGGGCGCAAAACTCCTCCCAAACCTACATCTCTGTGTGTCAAAAAATCTGGTAACAGCATGTCGAAGAGGGACGTCAAGATTGGGTGCTTTTCTGAAACAATAACAGCTGTGGTTCTGCATGTTTTACCCCATGAAGTAGAGATCTGTACTGTAAAATATTCAACACTTGAGTCATTCATTAAAGTATTGTTTTACAAAACAAACTTGCAGACTCAATAACTTGCCCAAGTCAGTCACAGTGTGCTTATTTTTGCAAAAATGGACTTCAATTTGGGTTGAAAATGCAGCTTCAACTGCAAACTAAAGTCAGCGTTAAAAAATGCTGAGCATCAAATGTTGTCCTGAATCTTTATTTCCTTGTCTTTATCTATACTTTGACTTGGAAATGCTTAAAAATTGAAGCCACTTGAGTTTTTCATGAGCAAAACTTTAAATAACTTATTCGTTTGCTGTTCCCGTCAAACTTATTTAAAGATTTTGCCTTCAGAGCAACATTACAGCAAAGATTAAATGCATGTATGATCTGTTCTTGGATAGTCAAAACTTGCAAAAACCTCAACATTGGAGGTGTCGTTTATGGCCAAAGCTAAATCTGCCCGCTTGTTTATGTGAGCTTTCACCTGACTAACTTAGGTTTGTCAAACTCTGCCATCTGCACACCGAGCCAGGCTGCACCAGCCCAGAGTGTGTTTTCAACGCTGCGCTCCTGCAGCCAGATTATCAGATGAGCTGACCTGCAAAGAAGCAGCTTACAGGAGCCAGACAGTTTCCCTGAGCAACAGGCTGCTATTAACCACGGCCCAGCCTTAAGCCCTTGTCTACAATGATACTAATTAGCCATGGAGCAGATGTGCCCACACTCGTGCCCACCTCAGGGTGCTGGGCAGGGCCGGTGGTGTCACAGTGGCATACGCTGGTGGCTGATTCACCTGTGACCTTTTCACAGTGGGCCTGGGGTCAGAGCCTCTCTTTAGAGGCACAGTAAGAACAGACTCTGGAGGGGCCAGGGTCAGGTCCCGGCACCCCTCAGGGCTCATTAAAAGAGATCCATATGTGCAACAGGGCAGGGTTTGGATAAAGGCTGTCTCAGGATGGAGGACACTTGGGTAAGAAGAGTCGAGTATTTATGATCTCAGGTAGAATTAAAAGGGCAAAAACATGCGGAAAGCATGCAGAAAAAAACTGATTTAAAAACCAAATCGAGTCTATTTTATTTATTTTGTATTTGAGTTTAGATTCCTGCATTTGTACGGACGTTTTAATAATTTCTCCAAGCTGTTTCACACAATATTTTGAACAAATCAACTACTTTTTTAACCCAAAACAAGAAGATGGTTCATGTAAATGACATAAAATGAAGCACAAACTTAGATAATCAGTGGCCCCAGTTACAAGTTTGAACTGTGATGCAGGCAAAATGATAAAACAGCATGTGTGTGACATGCTCCCAACAATAAAACTTAAACAGACAACACAACAGCAGCCAGTAAGCTTATCTATATGACCGACAAACAGAAGCACATCTGCAGTCAATCCATGTTCAGTCCGATGTGAAGAAGACAGAATGTAAGTGCTGAGATGAGGATGGTCGGTTTGATTCAGCCAATGTGTATGAGTTTCCTGAGCAGTAATGTAAAACACAGCAAAGTACCTGAGTCAGACTGACACCTCCTGCAGCAGTTGGTTTCTGTAGGGTTCAAATTTCACATTTTACTGGAATTTTATACAATCCTTGGATGAATTATTACACACATTTGATTAAGATTTTATCATTTTGATGAGTAAATGGCTGAGAAATCAGATAACATTCACAAACTGTCTCAAAACCTCAGACAAGGAGAGAAGACTACCTTAGTCTAGGATGAAGGTTGACGATTACATTGAGTATGAGCATTTGACAGACTTTCCCATGTGCTTTATGTTCGGGGTAACGCTATGATCTCATAGTAAAGTATCTTAAAATTTTCTTTCAATATGTCAAACCACAGTACTACAATTTGCAGCCTCTTGAAATACTCTAAATCTACATCCATGAATTTGCCAATATTTACGTAAAAGCACTGATGCTTTTAAAATGGATTTTTAACATGAAAACCTCTTTCAAGACATCTTAACTTTCAAACTGCAACACAGCACCCAGAGAAACACAAGGGAAGACCCCCAATAACACAATATTCCTTCTACAAATGCTAATCCCGTGACTACTGTAGCCTATCTGCAATCCAAAGAGCTTACTCCACTTTGGTACTGTGACTTTCTGAATGCATAGCTCTTATCTAAACTGTCAAAAATCAAGTTTTATTATGATTCTATGATTGACGTTGATATAACAGATTTCTCAGATATGCAAAGAGAAATAAAGGTCTGCTGAAGGCATCTAAATCTGTTGTTAACCTATATATCTTGATAATGTTATATTACTTAGAGCACTTCTTTGGTATAATTCATAACTTTAATTCATATCCCTAAATGTTCACACTTTATCATCTAGTTTGTATGTTATTATTAGTTGAAGAGGATGTTAAAAAATGATTTTTCACTTCTTTTAGACAACAAAACACAGTTAAAAGATCATTCTATAACAAATCTGGCTCCACATGCTAACATCGAATCCTACGCCTGCTTCACACCTGTTTTATTAATTGAGATCAAATCAAAGCATCCTCTTTGAAGTCTGTTTTGGTTTATTCTTAAAAGGCTAAACAGAGGGGATAACGAGTGGGCGGGGCTTGTTTTATCCCTTTGATGTGAGAGGGAAATTAAACGACTGATACACCTGGCAGTTCACTGCAATTCGAAAACTTTCATCGTCACAACCTTACACTTGGTCTCTTTTTGAGACAAATCGGTAGGTAAAAAAAAAACTAAATTCTGACGGGTTAAAAAAGTTTTCATCTGGTTTCTTCACTTTTTGGAGTCCATCAACCAAAAAAAACAACTCATTCTTAATAATCTACATCTTTGTTTTGCTGGCTGTGTACTACTCATCACGCCATCTTTAGACCACCTTAAATAACAGCAGCTAGCGTAACCAATCAAATTACATTTCCGACACAGCTGTGAAATAAAGGTTATCAAACTCCGACACTGGGTTTGATTGGATGACCACCATGTAACAAGCAGTTTCTATAATAACACATGGTTTAGATGTTCTTACGACATAAAGCCACATAAGAGCAGCCTAAAAAATAAGCACACCTTATCAAAAGCCGAGTGGTGTCTCTCCGCTGCTGTAATTTTGATTTGGGACACAAACTTCAAGAAAAAGGTCAGTGCAGTTTCACAACTAAGTGAGAAAAAAAAAGTCTCTCCAGCACCGAGAACAAGGGATTCATTGAAGCCGACAAACAACAGTAATGAATAGTTGGAAGAGTGTAGCGCAGCGTCTCTTTACCAACAGCGCCTGTTGCAAAACCTCTCTTGTCTTAGCATGTTGGGAGCCGTTCCACAGACACATTTTAGGAAAATCTGAACAATTGCCCAGACCAGGACTTTACTGTAGAGCTCAACAAAGCCCCTCTTAGTGCGGAGAAAGAAAAGAGAAACAATACAGAAATCAGCGTGCCAAGATAATCCTCACATGAGGTCAATGTGAGAAAGAAAATGACTGCAGATGACTTTCTCTCTTTAGTAGACGGTAATCACGGTAAATTATTCCACCTGAAATTTATTATTTTCTTAAACTGATACTTAAGTTTTTGTTTCATCAGCAAAGTGGGACCAACAACAAATGAAATCCTGAGCCTGATGATGGTCTTAAACTATTTAAACCTCATTATTATGTACCGAACATGAGCATGTAAATGAAAAACACAGTCTGGTAAGTTGGCTTAATGCAACTGTTGGCTGAATTTGCTTAAAATCTTTAATATTAGCCTTTCAGTATATTGTCTTCCTGTCACTAGAAGTTTATAGACTGCAGAAAGCTGTTTGTTGAGATAAAATTAAGGTTGAATGCTGGCTGGCTTTTTTCGTGTTGTTTTATAGAGCTGGTTTTACAACAGTCTTTCACAGTTTAAACTGGCCTCGCCTAAATGTGTCAGGAGACATTAACAAAGAACATGAGCTTTTATACAAATAAGACTGTTAATAGAGTTGGCAGATAATCGCTGTTATTATTAAATTTATTAGTCACGGTAATAACAAGTGGCAACTTCCAGTCTTGAGAAATAAAGCTGTAAAAAACTGCATTTCTTCGAGGAATTGTCTGAGGCTGTGAAAATCAAAGTTAAAAAAAAGCTCATTTTTAAAACCAAAATAAACACGTTTCAAAAATGGTTTTGGTCCGAAAGGTTCAAGGCTCTCACGTCACCCACAGTAGGGGTGAGTGAATATTTTTGTAATGCGTTGGTTGGGAAGATATTAAGGTTACACGATTGGCAAATCATATCTAACTTAGGTGGGAATAGTGTAGCTTTTATGAGGAGGCTAAAAAGTCGACCTCTGGTACTCCACTGACCAGAAGGCTAAGACAGTAAAACCAATGATATACCCACAAATGAGTGGCTATACAGACAATAAGTCTTTTTATTATACAGTCTATGGGTATATGAGTACAAAAAGGGATTAACAGGATTAACTGTAGTATGATTAGTTAAGGATGTGTATTTTTTTTCTTCATAAATACTTCAAAAACCTCTCGTCGAGTTCTCAAAAGTGCAGAAACTGAGTCTTCATAATACGCTGGACTATCTGTGGACGTTTTGAATAAATCCACTGCAGCTTTTCTGAACTAAACTTTATGATAAACTTAAATTGGCGTCATTGTGCTATTAATTGTTTTGATTTTGAACCTGTTATACCAATTTAAAATCTTCAATCCATCACACCTAAATGGACCATAACAAACACTGCATCAAGAGTCTTTATTAGCAAATTACTATCAAATAACTGTGCATGTCTTTGCAGGAGGACCCGGTTAGTCGTGCTATGTGGCACCAAAGGGACTCAAAATCATAAACTTCCAAGACTCTCGCAGAAAACGCCGCCACAAGTAGGTCAACTCAACTCGGAGAGAGATAATCAAGGCCATTTTGACCCCTTCTGTGTGAGCTGTAAGTGGGTCAAATGCGGCAGTCAGCTGTTGCAACTCTATCACGAGGGGCGCTGCGAGGCACTCGTCATACTGTCAGACCCCATTCCGTTAGTTTAAGTCGAGGCAGGGTGCCCGCCTGCACCCACCAATGAAGGAAATAGCCCTCTTTGGGCCCCTCCCCTCCCCAGGGGTGAAATAACATGAAGTTCCTCTAAGCAGCAGTAGCAGCAGATCCACCTTCACTGCTGACACTGAATACACCCCCTGCAAACACTTCCCTCTTTAACTGCTGTATCCTCCTTTTGACAGCTCGCAGCAGCAAAGACTCACCCCTCACCCCCTGACTCCCCCCCTCTCTATGTCTAAAATGCCACCCGCATTTCAACTAGACTAACTACAGCAATGTCCCTGCTTATTTCTCACTCTTCACTGCACAAAAAGAGGGGGGACTCGTGTCTTGAAACACTTCTGAGCACAAATGTGCAACAGCAGAACAAAGGCGATACAGGGCAGCCTTAATCTCTGCACTACTGAAGCCAGCAGCTATTTTAAAGCTCTCTCCCTCTCTCTTTCTCTCTCTCTCTATCCCTCCCACCTTCCTCTCCTCTCTCTAACATTCTTCCTCTCTCCACTCCTCCCCTCCCCTTCCCTCCTCTTCCCCCTTGGTGTCTGAGGGCAGCAGCTCCTCTCTGTTTTCCTCTCCTCTCTCCCTGCGTGTCCAGTGACTGACTGCACAATACACATCAATTATTCATGGCTGCTCTCTCCGTTTCGCAGGCAAAAACCAATCACAGATGGAGTCATTGCTAATGGGCTCCTGCTGTACTTTGCCACCAGCTTCTTTGCACTCAAGCAACAAATACCCCAGAGACAATAAGAGGGGAAACAGGAGGGGTAAGAAAGAAGAGAAACTTCACACAGAAAGAGGAGTAGAGGACAAACGTTTTGTGGCCAGAGAAGAAGGAAGGTAAGTATCGGCGGGAATAATCCAGCAAAATTTGGAGCCGGCTTCTGCAGCATAAAGGGTTAAAGACCGGGAGGGAGAGGAGGGGAGAGTGGTGGGAGACAGGGGTGAGAGGAGGGGGGAGGACAGGTAGAGAGGAAGAGGGAGAGGGAGAGAGAGAGAGAGAGAGAGAAATGCTTATCTCCTCACCTCGGATGTATGCAGCAGTTATTGATGTATCTTCTTTTTCTGTCTAGTGATCCATTGCTTGCTCTCCCAATACACACATCACACAGAAGCAGCCACAGCCACTTCGCCAGAAGGGAGACAGGGAGGGGAGGAGGGAGGGAGGGAGGGAGGGGGAGGGAAGAGAGGAGAAGAGAGGAAAAAAAAAATGCAGGCAGCTCACATTTCAAACCTGCAAAAGGGGGGTGGTGCCTAATGTGCTAGACAGCCTGTATCTTGGCCTGGGTCCAGAGCAACGAGTAAAAAAAAGAAAAAAAAAAGAGGCTCAATCAGTTGATTTAAAGCAACATTTGTTACATGGAAGATGATCCGCAAGTCGCGCCAAAAAAGTGGGCGACGGAGACTGCTCAGGTGGGTGCAATAAGCAGTGATTTCAACGCCCAAATCTTGTTTTTGCATACAGTCAACTTAATCCATCAAACTAGTCATTGTAATTAAGGCGCATGGAAGAGCTGCAGGAGGAGGAGGAGGAGGAGAAGGAGGAGGAGGAGGAGGCTGGGCATTGTGGCTTCCAAATGCACACTAGATTGGGATAAGAGAGGGAGGGGCCAATTAGAGCACATTTGTCTTTCAGCACACATGAGCCCGGGTAAGCTTTTGGATAAATAATTACACCCTTATAAAACATGTAAACTGTGGCCACCTGAGGCGGAGAGTCTAATGTCATCTGCAAACAAAAACACTCACGCTCGCCACGAACAGGCTGGGCTAATTCAGCCGTCAAATTAGTGCAACTGATCTGTTGCAAGAACACAAAAATAAGCATTTAATTAGCAAAATAAGTCACAATATGTTTAGTTATTTGAGCTTTGGTGAGAGGTACTGAACTGGTTGCAAAATAAAGTGAAATTTTACTGATGCCTTTTTTTATAATCGAATGTCTGCATCAAAAACTTGGAGAATTATGTTGGAGGTGTATTGGTTTTTTTTCCAGTGTTCCTCTTTTAATTTCAGAGAAAGTCACGCCTCAGGATATTTTTTTATTTGGATCAAAACAAAGCATTTTTTCTCCTCACACAATAGGTCCATTTTCAACATTCACACATTCACCATTTACCGCTACACAAAGGATGTTATACTTCATCAACAATGCCATCACATATCAACCATCTTCGTTCAAACATCTGATTTTGTCCTTCCATGAGGAGTGGCTGAAGATGAAACCAATCACCTCCCACTGCCGTACACACACACACACACACACACACACAATAAGTGTGACAGCCACACAGAGGGGAGGAAGGACAAACAAGCTCTTATCTCCTGTCTCTCCTGTCTGTGTTTGCTCTCCTGGTATTTACTATCAGCTCAGAGCCCGGCAGGTGACTTACAGCCCTACACTCCTGCCTGCAAGTTAACACATCAATCATGACTAGGTGAAGACTGCACATACAGTGATTATACAGTTCGAAGAAGAAACAGTCGAAATTTACAGCCTCTCAACACTACTCATCATTCTGTACCCTCATAAACTCTGACATGCAAACATAGGTTGTGATGTTTTCTCTCAGATCTTTGTATCTGTTGTTTGAATTCACATAGAGACACAAAAATATCACATAATCTGTGCTGGGGTATAAAACTGTGTCTTAAACCTCCTGTGTGGACTTTTTGGACTAAAATTCATATTAATGCTTTTTAATAAAATACAAAAAAAAAAACAAGACCATCACCTACAAGATTAACCATTTTTACATCGCAAACTTTGATACCTGAAACCTGTGCACAGAAGTAGGTGTCAGCTGAACAGCTGAAGAAACAGACCTGATTTTACAATTTCTACATCAATTTTTCACTTTTGATGACAAAGTTTCAGCTTTAAGAGGACAGGGTAAGCAAGGACTGCTTTGTCCAAAGGGGGCGCCAAAATTGACACAAGTCAAAAGTTCCTCACGGGAGCTTTAAATGATATTTATCGCATTAATTTGTAGATGTTAAAAAGCTCAAAGTTCAACTCAGTTGCTCTTGACTATAAAAAAACAGGTTTCATTCACCTCTGTTTTGAAAATGAAATTACAGCTCTTCATGCCTGACCTCTGTGTATACAATAAAAGACCTTTCCACAGCCCAGTGAAAACATGCCTGACCATCTCATCTCAAGAACCACTTCACTTGATTAAAAGCTACATGATCCACACTTCAGTTTACCGATTTGAGGAAAATGGATGTTCGCTCTTGATAGGGATAAAGCATTCAGCCGTTTGAGTACACGTATGGAAGCTTTACAGCCAAGGCTAGACTACCCACTATAAGTGTGATTACAGCCCTATCTGGTCCCAGTGACCCTGAAAAAGTCAAAGTAAACAACAATCAAGACCACATCCAGGATGCCTCCAGACAGTAAGTCTTGCATGTTTGTTTTTGTCTTTTTGCCTACGACTGATCGGCTCATACGTAAATTGCAGCTTATTGCACCAGCATGCAGCTACTCTAATATAACCATCATTAGCTTCCAGCTTGAAGTGTTTCAGGTATGTGCTAAGGTTAATGAAATCGTCATCATTAATATTATCATGAGAAGCTCACTGTTGATATTAATGTTAGCAGCCAACTAGCTAATTAGCCTACCGAGACGACGTGCTTTCTTTTCAGGTGCTTGTGCATTGCTGTCGTGCTGCCATGGAAGGCAAGTTCAAGAGCTCCTTTGCCGGCTAGCCATGATTTTGTTTGGGCGTAACTTTTCTGGAGACATCACTGCTGATACGGATTATCACTATTGTGCATGTGCGTCAAGGACAGATAGACAAATAATGGAAGATACAATGATGTCAATGATTAAATCAATCACCAACGATTTTGACGTTGTGACTAGTCGACTACTCTTGGCAGCCCTCGTCCTGTCACATCAGTGATGCTGACTAATGAGAGCTCTTTGCTCAAGCAAAAGTCTTGGGCATAGACAAACAAAATCGCCACTCAATATCACAATCTTCTTATCAGGTGTTATTCAGCACCGCTCCTATTTCCCTCTCATCTGGGATCAGTTCTGATGATTGGTCAGCAATGTAGCAGTCATGTCTGATGGTCAACTCATAAAGAGGAAAATGGTCTCACACCCTCACACACTGGCATCTACCTCCTCATGATCACTTAAACAATTTAGACTCAAAAAGTATCAACCAACACCATTAAAACAAACCAAACAAGAAACACATATGATGGAAGCTGTTTCTGAGTGTAATAACCCTTTAAATCCCCTGATACCCACTCTTCAAACCTGCATGTGTAAAACATGTGTGAGACAAAGTGGCCAAACAGAACAGGAGCTGAAGCCCAACTAATTATCTGCTGAATGGCTGGTTCACCAAGCGTTTGTTACGTGAGAGAATAAACGACTCAGGGGCTGAAAAACCTTCAACAAACCCCCTCCTCTTTTATGAGCCGGTGCGTCCTTTCACTGTTTCAAGCTGAGGAATTCCAGGAGTTTGCTGAGGCGAGATCAATTGGGAATGTGGAGGAAGAATTGTGATTAAGCACTTTGTCGAACCACCGAGATCCTGCTCAGTGATGACACAGGTTTAATAACAGGGTTTATAAAGTACCCGGGAACGTGAGAGGGGGGAAGCCTGATGAGTTTATCCACTCAGAGTGAAGTGATCGCCCTGCTTTGATGTCACCACGGCTTCACGTGCGCGACTTTGCTCCCGCGGTAAGACAGTCCGAGTAGTCACAGATTAATAGAGCGGGCTAATCTCATTCACAAAGAGGTCACTAGCAGACAGACGCCCCTCCCCCCGGCTAAACCCGAGCATTGTGGACCCAGGCATAAAAGGCAAAAGGACTACAACCGGCCAAGCCCCCTGAGCACATCTATTTAAGGGTTCATTTTTCATTTCCAGTCTGCTGACGAGGCATTTAAAACACAGCAGACACATCAGATGTTATCCGAACCTCCAAACCCTGCAGAAAGTCAGGTACATATGTTACTGATAAAATCAATAAGAGGAGATAATGAAGTTTTACAGTGAGAACCAACATTTCGCTGATGTCTATTTAGATCAAGATCGGTTTCTGAGATTTTTTTGCCCTCTGAAGCACAAAATTTAACAACTAATGTCTCCAACTGTTAAAGGCATTTCATGAAGAATCAATCCGTCAAAGCTACGACCTGTTTCAGCCCGATGTTGACTGTGAACATCGATTTTCCTGCTGCTGAAGTCAGCTCTGCTCACCTCTCAGCACAATTTCCCTCTCAGTTTTCTCCCATGTTCACAATCATAGTTTGGATGACTTGAGAGAAATGTAATAGAGCACGATTGAGCCACTCAGCAGGGCCAAGACAAGTTAAAACAGGACATCTAATCTGATTTACTTGTAAGCGCTGATCCATTGACCAAATGTGCTCTGCAGACAGCCCTGATTGTAACCTACATAGATCCTACTCTCCTTTAATACACACGTTCAACTAAGATCAGGTGAATGCAATATGTTAGCTTGTGAAGACAGTTAGGGGTGGGAATCACTAGTGGCTCCACGATACGATATTATCGCGATACTTGGACCATGATACGATATTATTGTGGCCACGATACGATATTATTGTGATTTTTAACATTTTGCGATACAGTGAGCTTTCCTTTATGTTTGTCTTATTCAAACAATATTTTATTTTCATGAAGCACATCTTGCAAACCTTATATATAGATTTGTTGCACTAACTTTCTCCTCCTCTATGATGTCGCTCCTGCCAACCTCAGTGGGCAAACAGTTGATTTTATTTTTCTGTCATCATAGATTTGACTTCATATTAACAATTCATAAAAAAAAAAAAAACGATACTTGGTAAACGAAACGAGACGATACAATACGATACAATACGATACAATACGATACGATACAATATGATACGATACGATACAATATGATACAATACGATACGATACAATACGATACAATACGATACGATACAATACGATACAATACAATACAATACGATACGATACGATACAATACGATACGATACAATACAATATGATACAATACAATATGATACAATACGATATGATACAATACAATACGATACGATACAATACGATATGATACGATACGATACGATATGATACGATACAATACGATAATACAATACGATACAATACAATACTATACGATATATCACCAGAGAAAATATCGCGATACTATGCTGTATCGATTTTTCTCCCACCCCTTAAAACGGTACAAACTGAACTTTTGGAAGTTTCTGATCACATCTTGAAAAACTAACATGTTTGGCTTGATGCACTTTTGTGCCCAGGAAGCCGCGTTCAACAAACACAACAATCAATTCATCTCCAACAAAACTTAATCCAGCATCTTAGATTTGTTCTCCTCTGCGAACACCAAACAGTGCCTCATCTGTTTGCGGAGTTGGCCGGCTGACCCGCTTCTGCGATCCCAGCTCTCTGTCATGTGACTCTCCTTTCCCCATAAACTGGGCAATGGCCCCACTGGAAATCAGGGGACCGGGCCCTTCCTGAGAGGCCCTGTGGGAGCGTCGTTTAGGAGCCAGAGAGCGCTCTCGGTCTCATCATACTTGGCTGGGGCCTCCACTTGAGAGATCTTTGCAGGAGAATGCCTCCTCTGTGGTTTCTATAGACTCCCCTCTCTTTCTCTGGGCATCTCCTCTCGAAATATTCATGCATATACAGGTAGATAATTGTCCATGAAATGCACTTTGGGATGTTGCCTGGACTCAAGCACTTGTTTCCAAAAGACTACTGTGGCAGGAAATTATTCAGACAGGGAATCAATTGGCAATCTTATCTAAGCCCATAAAGTAGGGCCTGAGATTTGATTTAGCATTAAGTAGAATTAGAACATTTGGCAGAGCCGGTTAATTGCAGGCAGAGAATGATTCCTCCTCCCATGGCTGACATTAGAGTGACACTGCATGATTTGAAGCCTCATATTACCCAAGATATAAAACCCCAGCTGCCGTAAATCAAAAAGAGGCAAACACGAGTGAAAATTCAAACAATATGTGGCTCTGGATTTAATGTCCAAGTCGACTTAAGCGCACAGAAGCAATTGCACAACCCCGCTGTAACCAAAGACAGGTGGAAACCACAAATCAAAACCTGTAAAGGAGCACGAAATATTCCTGTTATCTGCCGAGCCCCTGACAGCCTATACGTCTTCATTCCTGTCGAGCTTCGGCATGCTTTTTCACCAGCTTGATAACAACATTTAGCAGTATACATCTGTCCCAATAATCCATCACCGCACCGATGTGACTGTTCTGTGTGAAAACAGGAACTCATCATCTCTGATACAGAAGTTTGTGGTTGTCGGTGATAAATGGGTATAGCTGCTGTGCACACTCAGTCTAAAACTCTGGAGGAGAAACATAATCCAGCTGCAGCTCTGAGGAAGTCGAAGTTCACGCAGATAATAGAGTTTTATATTTAAAAGAAAAGTTATTCTCTGCAGCTCTTTTTGTAGAAGACAAACTCTTCATCATGTAGAGAAGAAAAACTAATCCAAGGTGTTTTTTTCTTTCTTCTGCGCAAAAATCCACTTCAAATAACAGAATAACCCCGCTATGAAGTCCAAGCAGTTCGTTAGAAAGTATTTTCCTGGAATGTCGGGATCTTATGAAGTCTACTACGAAGTGTTTATGGCTGTATTGTGAAACAGAGCCAAAAACTTTCAGCCCAGACGGACCAGCATGGCCAGATGGCTTGAAACACTGGTTGAGAAAACTCTGGTCTTACCTGCTGATTTTGGAGTGAACTTGTCTCTGTTGGCAGCACACACAGCCAGAAGCCGGTAGCCCAGGTCCAAGTCGTAGCCCTGCTGGGCCGCTACACGGCTGACCACCTGAACACAGAGATGGATTTAACAGTCATGACAACTGCAGATCGTATCAAGGTCTAGGTTCATTTCAGCTCAGGCAACAACGAGAAGACAAAGAATTTTTAACAGTTAAAGCTCCAGTGAGGAGTTTTTTGACGTGAATGAAATGGATAGAAACTCATAGTGAGGCTTTTTTATGATATCAGAAAGAAAATAAGACAATCAGTAACTAGATATATGATACTATATTGTGTATATCTGTGCTTGTATTTCTAGGAAGTAGAGCAGTGTAGCATTATGGCAGTAGCATTAACAAGAGCTACACAAAACTTACATTAAATTTCAGGCCTACAAATATTTTAAAAAATCAGCAATTTGTTCAACCATTTGTTAATAATTCTTGCACCACTCAGGAGGTTGACATTTATTTTGTAGACATCCCTATTTAGTAGACAGATATATTTCTTTAAAATATAAAGGAGATGTCAGAAATCTACAAAAGAGGATTAGGGCCACCTGAAAAAAAATCATTAACAGGAAGGAGATTGAAGCCGAAATTTCGAGACTAACGTCAAAATTTCGAGATTAAAAAAATTGAAATTATGTCAATAAAGTCAAAATTTCGAGATTAAAAAAAGAAAAATTTGAGATTAAAGTCAAAATTTCGAGATTTAAGTCAACATTCATAAAGTTGAAATTTCGAGATTACAAAATGTCGTGAATAATGTAAAAATTTTGCGATTATAAAAATTACAATTTTTAGATTAAAGTCAAAATTTCGAGATTCAAGTTGACATGAATAAAGTCAAAATTTCGACTTTTTAAAAAACTCTAGTCTCCAAAATTTAACTTAAATCTCGAAAATCCCCTTCCTGTAATTATTTTTTCTCTTCTTGTGGCCCCAATCCTCTTTAGTATAAATCATATAAAACCAATGTTACAAAAGGAACACTTTGTTAACATTTACATCCTCTATATTCACTAATTAGATAATTTTATCTTAGAAGAATATGAGTCTTTTCATATCATGCTTTTGGATGGTTTTATCAGCTCAACTTTTATCTTGTTCGAGCTTACTCAATATTTAGTCCTTATAAGAAGGTCACAAAAATGCCGATGTCTTTATTAATTCCACAATAGAGACGAGTATAAAGAGTCCACAAAAGTTCATGACTGTTCCAAGGCTGCACAGTCCTTTTTAAGAGCCCTTTTTGATTTTAAGAAAGGAACATTAATTGGCATTCATGTAATGAAACTCAGTCCACTGTGGGATAAATGGGCTTGAATTGATCAATGTACAAGTAGATGAAATAATAATAGTTCAACTAAACATGAACTCCACCAAAGCTCTCAACTTCTACTAGTCTCATGAGAAGAGTCTTTTTAAAAAATATGCTCTGAACTTTGTAATTAAGTTTTTGAGAAACACAGCAGAGAAAATCAGCTCTAAGAATATTTTTAATACTCTGAAGTTCAAAGTTTTGAGGATGCATCATTATATCCATACATTACTTAACTGGAAACGCTATATTGAGGCTCATCCTTTTAACTGAACTCATGAAAGACCCAGTTTAACACTGAGGATGAAGTCTCAACAAGTTTATCAGTTCCATCTGAGCTGATGTAAAGTCAGATGAGGAGAAAATGTGGCCTCAAGTGTGGCGGAGCCTTCTGAGAAGTAACATCAAGAGAAAGCCACAAGAGGAGCATGTAAATCAGCCCTGTGCAGCACACGTTACTGTGATTTACCGACACCATTACCATCTCAAAGAGGCCCGCCAAGACCATGTCGACCTTAAGGACATACTGAGGCCTGTGTGGACCAACATGCCTCACAGATTCTTCTTCCTGCTTGGGTTTCTGCCTCAATCCTGCTGTCAGACTCTGGAGTTCAAGACAAGCCCCGGGGTAGAACAGCTGAACACAGCTCCCCGCACCATGTCATTATCTTCAGTAAGTATAGTCCTGAACTGACACCAAAACAGAGTATGGATATATCTGGCCTTTATTTATAGGAATCCCCCATTAAGAAAAAGATATACGCGCTTACGGTGTCTAATTAGAATCTAAACTTGTGAGGGATATTTTGCTAAATGGTAATTCTAGTGTTAGCAGTCACAACAAGTGGTTATAATTTCAGGACTTAGGTTGTGCACGGTCCAGGGAGTTGCGGTGGTGGATTTTCAAGTATATGTACAGTGGGCTGGGCTCAATTAAATTTTAGAGCTTTAAGTTAGAAATGTATTAAGAAAACAGCATCTGATTTTAGTTTGAAAAGGACGTGGAGTCTCCTGCTTCTTTGCATTTAAAGAAAGACTTTTTATTTAGTGATTGTATTATATTTAATATATCTTTCTTTGTAATTGATTCAACATAATTGTTATAACTAAGACTATCCCACTTAGCAATAGACGGCTATTAGACATCTAGTTTTCTTTAGACCTAATTTTAACCATCTAGATTCTGTATATTTTTAGACTGAATTTAGATGTTGCACTTTAATCCATTATTCTATAACTATTTATTTCAAAAAGTAACTGTGAGTTGCAAAACTGATCTCAACGTACTTAAACAATATAATTATGATAGCCGTTGACCAATACACAGCGTAGTATAGATAAATCCCAGATTTAGACTTGGTCCAAACTTGGTCTAAATCTAGATGTCTAAAAAAAATTTTAGGTAGCCTGATTTTAGACCAGTTGTCAAGGCTACATTTAGACATCTATCAGACCTCTTTCAGACCAAAAATATGCTCAATGGTATAAAGACTTGGTAACTTAAAGCTCCTGCAGACTTTTTTATGTTTATAAAAATAGACTCAAATTCATGGTGACACCTTTTCAACCAAAAGACTGACAATTATTATAATTTTTTTGTGATTTTCAATATCTGAGCAGCCGGAGAAACAGCCCTGTTTTTACAGCCCCTAAAATTTGACTGTCAAAAGTTAGCGAGATAAAGTTTTTTGTCAAAAGTAACAACTTCAACGTGCAACTAACAGTATAAGCAAAGCCTGCTTAATCCACAGGGGGCGCCACAATTGACACAAGCTGAAAGTTACTCACTTGAACTTTAAATGTGGCCTAAATGTATTTGCTCTTCACTTCAGATACAATACAACAGGGTGATTAGATGCAGAAAGTAGTAAATCAGACCAAATACTAAGTTTTGTTAGGTCAACTACTTGGTTTTAAATCTACGGTTTCTTGACTTTTTGTCCTGTCTGGCAAAATGAAACATCACCACTGTGCAGGCAGCAGAGTGAAGTGTTTACCATTACAGTCTGAGGCCGAGTAATTTTACAATCACATCAAATTCTCTGTGCTCCCTCCCCTTGTGGCTCACGCAACGGTCTCTACAGCCCATAAACTAAAAGGGAAAGCCTTGAGATTTTCACGGCAGGAAACAAATTGAATTGGCGAAATGGAGGAAAAGGCACCTGCTGCTGCACATTAAAGCAGTAACACAAACAATCACTTGAGTGGAAGGATGTGTCACAGCGGTTTCACTGTGGCGCTCAAGTACAAATCTCTCAGGTTCCTTTGCTTTCCGTGGACAAGCTTACTTGGCGGGGTCACAAATTGCATCCAACAAGAGGTATATGGATCTCTTATCTACTGCTGCAGGCAGTATGGAAATGTGCATGTTAAAGCACATTATGGCCTAGGGTGACAGGCGAGTGACATGTCTACAGACCATCTACTGTTCTACTCAGATGTTCTGTGTCTTTGCCTCTGCCCATAAACTTTTATTACTTACTGTTTTTTTATTAGGGTTTTCAAAGTTAGAAGCTCATTAATAAGATATTTTTTGTGACAAATCCCATTGAAATATAGTCTCAAAAGGTAAAGTAATCCCTCTCTTTAGGGTTTTGTGTAATGTTTCCACCTCACTCAAACCGTACAAATCATTTCACAGTTAAAAGTCATGATCGTCTTCTAGGCCTAACTCAATCTTTGTTTACTGTAACCGACTCTAAAAAGTCAAGCCTTTTTTTTTTCAAATGTCATGGGATACTAATTATTCAATTACTCAAAAAGCCCCCCGGCGTTGCAGAAAGGGAATAAAGGGCTTTGTGTATTGTGTATTTTCCTGTAAGCACTGATTGCTTTGTGGTTTGAGGACGTTATTGCTCTCCTTTTTCTGTTCCAGTGTGCCGATTTCATGAGCCACAGCACAAACTGTTACTGAAGTCACTGAAAGGTGACTGATCCATGGTAGCTTCAACAAAGTGAACTACGTTTTATTTTGCTCTGACCTTAGTGAAGATCAAGCAGCTAAACACTAGTTCCCTCGTGTCCCAGAGGGAGCGATGGAAAGAGCCAATGCAGCAGTTGTTTTTGCAGTGCTTTCGTTGTCCTTGAACCCTTTAGTCTGAGACTGCAGTAGAGGATCACAAACGCAATGCTCACCGTGAGGCATCCCATCAGGCTTTGCTCAAAGGGGCGCTGGAAGGCTCGGGGGTCACCACACCAGTCCAGTAACTCGGTCGCTGCTGTTTGGAAATTTGCTGGATTTTGTAAGTGCTGGAGAGGAAGAAAGGGAAGTTTAAAGTTATTTCAAAGGTTGGAAAGAAAATCTAAAATAATTACATCAGAATAATGTTTTCATTACATCTGTTTTTATTTTGCATAGGAGTTAAAAAAATATAAATCCTGTTGGTTTATGTTGTCCTGATGTATGACACGACTAGTAATACTTGGACATCAAATGTTGATATTGCAAATAAAAAAAAAATGGTGATCTGATTTCTCTTGCTGAGTCATTACTTCATGACTTCCCATGGTAATAAGGAATAAAGGTGATGCAAGAAAAAGTTAAAACTCCTGTAAGAGGTTTCCAGTTGGTTATCAAATATGCTGAGATTAATACTGAGACCTCGATGTAGTCTACAAATTCAAACAAGACCATCTGGAACAATTCAAATATTACGGAATAATTATTAATAATCCTTGAAAATACTGCAGCAGAGTCAGTGTTAGTTTAACTGCAAAAAAAAAGCCTGTTTTAAAATTTTGTGTGGTACAGATTTTTAGAAATAATGCATTCGACTATTAGAAAAAATAATAAAATAAAACTACTCACAACTGAAAAATAAAAAACACTAAAGAGACAAGAAGTAAATACTCATCACCTCAGTGAGCCAAACCAAAGTCAAGTGTTTAATGCAATAATTCCTGTTGAATTGTACCATAGTGTATCATATCGTATCATATCATATCATATCATGGTGTATTGAATCGTATTGTATCATATCATACTGTATCGTATTGTATTGCATTGTATCATACCATAGAGTATCATATTTCATCATATTGTTTGTATCATAGTGTCTCGTATCATATCATACCATATATCATGGTGTATTGTATCGTATTGTATCATATATCAGGGTGTATCATATTGTATCGTAGTGTGTATCACAGTGTATCATATCGTATCCTATCATGGTGTATCATATCATATCATATCATATCATGGTGTATCGTCTCGTATCATATCATAGCGCATCATAGTGTATCATATTGTACCGCAGTGTGTATCACGGTGTATCGTATTGTATCCTATCATGGTGTATCATATCATATCATATCATGGTGTATCGTATTGTATCCTTTTATGGTGTATCATATCATATCATATCATATCATATCATATCATGGTGTATCGTCTCGTATCATATCATAGTGCATCATAGTGTATCGTATTGTATCAAGATGTATTGTATCATATTGTACCGCAGTGTGTACCACGGTGTATCGTATTGTATCCTATCACGGTGTATCATATCATATCATATCATATCATATCATGATGTATCGTATCATATAATATCATGATGTATCATATCGTATCATATCATAGTGTATCGCAGAGTATCATAGTGTATCACATTGTATTATGATGTATTGTATCATATTGTATCACATCATAGTGTACCGCATAGTATGTGAGTGTACTGTATCATATAATATCATGGTGTATCATATTGTATTGTATCGTATCATGTCCTGTCTCACTGTGTCTTTTCCTATTATCTTATACCGTGTTCTCACCTCATATCGTTTCATTTGACAGCTAATATATGCATCTAAACAAAATAACTAAAAAATTCAAAAAGTTGTTTAAGGTCAATCTTTAAGAAGAATAATTACGTTTTACATCCAAAAAAATAAAAATGGCTGAATTAACATGAATGTTCATATAAGAAACAGCACTTTTTTAAAATGTATCTTATCAGAGTAATCTATTAAATTTGAAGCCTTATTTGATGGGATGATAAGTCTTAACGCCCAGAGCTAAAGGGTCTGTCCCCCAAAGGCGTGTGCTCCACTCTCCCCAGGTTTCTGTAGCACCACCTTGGCTCTGTGTAATAAATCTCCCTGTATGGCTGCATGAATGGCTGAGGAAGGCCTTATTTCAGCAGCCGACCCTGAGCTGTGCTGTGACTTTATCTGACAACAGGCTCCTTGACCTACAGGCACCCCTTTATGGCATTCATTCTTACAACAGAGCACCGGCAGCACACTCACAAGCCCTGTTGTCTGTCATGCTTTAGAGCAGCACAGGAAACTGAAAAATGGACCATTCTGGGTCTCAAAAGCGGACTCCCTGTTGGTCATTTCTTCTCCATATGAATTATTTCATCCATAAAGGAGCAGACACATCACCTCAGCTTTGTAGTAAATCCACTGCCTTTGAGGAGATAATGCACACAAGCTTTTGCGGCGAACAAACCAGGAACAAACGGACCCCCTCTCCACAGCATGAAAGGTAAATAGAGAGGTTTGTCAGCTGAAAGTGAACGGCTGCTTTCTTAACACGTCTGGGTGCTTTGATTTCACAGTCTGAGAGAAGAGAAGAAGAGGAGACAGCTCTGCCTCAAAGTGCTTGTTTATAGTTTGCTCTTTAGGGGGCAGCAGAGGTCAGGATTTGATAAGGCAGCTTTCATATCAATTTACAAAGCCAGTGTTTGACAAGAGCAGGATGAAACACGCCTTGTTTATTTTATGTTCTGTCCGAGACTGTTCTCAGCGCATCTTTGTTGAGGGAGACGCGGTAGGTGCTCACAGAGGATGTTAATTTCTGGTGGTGGATAAAGTCTCCTGGAGAAGCGCACACATTCACAGATGCTAAATTTAGATGAGTCTGGAAGCTAGACAACACACGCAATCAGTGCACCAAGGATGGAAAGGGGGGAGGAGGGAGAATATGAGGAGGAGGGGGGAGGGAAAAAACACACAGCACCAACACTTGGGCTTGAAGTGATTACTGTTCTCTGCTCTCAGAACAATTGGTCCCACCAGTGTGGCTGTCACATGGAGAGCTTGGCACTGCCACATCACAGATGTTACCCCTTCTCCGGCCAAAAACCACCAATCAAACCTAAACTAGTAGCCAAGAGACCCCTCACTCCCCCACGCTCTATCCTCGTCCCCCTGGGTGAGAAAGTCCTCCAACAATCACGCTCCAGTCAAAGCTCAGTTCGGTTGGAGGGAAACAAAGATGGACAGGAGACGCAGTGTCCAGAGAATACAGCTTTCCTCAGATATAATCATGCTCTGCAGTCACGTCTGGAAATGACTTCATCTGCACATCTGCAGCTTAACTGACTGTGACAGCGCACACGATCCGTAAAAGACCCTCCGATTTCATAATCACTGCTTTTGTTTGTGATGATGTTGTCGCTCCACATTCAGGGACACCCTAAAGCACTAAACAACACAAATGCAGACAATTAACGCAGGAAAGACCACAAAAACAGCTGCGTAGCCGTGCAGTGCAGCAGCAACAGCAGCACAGGGTTGTTTTCTACTTTATCTTGAAATATTGACGCCTACAGTGTGAGGAAGTGCTCCTGCAGCGAGAGGAGAGTTCATAGTTTCCGCCGAAAAACCTTGTACATTTCACCGAGTGGAGAGTCTGACAGCAAACTGGCTTCCCCACGGTGAGAGGAAAACGACTCTCTCTGAAATAGATACCCACAGTATCACTGAGCCCATCTCCTCCCAAAGTGCTCACAACGGTGCAATTCCAGGGCGAGAGGAGGAAACAAACTGCCACTGAGACACTGCGAGTTTGGGTTGGAATCAGATAAGTGCTTTTTTTTGTACCAGTTTTTTAAGCATCTCTGTTTGTATGGAGGTTAAACAAGTGAACATATTTATTTTGTTCTGTCATTGTTCAAAAATGGGATCCCTTGAGACATTGCGCACCACCTGCACAGATAAAAAGAGTTTGTGTATTTCTGAGTTATTAACTTAAGAGGTTTTTCCCTTTTAAAGCTCCAGTAAGGAGTTTTTAACATTCAAGCAACAGAGTGAATTTAATAGTTAGTCTCATTATGAAATTTAAAGGCAAAGGAGACCATCAAAATTACAATTACAAATATTTATACTGTGATTTTGAATGTCTGTAACTAATGCATGTGGACAGGTGTCAGACCAGGTGAAAAAGACCAGAAAAAAACAGCCTTTTATTCAACTTTCACCATCAAATATTCACAATAAGAGATGTGCTCATCACAATTCAAGCTATATGGAAAAAAGGATGTGCACTTTTGTCCAGAGGGGGCGACAAAGTTAACATGAGCTGAAAGTCCATTACAGTAGCTTTAAAATCAATAGCATAGAATGGCAACATTTTGACTTCCCAAATAGAGGACACGACTACGCGGAGGCGGAGTAACAGAGTCGCAAGAAGTTAATTCTGAGAGTTTTTCAGGTCGGATCAAGTGTTTTTTATGTGCTTCTAACAAAGTAAGTCCACGTGACACAAAATTGAAACTCTCGTACAAAACCGCGGACATTTGGAGGATTTTATAAACTTCCCCTGACAAAGCCAGACAAGCCCGGACAACCCCCCAAAAAGAGGACATGTCCGGGTGAAAGAGGACGTATGGTCACCCTACAATAGCAGTATTTGTCCATAATAATCAAGATCAGTTAGGCTCTCCGAAAATTCAACAAATCCACCCACCTATTCACTTGTAAAGTTTTTGTTTGACATATTTTACTTAAAGCACCTGCAAGGAACTCTTGATTTGTGTCAATTTTGGAGCCCCTGGTGGTCAAAGCGGTCTTTGCTCTTCTTGGTCGACTCTTTTGACAAAGAATCTCATCCTGCCCTCTTTTCACAATCAAATGTATCATATAAAATGAATATTTTTCTGGAAACTGTAAGAAACAAGGCTGCTCAGCCAACACCTACCTCCTTTGGTACGAGTTACAGGCACTAAAAGGGACTTGTTTGCTTTTGGACGTCATAAAAAAGGGGAGCAAAACAAATCTATTTCATAAATGTAAATAAACACCTCACAGGAGCTTTAATAAATCAGTATGAGTATAAATAAGGGGGTAAAATTAATACACAAGAGGATGCTGGTTTAGCTCAGCATACCCCATAAACAGCAGTCCTAAGAGTGAGCTGCCTACCCACAATACTTTGCTCTACATCATCTCCAATTCTCTCTCTTCAGTTTTTGTTCTGTCCTCTTAAATATGACACTAAAAGCACGAGAATAATAATAATTATTTCTAATAAGTTCAAATAGAAACTAAATTAATAACTCAGCATTTGGGAGTTAGTTTTGTATCAACGCACTATTAACAAAATTTATGTTTTGAGTGAAATAAAACTGATATTACGGTTCAGTTATTGTTTATAAATCAAATAACAGCAATTACAGCACAATATGGTAATAGAAAAATTACCACCTTAATGATTCCAGATTTAACTTTCGTCCCATGCTTCAATCAGGCTGACAGATTCCAATTTCCTCTACTTTATCTTCTCGCTCTGTAGTAATTTATCATTTCAGCAACAAAATCAATTTGTTCCCCTGTCCGCTGCTCTGGCTGGGAGTATTCAGACAGACATGTCACATCTTCCAGAAAACAACAAACACAATGGAGTAGGCTTCATTTATATTCCTGCTTCATGTCCACTCGATGCCAAATTTCAGCATGTGCACACTTTCAATTAAAGCAAACAGCTGGATTGGTTTACAATATTTCCTTAATTATTTTAATGGCTTGGATATTGGACAATGGGGAGCAGGGGGAGAAGATAGTGAGTTAATTGTTCTGATCTCCCCTGATGATCATCTTTGTGTGCGGGGAGGAGAATAGACGGCCGGCTGAATGGGCTCACTGCTAGTCTAATTGGCAGGACATAAATGGTATTTATTATGCGGGGCCTTCCAAACCCTGATTGTCTGCGGCACAAAGCTGCCTCTATTAGCAGGGTGCTGGCTCTTACTGGTGGGTTTGAAATGACCCGGTGCTTAACCATTTATTAGATGGACTGGAGGCCTCCTTGTATGCCATGGATCTCTCTAATTGGCATGTTTACCCATGTGCTGCTTCCACCCGGCTGCTAACATTGGGAGGTGTTTGTTTAAATTTTTGCCTCGCGGGGTTAAAACATTTAACCCGCGACTTCTGAATTGTTTACACTTTGTTGAAGACAGGTTCAAACCCCTCTTTCTTGATCTGAGAGCTCCCTTTACAGAATAATTCATCAGCTATTAGCAACAAAGAGCATTAGTGGAATCCAATTTCATCTCCCATACAACTCAAGGAGGAGTGGATATTGAATATTTAATGTCCTGCTGCGAAGACGGCAACCAGACTGAAAACAAGGAGAGTTTACGTCTCTCTTCCTTATTACTTAAGGACATCAAAGGCTGTCTCTTCCCTCTGTTTGCTCCCTAAACACTCACCCTGTCTTGCTATCTGCCTCACCTTGTCTCTCTCTCTCTCTCAGTAATAGCCGGGAACTCCCTGCCAAGGGTAAAAAACAATTTGCCACGTCCACACTTGTGTCAGAGCGTAAACCCCGCGCGTTGTCCCAAAAGCCTTTACAAGCGCTCTTCTTCAGGATTTGGACCTTAGAAAACAAAACGGGCCGTCAGTTAAGAAAAGAGATCAAAGAGAGAGCGCCCTGTAGCCCGGGGTAACCCAGCTATGTCTGTTTAATTCTGCCAGAGATTCGTCCCGGAGTAAACGCCGTTCAGGGCAGAACAAAAGGACTCCCAGGGAGTCAGCGGTGGTGGAGGGAGAAAGAAGGGTGCTGATGGGGGAAGGGGGGGATGAGGGGGTCTCCGCTTTTGACCCCAGTCAGTAACCTGAGTCACACCACAGTCCTGATAAAAAGACCCAACAGATTTGTCACTTTACAGGGGCCGGGGGGGACGGTGATTCACTCTGGAGAAAAATGTCTGAATTTGTCTTCGAGAGACGAAGATTCAAACACAGAGACAACCATGCATGGACAGAACATCTGTGCGCATGTTAACTGAGAAAACATGAATCAGCTGGATCAACAATTTGGGATTTTTGAGGACAAATTGGAAAATTAATCAACTTAAAGGCTGACCAAACAGATAATTGTTGAAGCTCCTAGGAGAATTTTTTTTGAATGTCCATGAAATGGGGTAGATTTTATTTTGATGCTTTCATGTAGCTAAAAAAAGTGAAACCTGTGAACTGTTCTTTTATTGTCTTTTGATAATGTGTCTTTTTCAACCTTTTACATTGTTAGTCTTATTACTTAAAATTTTCTGTACTTTCAATTGTGTTTATTTTTGTAAAGCGTCTTTATTGTAAAGCACCTGTAAAAGCGCGTTATAATAAAATGTATGTATTATTATTATTGTTATTATTATTATTAAAAGCAGACAAGACCATCAGTGACGAAATTGTTGATCTTCATTTTGTACTTCTCAATTCTGTTAAAAGTCAGAAGGATGAGAGTTTTTGTTTGTCTACAAAGACACAAAACAGACTGTCCACAGGGGGGCACCAAAATTTAATCAAACTGAAAGTTACTCACAGGAGCTTTAAAAGATTAACACGGCAGCAAATGGCAAAAACTTTTGATATGAACTTTTTGCTGCTAATCAAATAAATGACGAAGAAAAACAGTAAAATTTCAAATTTAAGACGCTGCAATCAGGAAGTGTCATGATTGTTAATCAGAATCTGCTGGTTTTTGCTATTGTCCCTAAAGCAGTAAACTTAAAGAAATATTCTGGCGTAAAATTAATTTAGGGTCAAAGACACCATTACACTGAGTTAGACACCCACTCGAGAGATAAATGCTGCCGAACGCTTGCTTCTCTAGTTAGAACAACTTTAGTTTACCCTATATGTACTGTTGATGAAGTTAGGTGCTGTTCTGAGCTTTACTTGTGGCTATAGAGTGGCGTTTTGGTTGAGCGCGTGGCTCTTTGTATTGCTATCCTGTAGTCATTACTAAAGTTGTTATAACTAGAGAAGCAAGCGACGGCAACATTCATCTCTCAACGGGATGTCTAACTCGGTGTTACGGTGTGTTTGACCCTCTATTATTTTTACACCAGAACATCCCTTTAAGAACAAAGCAACACCTGGATGGTGAACCCCTTAGCACCACCCCTGGCTTATGTGTAGATCTCGGCACAAAAAGTCTGATAATACTCATGACAAAGGATTAAAACTGTGCCCTAAATCATGACCTGGAACATCTGACACCTTTCACCACTCACCTGTTTGATACACTGCAGACGATCATTGGTCTGCTGTATGTGTCTGTCCATCGACGGAATTGAATTCATGTTGATTGTCCTTCTTCGGCCTCTACCTGCCAGCCATTAAACTGCAGCTCTCTGCAACAGAAAAAAACAGACATGTGTTAACGCTCACCTCTTCTCAAGGAAGCTGCCAATCCCATCACCGCCATGGCGCTGCAGTTTAGCGCGCATATACTGATGTTTGTGTGTGTGTGTGGCTGTGAGCTGAACAGAGGAGGATATTGATTTGGCAGGTGACAAGCACCTCCGAGAGCCCAGAGGATGACATCGCTCTCAGCCACTGTGACACCATCAACAAGCCCTGGTGGTTGCCCTGAACGCTCACAGGATGACTTAAGAGGAGGATGTCTGACCATGTTTGAGGCACCTCAGGGTGAAAATGAACGCACACACACACCCTCAATGTAGAGTGTGTAAGAAAAACTGCATGACGCCCCTCTGTGCCGGCCTGTGAGAACATTTACTTGGCATGTGGCGCTCTGTTTACATTACTTAGCCATTATGTAATCTTTGGTTAACAATTATGTGTGCTCTTGGCCCAGACATGCTCTACATTTCATTTCTCCCCCTTCCCCCTCCTCTTTGACACATAAGAGTTCCTCTAACAAAACCCCCTTACAGCTGACTATTGATTCTGGAGCAGCCGCTTATGGAAAACCTCTTTCTCTGATCTCTCTCTTTCTCTCTCGCTCGATGTCTCGCTCTTTTCCAGGGGAATAATTTTTCACGTTAGGCAAACAATAGAGAGGTGATCCGACATGCTACGTAGCATTATCACAAGTTAGAAAGTATTACAAGCTGCATTACAGCTTATCAATCCTGCCCGTGGGGGTTTGATTTAATGTTGCGTTCAACGTCAAATAAATATCACACATGGCTTGTCGGCTGTAAATCATACTGACCTGCAGCTGCAAATAGATGGATGGGTGAGTTAGTAGTAGGCACGAATATGGGTGATGAGGAAAGTGTACCCATCCCCCCTTTAACCATTTTCCCTCCCATGATGTCCCCTTTATCTCATCCTGTCTCCGTCTTTCTTTTTTTTTGCACTTGCCGTGCATCGCGCTCTCACTCAAACACTTGCCCCCTCTCCATCACTCATAGCCTTCCCCCCCTCAACTCCATCTCTCTCCATTACCATCACACACAGAGAGAGAAATTTCTCTGCACAAAGTGGCGGTGAGATGACGAAGAGAGAGAGTGAGAGAGAGAGAGTGAAAAAAGAAAGAAAGAGGAGGCAGTATGCTGCACCACACTGATAATGCTCACTTAGGGGTCTCTGGCTGGATTTAACGGCAGGGCCGGTAATCTACTCCACTAGACAGCTAAAGAGCTTTTATGCTACCTAACAGAGCTGCTCATGCCTGTGCTTGAGAGGAGAGAAGGGCACACGAGTGCATTCCTCTCCATAAATTAGAAAGCTCGTAAAGGAAAAAGAGACATCGGAGGAGTTTTCCCTTCATCTGACTCGGTTTCGCAGATGTACAGTGTGTTTGTAATGAAGATGCAAATAGACACATGTTTGGAGATGTTAGAGATGTCACCTCAGAGGCTTTGGGGCAGAAACTTGTAGGTAGATGTTGTTATAGAATAATATTAACACTAATTTTATATAAATTATTTAAAGCACTTATGACAGAGAGATGATATTGAGAGATTGAGTTTGTAAATTTGATCATATCACTAAATTTTAAGAGTTAATCCAGTAACTCACATTTTAATAACTTTAAAATCAACAGAATTTGCTTTTTAAAACTATTTCTAAATCTATGAGTAAAGCAATTCCTACTGATGTCTTGGTTGGGGAATCAAATAAATGCAATAAAATGAGTTTTTTAAATGTGAAGCATAATAAAGATGCAGAAACCACCAATAAATCATCATTTTTTTCAATAAAAACAGAGTTTAACCCTGATCTGTTCTATGCACTCATATACATTAAGGAAAAGAGACATCAAAGGTGTTTTCCCTTCATCTGACTCGGTTTTGCAGATGTACAGTATGTATTTGATGAAGATGCAAAAAGACGCATGTTTGGAGATGTGAGAGATGTCTGGGCTCTTAACATGGAAACCTCAGAGACTTGAGGGCAGAAACTTTCAGGTAAATGGAGTAACAGAATAATATTAACACAAATTTTCTATAAATAGTAATGACAGAGGGATTATGATTGAGAAATTGATTTTGTAAATTTTATTTTATCACAAAATTTCACGAGTTAATCCAATAACTCACATTTTTAATCACTTTAAAATCCAAAGAATTTGCTTTTTAAAACAATTTCTAAATCTATATTTAAAGCAATTGGTTGTGGAATCAAATAAATGCTGTAAAATGGATTTTATTCAAACTTTCCAAAAATGTAAATCATAATAAAGATGCTACATTTAGCCAAAATCACCAACAAATCGTCAGTATTTTCACTAAAAACACAGTTTAACCCTGATCTATCATGTGCACTCATCTACGCTGAGTCTCTTTACACCCCTCTGCTGTTAGCTGCCATGACACTCCCATCAGTCCCCTCTCTGTGCCAGCCGATACTGCACTGATCCTCGTCCTGTGAAAGCATTGTGTCCCTCAGCCACCAGCAGGTGTCTCCCTGGCCCTTCAAAGGCCTGGCGAGTGGCACAAAGAAGGCGGAGCGGTGTTGCTTTAAGCCTTTACAAGCTCTACAAATCCTCAGCTGCTGCTTCCTAACAGGGCCCACTCAGCCCGCCACTGCCTGTCTGACCTTGTGGTTATTGATGAGCCAGTCGACCTGCTCTCCCTCTTGCTGTCTCTCTTCCCTCCCTGCCCTTCCCTTCACTCTCTCTCTCTCCCCCTCCACGCTTTCTCTCAAGCAGTGAGTTAAAATGAAGCTGCCATTCACCACCCATGCTTTTTCTCTTCAGCCTTTGCTGTAATGATACTCCTGATCTCCGAGCACCGCAAAAACTTTGTCATTTACATTTATTCGCCTCTTGAGATATGACATGTCAGTGCAGGGGAGTAATTTAATTTCCCTATATTCACTTGTTCTAATTAAACACTCGTCTTTTGTTATATCTTTAATGACTAACAAGAGCCAAATTAAAGATTAAAACCCGTGATGCTTGGGAGATATGACAACAAATGCAATTATGAGCCCTCCCCGCTATTTACATGCTTCTTTTCTATCTTGCAGATGTTATCATTCATTATTTTCCCTGAGTCATTACCTAATGTGAACTTATTTGCCTTGAATCAGCGAGTTACTCCCGGAAACCTGGGAAGAAACTGCGCTGATAGGCGCGTTACTCAAGCTTAATATGCTCAATTACCAGCAGGCGTTACACAACAAGTTGAGGGCTGTGGATTCCTGCACAACAAAAGACACATAAGAGGAGGGGAGGCGAGGAGGAGGAGGAGGGAGACCCGCTTCTTCTTTTTACCTATTCAAAGGGGAGCTAAAATATATGTATTGAGTGGGAGCTGTAATAAAACGAAACGGGTGAGGAGATGCAGGCCGGGAACAAATATGAAAGGCAGTGGAGGATGGCGGCAAGGTGATGGAGCACCACCGGAGGATTGGATGAAATTATCTCTTTATAATCAGGGGGCTTCTGCATGGCTGCCTCCTCCATTGCCCACTGACAGATGAGGCCTACCACTTCAAATGGGCTTTTCACAGCGCTATCAGCCCACCTCGAGGGGTAAAACAATGTTTTTCTTCCCCCCCTGTATCACCACTTTTAAAGCTTTGTTTCTGTGCGGCACCCCGCCGAGGACAGGATTGTCTCCCATCAGGCAGGGTCCCGTGTTTGTCTCATTACGTGATCATGTTACATAAGTGTACCTTGAAAAGAGCGGCGGATTTAATTCGATGACAAATCTGTGCCACTGGAAGATGCTAAACAAAGTTGAATAGAGACACTAAAGCAGAACATTATCTCCAGTAAGTAAGAGAAGATTGCTTTTTGAACTGTCACAATCGCACAGTTAGGAATCTAAACATCATTTCAGACACCCCAAAACCCGACCTTGCATCTTCAAAGAGAGTTTTCTAGCTGTTAATGTAACGGAGACGAGCTGTGCGCCTCTGCTCCGAAGGATGAAAACAGTCTGAGGGGGAGAGGAGTAGACAATGATTAGCTTTATCCCACCATCACAGCAGAACAAATGGATCACGAACCCTCGCAGCTTTGCATAGTCTCTCAGCTGAGCCGTCAAGGCACAGGGAAGTGGTAAACAGATTTAATTTATTCATATAAATGGCTTGTGAACCAAAACAGTCAGGCTACTCGAGGGCCAGGCAGAGTGCTGCTGAAAGGATATTCACAGTTTATTACAACATGGGTCTATTTTTGTAGCCTTGGCCACAAGTTATGAAATCATCGGGCGCTCGCAAAAGCAAATGCTTTGAAATTCAGTGATACCTCATGAGCAGTTATTTCATTTTCAATACTAACACAAACACCTAGACTTCAGTGATGGCCAAGACTGAGCAGCCCTGCTACGCTAGTGCGATAATAAATTGACTTTTTATGATTATTAATAAACACTAATGGGCTTTACAGATAATCATGTAGTTGGGTGACCATATTCTGAGGATACTACTACGCAGGGCAGAGTCACAGAGTCATGCATAATTAATTTTGAGTTTTTTGGGTCAGGTCGAGTGTTTTTTACGGGCTTCTAACTTAGTCAGTCCACATGACACAAAATCAAAACTTATATACAAAACGCAGCACATTTAAGGGATTTTATAAACTCCCCCAGGACAAGGCTGGACAAGCCCGGACAGCCCCCAAGAAAGAGGACATGTCCAGGTAAAAGAGAATGTACGGTCATCATGTAGCTATTTAGCTTGAACAGCCCGGTTTTGTATATCTAAAAAGCAAACGGCGCATCTACAAACAAGATAAGCTAACATGGAAAACCTAGCATTTTTCTTCTTCAAAGAGAGCTGAAGAAGCATCTATTGTTATATATCTATAATAGGTTATATAGACATTTAAGGACGGCATTGCATCGAGGTTAGCATGAAATAAGCTGCTTAACAATTAGAAAGGTGCCGACAAAGTAACTTTATAGCTATACTAACAAAAAAACAAAAGCTTAACCATGATAATCTTCTAAGCTAGTTGCGTTAACACATATTAGGTCGCATTATGTATAAATGTATGGGGTCTTCAAACAGGGTCATGTTAACTCTATGAGCGTCCCCCCTCGTTAATTCGCACCATCAAAAATTGAAAGTTTCTGAGAGGTTTAATGCTGCGTTCGAGTTACCTCAGAAGTCAAATGTCGGAGCTGGGAATGACGTCACACCCGAGTAACAACGTTTCAGTTTAGTTACCAAATTGGAGGCAGAAACAAGATGGCTACATCTATGAAAGTTATTTTCGCACTTGCCTTGTCCGAATATAAGCAACCTCTGGACAAATATGCGGTCCTTCTGTAACATCTTGTTTCCACCTCCGATTTTGCTTTTTTCCGACTTGCTGACTGAGACGCTGGTAACCCGGGTGTGACGTCATTCCCAGCTTGTACATCTAACTTCCAAAGTAACTCAAATGCAGCGTAAGTTTACAGGTTGAGACAAGTCTAATGAAGTTCTCAAAGATACAGGAACCCACAGGATCCAGCCTCTCAGAAGCTAAATTAGCTAAGATTAGAGAAAGCACGGCTCGTACGACACAGTTTGATTAACATTAGCGAGTGTTAATCTAGATGGTTAACTTTCTCATCTTGTCTTTTGTTCCTCTATGTGATATTTCAGCACAAAGAAATCATTTAATCTTTGCAGAGAAAGCAACAGGACAATGGTTGATCTTTTGGCATCCATGTTTTCATTGCCTAGCAACGGGGGTCCTATTTGTTTTCCAAGACTTTCACGACACGACTTCACAAATTTACAAGTTACACTTAAAGGCAGATAAAGTCAAAATCCAGAGTTAGGATTAGCACAAAGAAACTTCTTCTGTCAAAAGACTGTAAATATAAAACAGGGATTTCGAGTTATAATTGCCTTAAGCCACTTTAGGAGAGAATAGGACTTTAAATAAAGCGTCCTCCTGCTGAAAGACACAGATGCAGCTTTTGAAATTAGGTGAGACTTGGCCGTAGTATCACACGCTGGCAGAGAGTTGGACGGTCAAAAGACAGCATGCGGCGCTGGCCGCCGTCGCGACCACACACGCGCTTCGACAAAAAAAAAACACACACATGGATCTTCTCACCTTCCCCTGAGTGCTGGACTGGCATCATGATACCATAACAACACCCTCAGTCTCTCCTAATGTGCTTTACAACAGCACTACAGGCAGGGTGTTACACCTCCGCAGAGCTGTGTGAAACATCACCCCCCCCCCTACACACACACACACACTCACACACACCTTACTAATCGAAAGCTCAAACTACTGCTGACACTATTAAAACAGAACGAGGTGGCCTGAGCGGAGGGATCAGCATCACTCTGGCACCTCGTGGGGACACACTGTCGTGCCGCTCAAGGTGATGGCGTCCCTGTGTGTCGACTTTTGTAGGTGAATACGGTAATAAAGGACTAATCTGCGCCATCATTGACTTGTGCTTGACTGTTTGCAGCACTCGCTTAAGGGCGATAAAGATGAGGAAGGAGGAGGAGGAGGAGGAGGGAAGGAAGCATCTCTTCACCCTCATGATTTAAATAAGCTCTGATTTAGAGATATGTCTTGTTTTCTTCCGAGTGTCAGCCGAGGCCCGCCGTGAAAGCTCCCTTTTAATTATCTCAACATTGTACGAGACGCCGTTTCCTCACGCCACAAGGAGAAAGTGGGGGGGTGTTTGGTTTGGAGAGGGCAGCTCTAGGACTCCAGGTGTCTGCCTGGTTCTCTGCCTGGTAAGTGGCCAGGCAGGCAGTGAGGACAAAGCTGTGTTTGTTGGGGGGGAGAAAAAAATAAAAAAACGCAAGAGAGGATAGAAATGTGTACGAATCGGCGCCGCTTCCATTGTTGCCTTTGCAGAATGTGCCATAATCCTCGGCAGGCTCCATCCAGAGCTGGCACGGAGGATAATATGAGCTGCCTCCTGCCTGTCCCACCTCCCCCTCTACCTCCATCACCTCCTCCTCCCTTCCCCCCCGTTTCTTTGCTGCTGCACACACATATGGACACACGGCCACTCAAGTTCGCACACACTGACGCGCACACACGCTCTCTCACACTTCCCCGCATGGCTCCTTAACAGGCTTGGGAATGGATTTCTTTTATTTAATGTGGTTTGGTCTGCAGCTCCAGCGGCAACCAAGAGCGAGGGTGGGCTTGCAGTTGTGCCACTCACTCACACACACACACACACACACACATTTATACACACACACTCAATCCAAGGAGCCCTGCTGTGTTGGTCGCTGTTCGCTGATCTCTCCCTCTTCCCCTCTGCCTTTCTCCAACTCCCATTCTCCCTCCAACTCTCTCTTTCTCTGTGTCACGCAGACCCCTCCCTCCCTCCCTCCCTCCTTCCCTCCCTTCTTCCCTCCCTCCCTGCCCTCTCACTTTTTTTTCTCCCCCTGTCATGACAGCTCACATAAGCAAGCCTCCTGGATTCCTGCGGGAGCCCCACGTTCAGCACACAGAGATTGTTCAGCCATCAGGCACATCTGCAGCGTGATTAGAAAAGCAAAGGGAGCATGGTGGTAGGAAGGGGGAGGCAGGAGGGTAGGTTGAAGCCCCCACCACTTCTTCTACCGCCGCTACAACCACCCTCCCCTCCTTTTTTACTCCCGGCAGCAGCAGAAGAAGAGGAAGAAAACAGAGGGCCTGGGATCATAGAGGGGCCTAAGCAATATCTCCTCTCTAACCAAGTGTAACGTTTCACCAAGTCTCAGAGGCCTGCAATAAAAAAAAAAAAAGGACAAAAGCAGATGGGGGCCAGTCCCTCTTTGCCACCCAAGCCTCTCCCCCCTCGCCTCAAGTCGCCTTGGCTGCTAAAAGCAAAAAGGAGATGGTCCTACAGCCACATCGCGTTGGATTCTCCTTCTCCTGTTTGCCCTCCAAACAGCTACTCTTTTAATTTCCTTCCACCCTCACGCTAATAGCAAAGGAGGGGGGTGGTGGGGAGAATTCCCCCGGGGTGCTGGAGGCAGCACAGATGAGCCACATGACTGCACGTTGCCTCTAAATGCAAAGCTAGCAGCATTACCAAGCGAACCTCACGCTCTCCATGGCTGTCTGTGGCGCTAATATCAGCTAAAACCCCACAGAGATTTATTCTCATGGAAGTATCATGTTGAATCCCTTTTTTTTTAGTCGATTGTGATGATTGTTAGAAATGGCAAACAAAGTAGAAAAGCGTTATTAGAGTATTTGAGCGTCTGATCCTCAGAGGAAAATAGCCGGTGCGCAAATATTGTCAATATCTCGCATGAAAAGTTTCTCTACCTCTCTGTGAAACACTTGAAACTGTCTTTCATCATGAGTGGAGAGGAAAAGTCAAAAGAGACGTTTTATTCCATTTGGGTGAATGATATTGTTGCCTTGACGCAGCCTCAAAAACTTGAGTGTTTCCCTTTTTTTTCCTCATCCACCCTTTCTTTCTTTCTTTCTTTCTTTCTCCTCCTCTTCTCTTTTGCCCTGCCAGTCTCCTGGTTTATTATGCATTCAGCTCATGTGTCCCTCCTGCAAGTGGCTGTTCATTTTCCACATACCACACTTAATCCAGCCAGCTAAAACTTTGAAATAGCAGAAGCCGCAGCAGACGCAGCCGCTACCCCGGGAGGAGACATTATGAGGTCTGGGAGAAAGAAAGAGAGAAAAAGAGAAAGAGAGAGACTGATAATGCTGGGGGGAGGAGTGACAGGCGAGCTGTAAGATACATGGGGAGGAATTCAAAGAAGGCTGAGAGCCGAACATGAGGGTATGTGTGTTTGTGTGCCGCTGCCTGGAAGCGTAGAAGGTGTGCGGGCAGTACTGATAAGTTAGAAGAGGTTGTTTCTACGTGTGCGTGTTTTTGGCGTGTGTTGGTGTTTGATGGGGTTACTGGCGTGGGCAGGGGGATGGAGGACCTCCTTGTCTCCATTGTGCAGGTGACCTTTGGCCTTTTGTGACTTTAAGTGAATGGGAGGAGAGAGGGGCCGAGAGTGAGAGGGAGGAGTGGGGGGGATTTTAAATAGTGCATGAGCTCAACCTGCTCCGACACTGATGGACAGCAGCAACATGAGCTCTCAGTGTTTCACCCAAGAAGTCTGAGAAGACGGACCATCAAACTGCCAAAAGCACAGGAGGAGCTCGCTAACGTCTCAATTTTAAAATTTCATTAACAGCGTCTCCATCTTTGCCGCGGCAGATTGTTGTCGTTATCTTTTAGCAAATTGTTTTTAGATTAGCTGTGCCTTTACAAGGTTAAAGAGGTTGCCAACAGTACACCAAAGCCAAATGAGTGGCCTTGATTTGCTCGTTTTGTCGGAGCCAAAGCCAAAAATCCAAGGAGATTTGGTTTTAAGTATTTTATAATAACACAGACAAGCAGGAAATCTTCACTTTTAAGAAGCTGCACTCTGTTTAATTCACTTCTTGAAACAGTGTGGCTCTTAAACTTGCTTTTGAACCTTATTGCTCTATTTCCATTAAAGCATTGATTTATCGTATTTTATGTCTGAACTCTTATTGAAATATTCACTGTTAATATTCTTGTAACACTTTACAGTAACCATAACTTATAAATGGTAAATAGACCATTTATAAATGGTAAGCAGATAGTTTATAAATGTTTAATCATAATTTATAAATAGCATATAGACCATTAATAAATTGTACATTTTACAGTTTTTAAAAACCTAACCCTACCTTTACAATAACCATCTAAGTAATGTTTATAGATGGTTTAAAAATCAAATATTCACCATTTACAAAGTGCTACTTACACACATTTAAATCTAGATGTTTTACAACCGATATTTTAACCCTATATAAACTTTTAATAAATAGTCCATTAATAATTAATGAAATAATTAATCATAATTTCATTGCTTGTTAGTGGTAAAGTAACTACTAACTTATATTAATAAACGATCTATTTGACCTTTGTAATTGGTCTTTATGCTGTTTATAATGATGATTAAACTTGAATAAACTATCTAATTATGGTTATCGTAAAGTGTTACCAATATTCTTTTATTCGTGCAATTATTGGTTTCCATTTTAACTTATATACTATCTCAAACTGAAATATATTTGAGATTTTATCATACAAAAGATTTGATGAGTTACAAAACTCATAATAAATTTAGGGATACATTTTTTTTTCTTCTTATAAATGGCAAACAGAAATGATATAAAATAAGACACACCTCAGCTATCTTGATCTATGTTTTCGCTCAGTTATAGGTGATTTCACTGGACCACCATCCTGTTCCCAGTTCATAAGCATCGG